TTGCATGTCCCAGGGGTCCTGGCAGCGTACAGGATGGCTCCACACGCCTCTATGGGGTTTTCCCCATTTTGTTAATGTACGGGCGGGAGCACGAGCCCCCCAACTGGGTATGGCTTCAAAGAAACAAAGACAGGACGTACCCGTGCTGCTGCAGGTTACGCTCGGGTGGGTGTCGGAGGCACATGCTGTGGCGAGGGAAAATACTACTGTGTGGCTGGGGTATGGTGTGTTCGACATGCTAGGGCAGTCGTGCAACCCGGGGAATGCATTGTGCCACCCACAGTATGCGACCATCTGAGTCTCAGAGGCCCACAAGACTCCAACACGTGCAATGGTCCAGTGTCAAGAACTCGGTCGAGAGAACTTTACGGCTGCGATAGCGGCTCTCCAAACCACGAAGTGAACTCTCAATTTCTAAAGCCAAACATTTTTTTTTACGTGTACCCCAGTGCAGTTGTTGTTCGTGTGAAGTGGCTTGCACCACTCACTCGTCATATTGTATTGTTATTGTTGGTTTCTATAGTCGAGCGGCAGGTTCTTTTCGATGCGGATGTTTGTCATTCTGCCCTAATTGTTGAAAAAACATGTCTCTTAAGTGTTGGTATTAGCCAGGGCGGCTACATTTTTAAGAAGGGTGGGGAGTGATGTAATGACAGTAGAGTCTACCCGCGGTGTGAGTGGACAAGTGGCTGTGGGAGGTAATGACAGGGGAGTCATCCTACAGTACCAAGGGACTGGTGGCTACGGGAATGATCGAGATTTGGAGCGTGGTCAGGTGACGGAAGAGGACGGTCGAGTCTGCTGGTGGAGCGAGCGTCCAGAGCCACCGAGGTGTGGCCTCGGTCCGTATCAAGGGAGATGCGCGAGAGACTCGGGGCTGTTGCAGTGGAGTCTCCATCTGTTCGAGTGAACATGGCTCGTAAATAAAGTGAGTACAACGTTACTTTATTCGCGGCACTCTCACGCCCCCAGCCTCTGCCTCTCCCGCTGACGTCACCCCTCTCTCCCCTTTTCCCTGATGACGTCAGACCCTCGTGGGGACCTCATCTCATGTAAGTAACTCTACCTCATCTCATGTAAGTATCTCTACACATGTACTAGACATGTATACATGAGTGTCTTTCAGCTCCGTGCGGGTGTGCTGTGGGGCATTCCAGGCATGATGATGCCCATATCAATATATGGGCGATATTGGAATTTACATGCGATATAAGAATTTGCGGCAACAAAGTCTCCTTTTCAATATTTCTGGAAAACATTTTAAAAATATAAATGGAATATTTATTTTGAAAATTGTATGCCTTGCCATTCTTGAAACCATTAAAAGCACAGGGTCTGAATACAATGTTCGCACAGGGCACCATTTTTTATTGCACCGTCCCTTACAAGCTACACAACCATACATAGAAATCAGCTGAAAGTGCTTATAGTCTCTAAAATGTGTTACATTTTAAAAATGGAAATGCAAAGTTGAAACGTCAGTGTCGTAAATAGACCCCTTTCACTAACACTGAGGCTCAAAAGAAAGCTGTCACTGATGTGGACCAATCAGTTTCAAAGACTGCATATATTTCGATTTAAAGCTTTCGTGACTGCAGGGATTAATCTTCTTAGTTCTTTCGTTAAAGTCACGTAGAAGGGAAAAAATAAAATAATAAAAATAAAACATAAAATACAATTCTCACGACGTTTCGGCCACAACGCAAGCAGCCGTCCTCAGGTGAAGAACAGGTCTGTCGGAATGAACACCACCAAGCTTGGCAGCGTATATTTAAGCTGGGTTAGGGAAGGGCGCCTTGACAAAGGAATTTGCATATCAACAGATGAATTTAGCATATTTATGGAAAATTCAGATATGGGATTAGTCACTACTTGTGGAATGCGTAGGAGGTGGGGGGGGGGTCTCAAAGTCATATTATGCCCGTGCATTATGTAGGATTAGCAGCAACAAAGGGAGGAGGTAGGGTTAGAAGTAATTAAGGGAAGGAATTTTTATAGTAAGGAGCAGCAGCAGCCAAACCACCACGTAAAAAACTAAAATATAAACTACATCAATATCATCAATATACTAAATATACTCTCCAATAAGCTGAGCTACTAACAATAAGTCATACATTACAATTATATGTCGCAAAAAATATAATATGCCTCCAGCTAAACTTTTTCCTTACATCACACGGATCTACCCCGTACTATATACTGCCATAGACAAACCCAACTTTAAATTAAATACTGCATTACTATATACCAGGGGCGGTTTCTTCATTAGGGCGATTGGGCGACGCACCACCAATCTCAGCCGTTACTGTGCCTCTGGATATAGTCCAATCAGCGTCATGTCACGTTCTGTGGAGTACCGCCTCTTTTTGGGCGATTTCACTCCGGCTGAGAATCGCCCCGAGTGTTCCCATAGACTTACATTCAAAGATGTTTTTTTTCGAACGGCGGGCGCTGCAATGCATTCTCTATGGCTTCTGGGAGGGCTCGCACTAACGTGCTTACATCATCATACGTAAGCACGTTTCATCCAACAATATTATTTGTCGCCACCTAGTGGAATCTTTAATAAAAGAAACTGAGTGGATTGTAATAATAGTGAGATAGAAACAAACAAGATGTATTGTAAGAGTCACTTTATTTTTCATTAATATTAAAGAAGTGAAATTGCCTTTACATGCTTAAGCTGTTAATTTATCCATTGCATGGGTAGACCTTATCCTTATCAATCATCCAGACATTTGCCCCCCCTGAGAGATTTTGCAGGAGCCGCCACTGATTCTGACCACAAGTATTGTGGTTAATGCAGACATGATTCCCTTAAAAGGTTTCAGTTTGGTGTTTTAACATCTTCACACCTGTTTTGTTGCCAGAAAAATGGGAACCCTATTCTCATAACGCAGAGGTTGTATTGGGCTGTGTGAAGTTCAAGGTTATGTAATTCAACTCCTAAGTCAGGGCAGGAAGCATGAGTGACTGAAGAACGGTTATTTTTGTCACGGCCTGCAGCTGAGATTAACGTGCAATGTAGAAACAACTCAAAAAAACAAACGCAGCACCTGTCTTAACGGTTAAGCTGTTATTTACAATCTTAGATTACTCTCAGAGTTTGGACATTGTAAAGTCGCTCCATCGTTACTTCTCGTCCACCGCTGCTGCGTGCTACACTTTTCCCTTCCAAGGTCATCAGCCGCTGTTCACCGCTCATGGGTAGTGATGTCACCACGGCGCTTGTGGCATGCGAGGTGCACTTTGAAGCCACATGAAGTGGCAACGACACGCTGGCACGTACGGGAACAGACTCAGGTGCCATGGGTTGACTGAGATGACTTGGCAGATTCACCAACTGTGCTCCCCACTGTGCCAACTTTGCGTTTTATCCACCCGGCGCTCCATACTTTTTGTGAGGGTCGCTCTTCTGCCCTCCGTTGTTGTTGGAGGGTGACTGCCTCCAACGCATCAGCAGCGTCCTTCACGAACCTCCTTCACAGAGTCCGATCTTGACATTGCTGGTACCGGTCATCCGCAAGTCCAATCAGCTCCACATCCTTCTGTACCACATCAGTTCATCTCTTCTCTAGCTTGTGCTGCGGCAATTTAGCCACCTCTATCCAGCCGAATAGAAGCTAATTTGGCATGCGGTGGCTGGGCATGAGCTAGAGCGCCTTACAACACAGCACCTTACAACACAACGTGAGTCGATCCATATTAAAGGTTTTTGGGTTAGATCATGTAAATATGAATGTGTCGTTAAACCCGCCACCACCCAACACAGCCAATTAGTAAGGTTTGTCACGTAAGCAAAACAATCCTATTCTTTACTAGTTCAGCACACCGGAGTGTTGGAGAGTAAACCCACAACAGTCTACCTCTATTATGTTTAACACGAAGGCTTTCGCAACCAATATTATTCATATTATTATTCATATTGGTCGCCAATATTATTCATAATATTGGTCGCAAAAGCCTACGTGTTAAACTCACGTGAGTCTAATTTGCTACTCATATACATTGAAATGAAGACATCTTACAATCCTCGCTCTTGACAAACGTAATTGATATCACATTGATCATATGTACTGCACTGAAATCCATAAAAGTCTCAAGTATCACTCACAATTCTCCGTTTTGCATATTTCTGCGTGTCTCGTGGCAAAGGATTTTCACGTTTTTTATTATTTTACACGCTTTTATTTAACTCACCCTGTTGTTGTATCCTCAACTCTTGTAACTCAATTTTAACCCACTTCCCAATGTATCGACTGCAAACTTGGTATACGTATGTCATACTGATGACAATACTATATTCTATCATTTTAAAAAATATACAGTATTTTAAAAGAATATTTTTATATGTTTAATTGTCCACGCTCAACTCACGTTGGCTGTAAATCACCACGGTCCCTTACGTAATGGCAAGGTTCGTGGCCACTTCCTGGAGTTCCGTCATTACTCGTACGGTACATTTCATTAAAGCGTGTTTTTTTAAAAGTAGTTTTAAATATTTTTGTTGCTTAGCTGAAAATATCTCATTCGGTCCAATTTGTTTTCGTGCAGCGGCTTCTGCCGTTGGTTCAGGACGTGTGTGTATGGGTCAAGCTCCACAAGGGTTGTCTTTATGTACAGCATTTCTATGAAGAGTAAGCGGGAAACTCATAACTATATAAGATACATATAATTCAATTTACGATGTGGGTTATTACTATCAAGTGTAAAGTAGCCTGTTTCTGCTAGAAAAAAAACTCATGATAACCGCGATGTCTTCACCAGTTAACTGCTAAATGTTTCTGTGCCTCACTTCGTGGGTTTCTCTCTTAGTTTTTGGGTTATTCAGAAGGTGCCTCGCCACTTTGACCCCTTTGCGGTTGACGTGTGTAAGATGTCCACATGAGGATTGCACACTAATTTGCATGTTTATCTTTCACGTCAGTTTCATGGTGTGCAATAGCCAGGAGGGTGTGGTTCACAAACCGCTCAAGTGTAAATATAAGTCGCGGACATTTCGCTTAAAAAGCAGTCGTGATTGCAAAGGCATTTGGTCAGTATTGTTGGAAAAGTGCATAGGTAAGTACATTTTTCTCAGTTTTCTGATTTAACAGTCTGCTGAAACGTGTCACGTTTTGATGTTTTGCTATGAAGGCTTATGTCACAGTTATACTCTGCATTTAGATTACAATAAAAAAAATTCTGCTGCTAATTATGGTTGTGTTCTGTAAAATCATGTCCACGAAATAGCGATGTGTTTCACCAGCATACAACTCGAACTCTTGTGCGTGAGTGCACGCCGATGATAGTGTGCTCGAGGCAGGTTGGTGGGCGGTGCGGTGCCTCTCCAAAGCTTCGTGACTGAGTTTGGGAGCCAGCTGGCCACGATTGGGCAACACCATAGCAACCGGAGAGCACAGACATAGATATTTATTTGACTTATCGCTATAACAACACATATTTAAGAATGCACAATTTAAAGTAATAAGTACATAACACATATTCATAACAAAATGTTGAAATTATATATTTTAGTTTACTTAAAACTGTATGAATGATTCTCCAAATGTCTGTGACACTTTCAATATCGGACCAAGCTACTAACTAACCAACTGATCTACGAGAGGGGAACAAAGTAGCAATTGAAGGGCAATACTTGAACGCCATCTGTCTGGTTATGGTACAAAAGGTACACTGTTTAGATGACACAACGTTGTTTTAAATAAAACCTTATGGTTACACTGTAAAAAGTGGCAGTTAAAGGACATTGCATCAATCGAAATACGGTAAAAAGCCATTGTGAAATAATGTTATAGTCCAAACACTAAATTTGACACCTTAGATAAAACAAAATGTTTCAATGTAACTGTTGAACCAAAGTATGCAGTGAAACTCCTCTTGTATGCAATAAATGAAGAAAGTGATGGATGTGGATGCAGATAAGAAAATTTGTGAAGAAGTTTAATCCTGTAGACAACACAACACATCTTACATGTTCATCACTTACACATTATATGCCAGCTAAGGGAAGGAATTTAGTTCCTTGTGTCTCTTATATTAAAATATGTAATTAATTTTCCTCCCTGACTGTAACGTGGATATAAAATAAAGTAATGCAGCAGACTTTCAAGCATATTTGAGCAATGAAAATCATTACATTTTTCATATTATCACTGGAATGTGTTTTCGTGACCATATCCTGACAGGAAAGACATAAACAGAGCGTCTTTTGTGCAACTACAGTATTGCACACAATGCACTGGTCCTGCTTATGTGTATGACTCAGGGAGTTGCGGATGACAGGATTTAATTAGAACATGACTCACTATTATTCTGATTATTATTATCCAAGACATGCAATTATGAGGATAATGTTTTTTTACGTGGAATACTTCAACCATTTCCCATAATTCACTGTCATTGGTTAACAATATTTCTCCGTTTCTATTTTACTTGTATATGTGTTGAGTAATTTTGGCTAATCTCAGAATTTGCATTGATGTTTCCTCTATATTCATTTATGTAACTAGTTATTTCTGCACAGCATCTAAATCTGTCCATAGTATTCATTTGGGTTGCGGTGATGAGGAAAAACGACAATTAATGTTATGATAACAAATCTTCGACGATAATGATATCTTCCATTTTGTAAATTATAATTTCATGTGATTATCATTGCTCTTATTTTTTTTGAAACTTCTTTCACAATACCTGTATTTTTGAAAACACACAATAATTACAAATGTACAACAACAAATAAAATCTTCCATTTTGTAAATTAGAATTTCATGTGATTATCATTGCTCTTATATATAAAAAAAACTTATTTCACAATTCCTGTATTTCTGTAAACACACAACAGTTATAAATGTACAACATACGTAGATTTCAGCAATTAAAGCAGTACTTTACAAAACGTTTTCCGCAATAAATGGCATGATTTTGTGGGTCTTGTTTTTTTTATGCTTTCTCGTATAACTGACAACGTAAGCTTTATGTATCATAAAGTTACTATAATTAGAGGAATTATGGGAGAGTAATGTTGAGTAAACTGCAGTTTAAGATCTTTCGAATAACTTTCGTATGTATTGAAAGTACAGTATTGGAAAAACCTAAAAATACCAAAATATTAATAATTCTAAATACAATTACAAAGCTTTAGGAAACCGAAATGAATGATAATTGTCATATCGTAAACATGAAGATCGTGTCGTGCAAAAATACATTTGTAGCAACCCAGGTATGAAGACAGTAAATTGTGAAAATTATTATAATTATGGTGACCATGTTATCGGAAAATACTCTATAGCTAATCCTCTGTCTGCATTGTATGGCATTAATTCTCCAATAAAGCTTTCAGGAAATCTATTTTAATGTTACTGTGACAGTGAATCAAATTTTTCTTCTGCTTCTCTCTTCATATGCAATTAAAGTAGAGGCTTCTTTGATTTTCTTTTTTTTCTTTTAGAATTATTCGGTGACCCAGGCTACTCTTGCAAATGAGACTTATCCTAGTTTCTTGAAATATTTTCAGATTAAAGACAAATCTCTTTATAAGGCTGAGGAACCGTTGGAGACGCAATTATATTACAGCACACCTTGTGTTTTTACTGCCCATTGCATAACTTATTAGGCAATTAAAGGCAAGTTATACATTTTTATTTCTTCAAAATTTAGGTGTTAAAAGTTATAATTTTGATAAACATGTTGTTGGTAAGTGGCAGTGCGTGAATAATTTTTGCGGGCTGACAGTCGCTTTAAAACAAATGCCTTGGCTCAGTGTAGGTGATGAAACTTAGTTTCTACTTTCAATTTAAAGCTTTCGTGACTGCAGGGATTCATCTTGTTGGTTCTTGGTTCTTTCGGTAAAGTCACGTAGAAGGGAAATAATATTAATATTTCCCTGTTTTATTTTTATTATTTTATTTTTTCCCTTCTACGTGACTTTACCGAAAGAACCAAGAAGATTTCTACTTTCAGTTAAGTCATATTTCTTAAACATCCATTGTCCTGTGTGCTGGATTGTGCGATATGCAGCTATCGTCTGAGTCACTCGTCCACCGCTTCGCACGGCATGAGGGCACTGCTTCCACTTGTGCTCCAGTGCATCCTCATCTCTTACTATGGAGGTGACTACTCTCACTCGGTCCACAACTTGTCAAAAATCAACCCAATTAATTTAGTTTATTAAAGAGTCCTCACATATGTATTTACCAAAACGATGTGAAATGCATATTTTTTCATATTTTAAATATTTAACTTAATTTAACATTATATTTTCTACTTTATAAAGACGTTCAGGGAAACCTACGCGACAATCAAAATGGCAGACTCTTATATGCAAGATCGTCCTCGAAATGCATTGACTTACATTTTGACTTAAAACTTTCGTGACTGCAGGAATTCATACTCTTTGGTTCTTTCGGTAAAGTCACGTAGATAGAAAAAGAATAATAAAAAATTAAGTAGAAAAAACACTAATGTAGACTGGAGCCGGGTTCTTAAGCTGGGTGAGTGTACTGGCAGTCTACAATGTAGACTGTAGCCTGGTTCTTAACCTCGGTGAGCGTACTGGCAGTCTATAATGTAGGCTGTAGCCAATGCGCTCACCAAGCTTAAAAACTAGGCTACAGTCTACATTATAGACTGCCACTACACTCACCGAGGTTAAGAACCAGACTACAGTCTACATTATAAAATGCCAGTACACTCACTCTGGATGTTTTATTTTCTAACTGTTGTTATTTCGAATTATTTCGCGAATTACAGCTGTTGACACAACAACTCAAGTCTTCACTTCAGCAATTACTGCCACCTCATTTCAAGGTGATCCAAAACTTTACATCATTAGCTAATTTCCAATGTGCACTCAGTAGAATCTTTATGCATTTACTTTTTTTATAAAAGCCCATTTGCTGAAAATGTATTCCATGCTACAATAAGGGAAATATTAATTATTGTAATTGAGCATAACAAGTACAATACACGTTTAAATTGCAAATTCAATTGAAGAACCACTACAAGGTACATTACAATACATCTTAATACCTAATTCTAAACTGAAACGCACATCCAATCAAATAAGACCACATCCCCTTCTCATACGCAAAGCTAATTTTGAGACGTCGTTAAGAAATAGGTACGCTTTGAGGCATGCCTTAAACCAAAGGATTGGAGTCCCCTGATCGATGTGCCCTAGACAGGTCAGCACTACCTAAATGCTCATTTGGGAAATTTGATTTGATATTTGACTAAACATTACTTTTTATAATTTACTAATGTGTTATTTGCATATTCTGAATCACAGTTGTCGAGACAACAACTCCAGTCTCCACTTCAACAATAACTGCTTCCCCATCTTATGGTAATCCAATAAAGGAATTGTGTACAATAATTACAATACATTCAAAGTGCACATTTCATTGACGAGCTAATACAGGGCATCTTACAAAATGCCTCTTCAAAATACACCTTCACACCTTACTCAAAATATGAAATATGCAACCAACTAAGAGCACATCCTCTTCTCATAAGCAGTGCTCATTTTCAGAATTCCTTTGCCATGCTTTGAGACCTGACTAAAAACTAAAAAAGGACTTGAAGTTAGAATAATGCCTCATTTCCTTCATTAAAACTGACTACAGACCTGTTTTCCTTTTATCGCACATGTATCAATTATCCCCAAAGATAATTGGGAACAGAATAACAAAATAACAAAGGCTAACCAAACATGGGATCTAGCAGATTTATCTACCAACTTACCATCCACGGGATAACCGATATCACTTATTCTTATAGAGTTACCATTGGACCAGAATCACCAATGTTGATTTTATCTTTCCAGAATTAGTAGTATTGAAGTGCAGCCCTGACATTACATACTCACGTGACTACGGGCAGAAGGGCCCCCAGTAGAGGGAACTCGAGATAACCCTTCAAGTTGGCCCTCTTCCACACTTCCAGAAAGTGGAACTTATTCAGACAGGTGGCTTTTTGAGGTACGTGCCACCCATTAGCAATTATTTATTTCTTACTTCTGTTTCTTCCACACAGCTGTTGACACAACAACTTTTTCCACTACTTCAAAAACTACTCCTCCAAAACCTCCTGGTAAGATTTGTCATATATGTTTTCAGACTGTCCACATCCAATCATATATGATGAAAATGATTTTATGAAGATATGGTTTATCATTGATTGGATGGCAACTTAGGAGAGGTAATGGTGTGATAGTTTGAAAATGTAGTTCTCTCGCATAGATTCAGTGTGCACATTTACAGCCTTTTTGTAAATCCACTGCTGGATGAGAAATTGAGCACGTGTATTAGAGAACATATACAGATCAGAGACATACTGCGCTCATTAGAGTAAACAGGCTTGGGCAGGACACATCACGAAAAGGTTTGATGGCCGATAGTCAAGATTAATGATGGAGTGGTGGCCAAGGGAGGGAATGCGCCTGAGACGATGTCCACGGTGAAGATTGAGAGATTTCTGCGTTGCAGGAATGAGAGACGGTGATGCCTTGTGCCCTTTATCTACCAGTATATTTATCATGGCTCATAATGATGATGGTAATACTTATAAATAGTTTCAACTTGTAACGCGGCACACATCACATTCACTCGCTCTCGAATTAAGAACGACTCAGAGGCGTGAAGAACCACAGCCAAGCGGCACGGCAGCAGTGAGCTGGTGCCAACAATTGTCCACGCTCTGCGGTCCTCTATATATTAAGGCAGTATCAGCCAATTAATGAGTGTTTACGTGTAGAATGAAACCAGAGCACCCAGAAAAAAATCTATGCGTGTGAAGCGGAAACACTGTATCCCATAAAGACTGGACTGGTAATAAAATAATAAATAATGGTTACTGCAACATATGCTTGTAATGGATCTTACATTGCAGATGGGGAGTGGACACAGTGGTTTAACGGTGATCGGCCATCTGGGGTTGGTGACTTTGAAGATGTTGTATCGATCGAATACCATTATCCGGGTCAACCCTGCTCTAATCGCATAAAAATAGAGGTGTGTGCAAAGTATATACAAAACTCTTTCATGATCATATTTTTCAAGAAAAACACATTTATGTCACTAATTGATGCATTATCTCCTCATGTATACTCTGCAAACAAATAGGGCATGACAGTGGAAGGTATTCCTGCTGAGGAAACAGGACAAGTATTAGCATATTATGACGCAGACAATGGAATTCAGTGTTTCAATGCACATCAAGTGGATGGTCAATGTCTCAACTACAAAGTTCGCTTTCTATGTGGGAAAAACTGTAAGTTTTGATACATTTCTTCTTTTCATTCTACGCATCACCAGGCCATGCGATTCACATTCAGAAGGTGGAAAATCGACCGTACTTGTAACTTTTTGAGACTGGCCCCTTCCGTTGGAATGTGGAATTGTTAATGCTGTAAAAAAATATCACTACCTCAGTGCTCACTTGATCATTGTTATGATATTTCACTAATACTTACGTTGCATGTTTTTTTTATTAACTATTGTTACGTGGGATTATGTTATGAAACAGCAGTCAACTCCAGTTTTCACTGCAACATTCACTGCTACCTCACAGTAACCCAACATCTTTAGTTTACAATATGCGCTAAGTTTTCAGATTATCCATTTAGGTATTTATCTACGTCCATATCCTGAAAATGTATTACATGTTACAATAAAGGTACTTGTAATGACGTGTGCATTCTAATATTTGATACATCTCCATCTTCATATCCATCTCACTCAGAAATTAATCATATATCCATAAAATAAAGCCCATATCCTGTTTTCATCTTAAGTTTGTTCTCTCATAAATGTGTTCCTCTTTTTATTTCTCAGTGTAACATTTCCAGCATGCATCTCTCCGTCCTTTGCACACTTTTCAGCTTTTGTTATGTGTGTTTGTCAATGGGTCCATGTTTCCAATACATGTCAAGATTGGCAATACTGACAACATAAAATTTCCAAAACCTCTCCATGCTGCTCTGGCTCGTTGGCTTCTAAGCACTCTCTTCATATCATTTTGAAACATGATCCACCTTCAGCAGTTGCCATAAATATACTTTGTTTTCTCGTTTCTAGTTTTACCTCTCCAACAATAATTGGAAGCAATTGTTGTATAATCTTTATTTTGTTAATATTTAACTTTGGCCCATTTTGCAACTTTATTTGTTAATTTAAAGAATAATTCTGAGATGGTTTGTAATGTATGATGTTTATGCCCTAATTTTTCTAATCTAATGTTGAAAAATTCATCTTCTGACTTAGCAAAAGGTAACTTTATTTTGATATCAGTGGAAATCTTTTGTGACTTGATGTCTTTTTTTTTATCACAGATATAACAACAACGACAACAGCAACAGTAGCTCTGCCACGTCCTGGTAATTCGAGACTACATATAATTTCCTCTTAACTAAAATGTTCATTGTTAAAACTATGCATGTGCTTCCATAGAAACCCTCATTGGTAATGTAAAATGTACAGAGAAACACGGAGAGCTGCATAGTTAGAATACTGAGATACAAAAAGGCACACAGTGGATCAGGGAATAAACAAATTGGAGACATTAATTTGTTAAATTAAGAAAAGTAAATGGGTTAGGGCAAGACACATCCCTGCATGGCTGGTGGGCGAGCCAAATGAGAGAAGTTGGCCAAGCAGAAGATCGTAGCAGAGATGGAGCGATGAGCTCATGGTGCATTCGTGAGATGGATGGTGGCAGCACTGCACTATGAGGGCTGGTGATGGCGGGGGGAGGCCTTCATCCAGTAGTGGATAGACAATGGCTGATGATTGTCAAAAAATGTAATATCTTGAGATAAATATAAAATATTATAGATTGATGTTTTAACATTTCCCACTTTAAAACAATTATAAATACGCATTCGTAGTTAATATGTAAAATCAGTATTTTTTATGAATTAGAAACATTTATATTATTTGAGTGGATATTTACATTTCATATTCATACCTTTTAACTCATACCTTCTGCTATGGAAAGTGCATACAGACCTCATTTAATTTAAAACACACAAATAGCAGTGTGCTACTATGTGGTCGATATCACAGGAAAGATGTGGTTTTCAAACTTCTCTTTGAGTTGCAAGTTATAGTGGTACATTTTTACTGAAATTATCTTACCTTTTTCACAGCGTTTGTAATTTATGATCCTTGAATGTTGTGTCCTGCGGCTGCATTCAAACCAAATGGCGGTTGCAGCCTCGTTAAATCAGTGATGGAGGTGGAAAAATAAAATCAACCTCCTGACACCACGGATAAGGGTTGAATGATTCAACCCCTGCGATTCCATGACTTGCCCAGATTCATGGTTGCAATTCCATTTGTTTATAGATACTTTTTATTTAACACTACAGTGAATGCTATTGCCTACCACTCGTTACTGTAGGGATGATGCGAACCCATTACATTAAGCATACACGAATAGAAAAACATACATTTTTACAAACACGATTCAATGTGTATATTGTTGAGCATAAGGATCACATTGATCGATGTTTCGAACCACCCCTTCGGGATAATTAAAATGGCTGCACGGGTAAGTTGGTCATCACTTTGGAGAGATTGGGAGAATGGTCACCGGGAAGTGAACAGAAAATTCTAAAATCTCTTTCAGTCACTACAAGATGCGTGATACAGGGAGACCCACATTACATGACGTTTGATGGACTCTATTACGACTTCATGGGCGCATGCATCTACACAACAGCCAAGCTGTGCAACATCTCCTCCTCCCTGCCCCACTTCAACGTGGAGACGAAAAACGAACGCCGTGGCTATCCAAGCGTGTCTTATGTCCGAGATGTTCACGTGGACGTGTACGGACACAGGGTCACCTTGTCTTTACAGCACGCCCTCCTGGTTAGTATTACACCTCGTGTTACCGCCGAGATTATAGTAACAAATGAGTTAAATGTAAAATACCATTATGCATACACATTGTGTGGACTCAAGCAGAGGCGATGGAACAAACTAATATTGGGGAGGACAGACGAGACGAGCATAAGTGGAAGTGGGTGTGGCAGGCTTGGATTTAGCTTGAGCCTGGTTAGCATTTTGATGGGTGACCCATAGGGATCGCCAGGTGCTGTAGGCATGACACTGTGAGGTGGCCAATAGATGGCAGGTCCGTTTCTCTGGTTTCCTTATTTATATAACTGTTCAAACATCTCAACGCAGGATCCTCCGAAACTAAAAGATGAATCAAGGTTGTTTTTGATAAATAATTTCCATTAATATATTTAGAATTATTAATAGATGAGAGAGACAAGGAATCCAGCCTCAAAAGTAATGTGAGGTTTTGTGTTAATCGAATGTGGCTTGATGTGATTTGGCTTCAATTATACACAAATTCTCAATAAGAGAATAGGGTACAATACTTAGGTCTCGAAAGCCCAATTCTTGAGCAGAAGTCATGAAAGTACTTTTTTACCAGAAATAATCAAACGTATATTAAACCAAAGACCACTGGGATATACAAGCATTATAAAGGGGACTCATTATTTGCTTAACGCTGGAATTACTCATGTGCTATGATCTACAGTTGGATGGGGAGCGGGTGACGCCCCCACTGGTGTTACCGGGGATGCACGTGTCTCTGAGCGGCTCATACCTCGTGCTCATGACCAACTTCAGCCTCACGGTTCGATTCGATGGGAACCATCAAGTGGAGGTGTCTGTACCAATGGAGTACGCTGGGCAGCTCTGTGGACTCTGCGGTGAGACCCTGCCTGAAGATGTCATTATTATTTTGTTACATGAAAATTTTACAAAGTACTTTGTGCAACCGGTGTGATGAATCCATGAGAAATCTCTCGTTGAAAATCCAGCTGTTCTCAGTACAGCTTCCAGCATTGGCATGAGCAAGGAATTACAGGGCTGTACCTTTATTATTTACCCATTTGTTTTGTGGATCATGTGAATTTAGTCTTCTTTTCAACAGGAAACTTTAATGGTGATGTTGGGGATGACTACCTAATGCCGGATGGGATGGTAGCTGTTTCCTCAACTGAGCTGGGAAGTAGCTGGATATCAGACAATAGCTCTGCTGAGTAAGTGATCACTTGCCCATTATTCACACAAGCATTTCCATCACACGCAGCATTCCAATCACACGGCATTTCATTTACACAGCATTCCAATCACTCACAACATTCTGATAACTCACTGTATTCCAATCACACACAAGCATTCCAATCACACTAACAGCACCAACAGCGGCAGAAGTAGCTACAACAACGGCAACTACAGTAGCAACAATATCAACAACAGCAACAAGAACAAGACTAGCAGCAACAACTGCAGCAGCAACAACAAGAACAGCAGCAACAACAGTAACAAAAACAATAATAACAACAACAGCAGCAACAACAGCAACAACAAGAACAACAACACCTTGCGATGGCGACGCTGCGACTGCTTCTGCTGCTGCTGCCCGGCTGTCTGCGGCTGGGCCCTGCTCTCGCGGGGCTAAGTGAGCTGAGCGGTCTGGTAGAGTGATGCCTCCACTCCTTCCTGGAGAATGGGGGGCATACCGGAAACTTCTCTTGGCTTGGATCGAAAAACCAGTTCCATTTCACCAAAACGTTGCCGATACTGCGATGGAACTCGCCAGCAGACTCGGCCCAGCATCCAACGTGCAGAAGGCAGTGCTGATTGGCTGAATTTTACACTTCAAGCGACTCGAATTCTGCACCCACTGTGCTACGATCGTCTGTGGAAATGCTGACCACTACCCGACCGTTTTCGTCACTTGTTGTAATGCCTCACACATGGTTGTGCTGCAGATCTGGTCAGTTCTTCTTTTTGCCCTACAGCCACACGATCATGGAAAAGAGCAGCTTTATCACCATAATGCTGCTGATGTTGGGTATCGAGCCAAACCTCGGACCAGGGCTCCTCAATTTTGGATTTGTCATTGCACGCTCAAAAGTCAACAAGACGGTGCTGATCCACGATCTTATCAACGATTGTGGACTCGACAATATTGGCCTTTTGCGAAACCTGGGTATATGACGACTCACCGGACGTAATTAAGCGTGAGGCTGCACCTAACGGATATGTTATTGTACATCAGCACCGTCGTGGGAAGCCTGGCACCGGAAACCCGCATGGTGGTGGGATCGCTCTGATTCACCATGAAGACATCTGCGTGAAAGTTCTGAGCGACTAATGAACAACCACATTATTCCAGCTGCTGCTTGTGAAAATAACAAACAGCATACTGGGGCTTAAGTTCGTTGTCATCTATCGACCGCCGTTTTCACTGCTGTGGAAATTCTTTCCCGAGCTTTCTGGTCTGCTGGAGTGTGGTTCACTTGGCTCTCGCTAGAGTCGCTACATCATCTGTGGTGAGCTGAACTGTCCCGGACCGACTGGTTATTGTGGTAAAATCAACAGCTAGTGATCTTGCTAAGAGTCACAGTTTAACCCAGCACGTTAGCAGCGAAACATAACTGGGAAAATATACCAGATAACATCTTCACATCTGCCAATGCCGTAACTGTGACCTAAATTGTTATTTAAGACATGGGTATTTCAGATCACAGTCTCGTGACTGGATCACGATGCTTCCCATCACGAGATCTGGTCATCATCGGTATGTCTAAATCCTGCATCGATGGTCGATTAATTTGCAGCTCAATTAAAAAATGTCATCACTGCTGTTCTTGATAAACTCTTGCCCATCTGAACAAGCACAAAGAGAACGTGGAAAGCGCACAGTAACTGGCTATCACCAGAGGCGATCGCTGCAAAGCAGACAATGAGTGAGCTGGAGCATCTTTGGAAGAAAATTGGTTTTGAAACTGTCTGACTCATTTACAGAGCAGCCTGCAGATCTGACAACCGACTTATTATTGAGTCTCACAGATCGTTCTATGCTCTGTGAGTCAATGAGTTGGCTCTTGACCCCCGTGCTCTGTGACGCATCGTGAAGGGTCCTGCTGTACTTCAACCACCCATAAACTAGTCAACCCAGTATGTGCACAGATCTTGCGACATTCTTCAGCAATAAAATAGTGACGATCAAGATGGCAGTTTATAACTTGAAGACAACGCATTCTCCTGGTCTGCCATCTCAGTTTCATCAACCTGGAACCAATGCAGAACTCGAGACCCTGGCACCAACGTGGATGGCAGAGGTGTTGATGTTCATCACACGGCTGCCAAATAATATTTTGCCACTCAACTACATCCACACGTTGATTCTCAAATCATGCTTGGACGTGCCTGCGACACTGATTGACCACCTGGCAAATCTTTCTTTGAGCAAGGGCTGTTTCCCAGACTGGTTCAAAATGGCACAGGTAACATTGCGCCTGAAAAAAAGTTGGCTAGAGCCATAGTGACCCCGCAAACTATCGCCCGATCTCAAACCTGAGTACAATTTAAAATGCGCCTTTGTCTGAAGAGGTTACTTCCCTCCGTCGCTGCGAGGGGCAGATTCAACCCATTGCAGTAGGCATACCAGAAGTTCCACAGCACTGATACAGCTTTACTAAAGATCACTGATGACCTCTACAAGATCATTGATGACCGGTGTGCTGCAGCGTTGGTTGGCCTTGATCTCTCAGCCACCTTTGTCACCATCGACTATGACATACTCATCGGGTGGCTATGGTTAAGGTTCGATGTATTGGGTATGGCACTGGGGTGAATTGAGTCATTCATACATACATGGTCGATCATTGTTCGTCAAGCTGGGTAACGAACAGTCGTCGCCTATGCCATGTCTAGTTGGCGTACCACAGTGGTCCATCCTCAGACTCTTCCTATTTTCAACATACGTCTCTCCGATCGCTGATGTCACCTCATCTTATGACATCAAGTTCCATCAATATGCTGATGATACGCAATTGTACACTGCAGTGAAGTCAAAGATTCCACGTGAGCAGTGCATGTGTAGATTGCATGAAACAAAATACTGCTTAATCCAGAAAGAGAGGAGGTTCTGCGGGTTGGCACTCAAGCTCAGGGGAAACAAATGTGGGAGGATGAGGTATGGCGGTCGCAGACTTCAGGATTCAGTTTTCTGCTTATCTAAAGTGCCTTGGCACCATACTCGACCAGAATATGCCGTTTGATCACCACGTGCAAAATATTGTTAGGTCCTGCAATCTGCATATGAAGGCTCTATGACACATTCTAACACGATTGAATCGTGACACAAACAACACGGGTGGCGTGTATTACAATATCGACAAGGCTTGATTATTGCAATTCACTACTCTATGGGACGTCCGGAAAACACATTACCAAACTGCAGCGTGTATAAAATAATTTGGCATGTGTTGTGACGGGTACTGCAAGATTCAATTATGTCTGTCCAGTGCTCACTGAGCTGCATTGGCTTCCGATTGCTGAACGATACATTATAAGGTTGTACTTATTATACACACAAAGTGCTTGTCACAAATTAACCACAATACCTTGCTGATCTCGCTAAGGAGAATAAACCATCTTGCAAACTCCAGTCATTCACACAGTTGCTTTTGGCCAACCATCTAAAAAGACAGTCACTGTATCACACGCTTTCAGATCCGTTTTTGCGGCCATCTTGAACAGTCATCCTTCCGATATTAGGAAGCCACTGGAGCTACGCACTTTTAAATATATATTGAAAACTAATTCATTTGGAACTGCTTTTTAGGAATAGTTTTCTGTCCTTCCCCCGCACCTCTGATTAGAATGGTTGGCTGCATATGGTGCGAAAGTAATTTCAGCGTACATTTTCATCTGAAATCGTGTTCATCAATGGAGCACTTTTTGTTAATTGAATGGGTTTACTGGACAGTTTTGTAAATGGTAATTATCTGCAAATCTAATTTCCTGTTTTTTATGATAATGTTTTTACACCAGTCTGTCATTCAAATTGTGTGGCATTAGAAGACTGCCAAATGCATGTTACGGTGTAATTTATGCCCATGGATAAAGCCGACCATTCAATCTCACCCTCTGTTGTGGAATACCATGGAGTTTATGGATCTTGAATTGCGTCTTAGCTCGACCCTAGCCTCACCTACATTGATTCATTCCCCCTGTAGACTCAGGCACAGCCAAATGTCCTGCACAGGTTGTGAAAATATCCCTGTGTGGATTGCAGTTTGTGGAATTGAAAACATCCATCATTCAGGTGGGGTGGATTGATGGCCAAATTAATTAGAAGATTTGTGTCCCATGTCTCTGATTCAGTTCGAAGAAGTCCAAGGTACTCCTGGAGACAATGCAAATATGATGAACGGAATTATGTTGATGTGGTAGTAAGAGTTTGTTTTTGTTGTATTTGTAGCTGCGTCATTGACTTTGAGCCTCCAGTTCCCTGTGATGCAGGAGAACAGGCTAAGTTTGAATCGGAGGAATTTTGTGGAAAGATACATGATGTCAATGGTAAGTTCATTCTGTTCTGAATATTGAATCCATCATTTCCTTTTCAACATTAAACAACTTTGTTTCAATTAACATTCCCTAATAACATATATGTTGATCATTTTGGTTACAAATGCTGTTGTGATGTAACTGATATTCATGTCACTTGTGAACAGGAGCATTCCAAGAATGCCATGCAGTGGTCAATCCAGAGCAATTCTTCATAACCTGCGTTCTTGACCAGTGTTGGATGGATGGGAACGAGCAGTTCCTCTGTGCCTCCATGCAGACCTACGCTGACCAGTGTGCCCAGCATGGGGTCATCGTCATGTGGAGGAACGACACCTTCTGCCGTGAGTGCACATCTGTCTGAGCTTTAATCCGTAACACATCACATTGCATGAGACTGGGCCTTGTTTTTATTCTGTGGAAGCACAATGTACATCTGTGTGGTTTGTTCATTTGTATAGCTGCTTGCAGTTGTGTATCCCCATTGTAATTGATCTCTGAGTATGTTTATCATTTGTGTTGACAGCGCTCGAATGCCCAGCAGACAGCCACTATGAGAGCTGTGCCCCATCATGCCCAGCCACGTGCAGCAATGTGACCCTCCCAGGTGCCTGCCAGCAGCCCTGTGGGGAGGGCTGTGTCTGTGACGAGGGCTTTGTCCTCTCAGGAGACAAGTGTGTCCCTCAGGATCAGTGTGGCTGCATGGACCACAACGACTTCTATCACCCAGTGGGTTAACCCTTCACATCATGTTTCTACGACAACATTTTACTTGAAAATCTCAATCATCAATGAGTATTTTTTGGGTATAATCAAGTTTCAGATTAAATTAACAATGGTGCCCTATTGGCCAATATTATAGCTTATGCATTCTATACATTGTATTTTACCATTGACACTCGTAATGCATTTCAAACCATAGAGAGTGTTTTGTCATTTTTCATTGAAAGAGTGATCCAGAATCCAAGTAAAAATCAGCAAATTCTTCTCTATGATAACAATCCAATACTTTGGATCAAACCACCCATATCAAAATGTATGTTGAACAACCTCTATCATCTAAAGCCACGCCAGTTTAATTTAAACAGGATGGGTGTCATTTACCCAATTCAACTGGGTTATTATCTCCGTTAAGCAGTGGTAGATTAGATGTAATTGGGAAGAGGCTCTAGGCTTTCGATTGTGTTGCAGCTTCAACTCCCCGTGCATCCTAGCGCTACCATCCTCTTGCAAACTCCATCCATTCCTGATTTCTAAATTAAATCGTCATCTTCATCAGTGGTGATCTTTGCATGACTGGAGGAAGGCCACCTCAAGATGCCACCACGTCTTAATGCTGCAAATTACCACAATCCATCTTTCTGTTCACACCAGCTGATCTCACTCCTCAGTCTTATCGGTAGTCTTCCTCTCATATTTGATGACGTTAATACAATCATATTCATCATGTAAATTAAGAGAAATGAGCCTCAGAAAATTGTTGAAGAGCTTAACAAGGAAATTGCAAAGTTGTACTGAAGATAAATACGAGATAAACAAAGCCATATCAACAAGTTTGTTGAAAAAAATCTGAGGGACACAGGTGGAAAATATTTAAACGAGCATGTGTGATGAGTATGTGTGACACGACTGCTGGACCGGCCCACTATCCTTAACTCACTTTTGTGGCTGCATTGTGTGATTTGAAATCTATCAATGTTATTAAGAGTAAACAAATGCACTGCCTTTAATATGTTGAATCTGTACACTCATGTATCGGCTTCATTCTCGGATAGCTTGTCAAATGATATAGCAATTCTTTACTGGATTTGTTATATGGAAATGAATATGTTTGTGCCGTCTAAAAAATATTACTTCTATAACATAATCATCATGTGCAATTGTTTTGCTGTAAATAACATCCAGGATTCCCAACATTCATGTGTTTTTTTGTAGCTTGGGGACAGCTGGTTTGCAACACAGAATTGCAGTCTGCATTGCTCCTGTGGCGCTGCTGGAGGTGTGGTCTGTGAGCCCTGGCAGTGTGGAGCCTCCGAGAACTGCAGTGTGCAGAACGGCATTTTCGGATGCCACAACGTTGGTAAGCTTTCACTTCATTTAGTGTCTCGATATGAATGTGGATTGTACACATCCAGAATGCACGTGTTGTATTTTAATTTACCATCCCGTTGGTCTCCCCAGCTGCAAAAAGTCCCCAGTGTAAAATTCTATTTGGCTCACAGTCCTAGTGTTGGCCCATTAGGTTATTGGTTGTCCACAGAAATAAAGATTGCTGCTGCACTTGATACAGTTTTGCTGAGAGATCGTAGACATGAAGCAGGATCATTAAGTTATTCCACTGTTAGAGCATGTGGCCTTAATACAAAACATAATCAGGTAGTCTACAGGGGACTTTACCGAAAGAACCAAAGAGTATTGATTCCTGCAGTTATGAAAGCTTAAAATCAGGATTGATGTCACCATCCCGGTAAAGCAGGTTTGATTCCAGATTGTATTTACGTTGAGAAGTTAGTTAGGTTTGCTAAGCCTGCAATGACCACCGATGTTGTAATAATTCAGGTGTATACAGTAAGGTCTCAGAATACGCGGGCTCAAGAGTACGCGGAATCGCTCATACGCGACCGACGCCGATTCATACTTAACACTTGCGACTCGACACTGTCGCGACACACACGGGGTGGGAAGTGAGGAGTCAAATCGCTCCCAGCCATCACGCCAACGTGGATTTGACGGCGTCTAACTGAAGTGCCCGCGCAAGAACCGAGTCCTAAACAAATATCATGTTCGATCTGACCTGGATGCTTCCAATGATTAGTGAATCATTAACTGTACAGTACTGCACTTTAACAAAAATGTATGTACATTTATATACATTTTATATATCCTCATATTTTATATATACACTCGTTTCGGAGAAACGAGGGTTAGGTGCACGGAACCTATCCCTCGCCGCATACTCTGAGACCTTACTCTTGCTTGATGCCGTGCAAGTCATCTGCAGCAATGAATATGCTGTGTATGTTTCTCTCCACAGCCGTTGACACAACTCCATCCACCATTCCCCAAACGATTCCCCCATTACATCTTGGTAAGATGCTATTTATTACATATTGGTCAATACATGTTGCATGAAAACTATATATTTTTGTGCATATTTAACAACTTTGCTGACATTTATTCTCAATACATGTTATATTAAATAAGAAATGAAGGCTAATGTCAAGAGTTTGGTCTATAATCTTAAATTAAGTGACAATGAATAAAGGCTTCAAATGCTACCCTGCATCTTCTCAACACATGTCCAAACCATCTAAGTCTGCTAAAGCTCTAACATCTTCATTCCACCTCCTTTCACTTGTGAGAATAAAATACAGGTCTTAAAACCAATTCCTATATTTAAGCTTTCCTTAGTGGCGTGCACAATAAGCTATTCAATCCGGCGAAATTATGCATTTCTTGGAAACTGATTGTGTTATTGTGTGTGGGTTTGTGGCCGATGTTTTTTCATTGTGTTACATTACAGGTGTGCACTGGACGCAGTGGTTTGATCACGACAACCCCCATGAGATTGGTGACTTTGAGACAGTGAAAACACTCAGAGAGGAATATCCTCAACAAATCTGCTCCAATCCCATTATAATAGAGGTGTGTATTAAGCTGGTGGAAAATATTTTAATGACATTTTTTTTAAAGGACATGAATGTTATTTATTTGTATACGAACATATGTACGCACATTTTGCCGAAAATAGGCTAGGACACTGGATGGAATTCTTGCTGAGGCGACTGGGCAAGTTTTCTACAGTAACTCAACATATGGATTTCAGTGTTTTAACCACCTCCAAGTGGACGGAAAATGTCATGACTATAAAGTCCGCTTCCTGTGTTGGGACTATGGTGAGTTCTGGAACATCTGGGCATTCTATGGTGGATACAGAATTTTAGAGAAATGCTAACATGTATAACATAATTAGTATTGCATTGCATGGATTAATGTGTGCATACATGGATTAATGTGTGCATACAATATTCTTAGTGTGGACGTGGCTGTGTTAATGTGTGGCTAAATCATAATGGCAGATAATGTATACTTCTACATTGTGCAATGGATGTTTGCAGGCATGATTTATGTTTGTGCAAGCCCATCACTTCCTGGGTTTTTATTTTGGTATTTTATAGTGTATAAACATGGACAATACTACTTTTGTTCAAAAATTGGTGTGGCTGACCAACAACTGCACATGTTACGGAAAATTGTGATGGCAAAATCTTAAACAATTCTTATCAGTCTTGATTTGAAGTTTTCGTGACTGCAAGAATTCATACTCTTTGGTTCTTTCGGAAAAGTCATGTAGAAAGAAAAATAAATAATAGATCACAACGTTTTGATCGCAACAAAGAGCATCGTCTTCAGGTGAGAGAGAGAAACAAGCCGAAAAAGAAAGAAAGAAAAAAGATGAGAAAGTGTTAACTGTTGTGTTAGCCGACTCTCTGAGTTGCATTACATTTCTAAGTTTGCTAAGTTTGATTTCTCATCTTAGTTTCTTTCTTTCTTTTTCGGCTTGTTTCTCTCTCTCACCTGAAGACGATTGCTTGTTGTTGTGATTGAAACGTCGTGATCTATTATTTATTTTTCTTTCTACGTGACTCTACCGAAAGAACCAAAGAGTATAATTCTTATCGGATTCACCATATTTAACGATGTCGTTAAGATGTATATGCACAATATATTTATAATGCTGTTTCATAACAGATGGACACTGGACACAGTGGTTTGATCGTGACAGCCCAACTGAGGATGGAGATTTTGAAACACTGCAGTGGCTGAGACATGAATATCCTGATCAGATATGCCCCCGTCCTGTTGAAATAGAGGTGAGTGTTAAGATATTGCAACAGTTGTTATGATCTTATTTTGTAAAGACAGCTGATGTCTATTTCTAACTGAAATATTCACGTACAAACAGGTTATGACACTGGATGGAGTACCAGTTGAGCTGACAGCAGAAGTTACCTTCAGCAACGCAACATATGGATTCGAGTGTTTTAACCACCTCCAGGCGAATAATCAGTGCCATGACTACCAAGTTCGTTTTCTATGTGGGAAAAGGGGTGAGTATTGAAGACCTGTTATTCGTAGTAAAACATTAAAGGCTTCATATTAAGCACAATTGCCTAGCTAACTAAGAGTTTCAAAGATATATCATCATGTGCTGCATATGTTGTTTGTAACAGACACATTTTTTACTTTTCCAGACGATCTTTTGGGAAACAATTGCCCAAGCTCTTTGGACTGGGCTGTGTGTATATATGTTGAACTTCTTTCGCTAATCGTAATAAAGCCATGGGCCTTCTTACAATGGCATCGGAATGTTCAAAATTAGAGGTGCAATTGTTAAAATATGACTCGACCCACAGATTTAACATATAAAAATGTAGTTATATTTATTATTTTATTGTTTCCCTTCTACGTGACTTTACCGAAAGAACCAAGAATATGAATCCCTGCAGTCACGAAAGCTTTAAATAAAAATGTATACCAAGTAGTACGGGGTAAACAAACAATACGTTTTAAACATTGCTTGGGAGCTAGAACAGTATAGTTTTTACTTTTATTGTTTTTTTTACAGACATCACTGCAGCTCCGTCCAGAGCTCCATCATCTGGTAATCAGAGACTACACAGCACAATACCATGTATTTATTCTCACATAATTCCAGTGTAAATATACAATATCGCATTGTCAAAATAAACAAACTAAACATTGATATTTGGACATCATTTTACATCTTCTAGATAAATGAAGGTGCAAACAAAAAAAAATGAACGTTAATTTATATACAGCCCAAATAACAGAGACAAAACTGTGATGAAAACGAATAGTTAAAATGGTGGCATGGACGGTCACCGTGAAGTGAACGGGCAATTTGTGAATTTCTTTCAGTAGCTGCAAGATGCTTGGTGACGGGAGACCCACATTACACGACATTTGATGGGCTCTTTTACGACTTCATGGGCGCGTGCATCTACACAACAGCCAAGCTGTGCAACATCTCCTCCTCCCTGCCCCACTTCAACGTGGAGACGAAAAACCAGCGCGCCAGCCCAAGCATATCTGTGCTCCAAGATGTTTATGTGGACGTATACGGACACAGGATAACCATGACTGCACGGGACACCCTACTGGTTAGTATTACACCTCATGATAGCACTGAGGTTTAATGCATCAGTAATATGTGACTCTGGTTCTTTTGGTAAAGTCACGTAGGTATAAAATAAAATTAAAATAAATCACGACGTTTCGATTGCAACATAAGCAATCATCATCAGGTGGGAAAACCACAGCAATAATTTTTTTTTGCCAAGTTAATTGCATCCCCAGCGTTTGGCATTGCTGCTGCATTGGCATTGTTGCTTCATTGGCATTGTTGCTGCAGTGGCGTTGTTGTTGCATCCTCCCCCCGCGCATCCTCAGCTCTCTCAGCCTCCCACTTCCAGTCCCGCCCACTTCCCCCCTCTCTTACCTATATAACCTCTTACCCACTTCAGCAAAACATTTTCTTGCTGTGGTTTTTCCACCTGATGATGATTGCTTGTGTTGCAATCGAAACGTCGTGATTTATTTTTATTTTATACCTACGTGACTTTACCGAAAGAACCAGAGAGTATGGATTCCTGCAGTCACGAAAGCTTCAAATCTAGTAATATGTGAGTTAAATGTTACATTATTAGCCTATTAGTTTGAGCTAGTGTAACAGACGGTGCAATTATACATCCACGTTGTGTTGACGCATGCAGAGGCTAATAGGAGGCACCAACCTAAGCCGAGTGTATATTCCACCACCAATTCATCTGTTATTTCTGCATTCTCACTTAACTCGCTGGTGCTTGGCTTCTAAGAAAAGAATGCAACATTTTCCTGGTTGTAATTCCCTACTGCCCACAATGGCAGTTCCTCCAAATATGATCTCACAGGCTGGAAATGGCAAATTGCGACAACATCTTCATGATAACAGTAATTAGTAAACATCCTTAGACCATCATCTCCGGATGCTCAGGAACCCGGTTTATATTAAGGTGGCTGCCTGAATCTGAATTGAGCATCTCAGCAGAGGTGTCTTTTTAGATGTGCCCTCTTAACTTGAGTCCAACCTTCACCATTAAATGAATGTGAGCCTTTGTGTTAATTGAAGGTGGCTTCATACGATTCTGCCACTTACTGCATGAACTGTACACAAATGCTCAACAATGTGGTACTCGGGTAATCTCAATTTTTAATTAGCAGTAATTAAAGACCATTAACCAACCAATAATAAATCTAAATTTATATTTAGACTCCTGGGATGTACAAGCATTATTATAAAAGGAAATCATTTCCTTAACACTTGAATCACTCATATGCTATAATCTACAGTTGGATGGGGAGCGGGTGACACCCCCACTGGTGTTGCCGGGGATGCACGTGTCTCTGAGCGGCTCATACCTCGTGCTCATGACCAACTTCAGCCTCACGGTTCGGCTCGGTTGGAATAATCAAGTGGAGGTGTCTGTACCAATGGAGTACGCTGGGCAGCTCTGTGGACTCTGCGGTGAGACTATGATCAAAATGTTCATGAGCATTATTGAAACCTGACTTGCGGTAGCATCAGTTACTAGATGAAACATTCCCCTTCAAATTGAAATTAATTGAGAATGGAAAGGTTGGTAGTGAATCCTATAGTTCATCAGCTTGTGATATGAACCTTATGGCGGTACCCCGGGGTACCATAGTACCCCGGCTCTCGCATAATGTCCGTGGTGCAGTCATTATTAGTCTGTTGATAGTCGGCGTTGTGGCAATCGACTCATCTCGACGAGCTGTGCACGATGCACTATTCAAAGTTGAAATTCTTCTGTACAACTGTAGTGACTGTGATTGTCACTGTGTGGTGCCGGGCTTACAAAGCCACGGCGGATAATGTCTTGGCATTACGTGTCGCCCGCTTACTGGGCATAGTACCAGCCCTAGCGAAGCTTGGGTGAGCGTTGGTTAGCGCAGAGGCACCGCGTACAGTGTGCGGTGTGGGCTCCGGGTGAAGGAGCGGGAGGGAGTGTCAGCCAGCCAGGGTTACGTTGGGGCATGATACACTGGTTGACCTGCCGACACGTGACCTGGAAGATATTGGAGGGTGGCAACATGAGCATTCAACACCCAAGTGTAGGTTGTGTTATGTTACGTTGATTTATTGAATGAATAGTGTTGCTCCCAAGGTAACGTCTGCGACTCAGTTGGACTCACTACACAACTGTTAAATGATGGGTGCTTCATCGGCCAACGAGATAAGCTAGAACCACTGGGATATAAATTTTAATCTAGGTTACAGCCACTTATCATTTAATTGGGTTCTCAAGTGCATTTGATTGTCTAAGCCCAGTCACCAATGACTATATATGTGTAGAGGTGTTACGGAGGGCTTAACAATCACACTGGGCGTGGTTATGCCCGTACGCCGATAGGCGCTTACATCGACGTCCGCACCGTTCAGCCTGGGGGGCTGACACGGAGCTGGGATCCCCCACGGCCCCACCCCTCAGTGGGGGAGTTGCTATATAAGGCGGTGAGCCGGAGGGCTAGGGGTTCAGTGTTCAGCCTTAACCAGTGAAGCAAGAAGACCTGCTAGATAGGCCCTGGGACTCCCCTGGCTCGCTGTCCTTCTCAGGACCGACCAGGGCAAGCCAGTGGCGTGGCCCCGAGAGCCCAGAGCCGATGCTCTTGTAAGAGCCGGTCTGGGGACTCAGGGTGCCGTAATCCCAGCTTAACCAGGGCTGGGTTAGCTAGCCTCCCCTAGCCCGGTAGTGGAGGACCTAGGAGTAGGCTAGCTGTGACATAGAGTGTTGATCTCCCAGTTATACGGGTGAAGGGGCCGATACCCCTTCAAGTGTTGTACATCTCGGCCTGTTATGTACTTTGTGCTTAATAAATAAGTGTGCCTCCAACTACATCGTCCAAGTCTCCTGGAATCTACTACAACTGGCGTCAGAAGTGGTCTTCTAAGGATGGATAACAAGACGGACGGCTCGTACCAGGGAACCGGGGGAGGAGGAAACCTCGGCCAACTCAGAGCCCGAGATTGCGGAGGGCGAATCCGAGCAACCGGGGCCGAGTCCACCCACACCGCAACGGCAGGACGGATGGGGACCGTCGGCTGATGGACTACGGCTGGCTCACTCCCGCCTGGCGGAGCTACTCTACGCAGCAGGCGCCACGTTGGAGGAAATTACTCGCCTGGAGGCTGGAGGAGCGGCACGGGGCGACGACGGACGACACGTGGCGCCGGTTCCCGCCATTTCTACGGGCCTGGAAGTCGGATTTGCTGCCATCAGTTCAGTGGGTGCTGAGGGCGGGGCCGGGCTACGTCAGGCGACCGACTCTCGCCAACCAGGAACCGCCACGTCATCAATGGCGGCCAGCGTGTCACCAGAAGAGCAACCGCCGATGCCACCCGCCCTTCCCGCCAAAACTGTACGGAGTGGCGGGAACGACGGGGCGCGATCTTCAACTGCGGACGCCGCGTTACAGCAGCGATTACCACCTCTCAAGGAGTTCGTGGGGGAAGACGGTGACTGGGGAGGCTTCCAAAGGCGCTTCCTCGCTCACCAAGAAATGGCACAATGGACGGATGACGAGGCGCTACGCGCGCTACCGGCGATGCTCGACAGTGACGCCCTCGCTACCCTCACCTCGGCGCCAAGAGCGAAGCGCGCCATGCTGCAAATGGCGCTTCAACTCCTGTCTGCAGTCTATGGACCACCTTCGGACTGCAGGCAGCTGTTCTACGATCGCCAGCGGGGCGCCAAGGAATCGCCTTCGGCATACCGCACAGCTCTCCTGGCCCTAGCGAAGGCGGCTTTTCCTCGGATGGACGAGGAAGGGGTGGATGCCATGGTGGCAGAGAAGATACTGCTGTTGGCGGACGATTTGGACATTGTCGTCTTGGCATAAGATGACACGGAGATGTGTTCCCTGCCAGCCGCGCGGCACATCCACGCTAACTTGCTTTCCCAGCGTCGCAAGGCCAGCAAGGCGGCGGCCGGGCATACCATGGCTGCAACCACCCTCCCATCGGAAGAGGTCTGCGCTGTGGATCGCCCGATGGAGTGGAGAGCCGGGGGACGACCGGCTCGGGACGGACCGAGCCGCCGGGATCAGCCCAAGCCGTCTGGGGCGCTCACGCGCTGCTACAACTGTGGCCTCCGGGGCCATGTGGCTTCGGGATGCCGGGCTCCTCGACAGCGCGGGGCGACACCTTGGCCGGACGTCGCGCCTCTACCCAAGCCTCACCAGCAAACTCCGGCGAGTCGTGGCACCCCACATGTTTGGCCTACGCACACACCTATGACACACTCACGCACTGCAACAAACGGGGGTCAAACATTGCCTGTCGTCGCGCCGAAACGTACCACAGTGGGGAGTGCGTTCCAACCGGGCCAGTGGTCCGAGTTGGCCCATCGTGTTGTTGCCGCGTCGTCGGGGTCGTCGGTCGTTGTGGGGCATTTCGATGGGGTTGAGGTGCGGGTCTTAGTTGATACGGGAGCATCGGCAACTATAGTGTCCGATTTGATTTATAACATTCTCCCCGTTCAAAGCCGTCCTTTGCTCCCCGTTGATGTTCCATGCTATACTGCTAACGGGGGCTCGCTGGGCATTATCGGACAGATCTGCGTGCAAATTTGTATTGGGGACATAAAATTATCCGGCCCCATATTGGTCTCCTCCTCGCTGGCGGTTCCGTGCCTGTTGGGGACGGATTTCTTGGCCAAAATGCCGATTCGTATCTTGGTCGACCAGGGTTGCATCGAACTCCCGTCGGGCCGACGTATGATGTTTTTGTCCTCTCCCGCTACTGTCCGTACGGCATTTGCGACGGTACAGGCGCTGGTGGCGAGGACGGTACGCGTACCGCCGGGAGCTCAGATGCTCGTGCCTCTTAGGCTGCGGCGACCATTTGCCCAGGGCGTTGGGGATCGGGGGGTTCTGTTGGGACCATCTAGGGCCAGGGGTCAACGGACCCGATATGATAGCGGCCCAGACCATTGTAAAAGGGGACGGGGATCCCTTCATCGTGGTTCTCAATGTGGGATCGCGAACGGCTGTGGTTCCTCAAGGGGCCGTGCTTGTGCATGCGACGCCGGTACCCTGTGAGGAACGGGTTATTGGTCAGGTGAGCGCCGCACCGCCGGCGCGACCGCATTCGGACCGTGACGAGGGGTGGCTGGATGCGCTTTGTGCGGGATCATCGGACCTGTCAGACTTACAGCGTGAGAGGCTTCGAATCCTCCTGCGTGAGTTTTCTGACGTTTTTAGTCAAAACAAATACGATATTGGGTGTACTAAACTGCTGCGACACCATATTGACACGGGTGACAGCGCGCCAATCTACCAGAATCCTTTTCTGTTGAGTCCCGCCGAAAAGGATCATGTCAAATCGGCCATAGACGACATGCTGGCTGCGGATATTATATCTCCTTCTACCAGCCCTTGGGGTGCGCCGTCTTAGTTAAAAAACATTATGGCTCATTGCAGTTTTGTGTCGATTTTCGTCGGCTGAACAAGATTTCTGTAGCCGACGCATACCCGCTTCCTCGGATGGATGAATCGCTTGATGCCCTGGCAGGGGCGCGGTTCTTCTCCACATTGGATTTGTTGTCCGGGTTCTGGCAGCTCCCTCTGGATGATTAATCTAAACCGAAAACTGCTTTCCGTACGCCGCACGGCCTTTTCCAATTTAACCAGTTACCGATGGGGCTACATTCAGCGCCGGCAACTTTTCAGCGATTAATGGAATTGGTCCTGGCGGGGTTGCAATGGGATTCATGTTTGATTTACTTAGACGATGTCATCGTCTTTAGTAAAACATTCGATGAACACCTACAGAGGTTGCGTGCCGTTTTTCTAAAAATGCGGGTTGCTAATTTGAAATTCAAGCCCCAGAAGTGTCATTTGCTCCGCGAATCAGTGCGGTATTTGGGTCACATTGTCGGGCGTTCAGGTATTGCCACAGATCCCGCCAAAACGCAATGTGTCAGCTCCTGGCCGACGCCCACCTCGGTGGGGGAGGTCAGGAGTTTCATTGGATTCGCGTCGTATTACCGTCGGTTTGTCGCTGATTTCGCTACGATTGCGAAACCCTTACATGCCTTGACATCCAAAGGGGTCAAGTTTCATTGCGGTAAGAAGGAGGAGGCTGCTTTTCGCTCCCTCCGGGACGCCCTAGTGGGGGCTCCGCCGTTGAGTTACCCTGACTTTATGAAACCCTTCTTGCTCGATACGGATGCAAGCAACACGGGCATTGGGGGCGTGCTTTCGCAGGTTGTTGGGGGCGTAGAGCATGTGGTTGCGTACAGCAGTCAGGTGTTGTCTCCGGCGGAACAAAGGTACTGTGTTACCCGTCGGGAACTATTGGCGATCGTTTACTTCATTCAGTAATATCGCCCATATCTGTACGGTCAACGTTTCACCGTCCGCACAGATCATGCGGCGCTGCAGTACGCCTTGCGGGTTCAACAGCCATCGGGCCAATTGTCTCGATGGTTGGAGATTCTCCAGGATTTTGATTTTGAAACTACTTATCGTAAGGGCGTTTGCCACACAAACGCAGACGCTCTGTCGCGTTTGCCGCCCACCTCCGAGTGCGCTTGCCTCCTGGGTTCGGGGCATTGCAGACCTCCGAATGTGATCGCTGATTCGGTCCTTGCGGCCGCCGCTGATGCGCCTTCGGTTGCCGGTCCTATTGAGCATGATGGGAGGGATTCTTTGCTGGGGTTGTCGGTTGTGGAGTGGGGGCGCCTCCAAATGGAGGACACCTCCCTCCTCGCTTTGCGCCGTCGCATCAGGGGAGTTGGTCGGGGGGCGGAAAATGTCGACTCGTGGGGGTTATTTCAAGGTCTTTTGATGCATTGGGACGGGAGATCCCGCCGCCACCGGCTGGTGGTTCCTTCCGCATTGAGGGGTAGAGTGGTGTGGGCTGCGCACGAGCGACTCCTTCACCTGGTGACTCACAAAACCCTTGCCATGCTCCAGCTGGATTTTTCTTGGCCGGGCATGGCAAGGGACGTGGATGACCTTTTAGGGTCGTGTACTCAGTGCGCGCAACGGAAGCCACCAGCGCGGGGGTCCAACCCACCATTGCAGTCTATCAAAGTCTCGTTGCGCTTGATATTCTGGGCCCATTCCCCGCTACACCTAGGGGAAATAGATACCTATTGACCGGGGTAGAATATTTTAGGCGATGGCCTATGGCCTGGCCCCTCGCCAACCAGTCGGCAGCAGCCATCGCGGAGGCCTTTGTCCAGGGCTACGTCCTCGACAAGGGTGCTCCGGAGCGGCTGCTGACCGACCAGGGTAAAACAATTTTGGGTAAACTTCTCCACGAAGTATACGAGCTCCTGGGAACGAAGAAATATTCGTATCTCCTTGTCTAAGCTGGTGCGGCCGTGGCGGGGGCCCGTGGAAGTGGTGCAGGTCTTGCGGCCACAATGTGTGCGTATCCGGTGGGGGAAGCGTAGGTGGTTCGTGCACCCCTCCAGGTTGAAACCGTTTGTTGCGCCAAATGTTCCTACCACACACACGCGTGGCCAAACATGTGAGGGGTCCACCGACTCCCGGAGTCCGACTTCGCTGCTTTCGCCTAACTTGCCACCAACTGTTCCACCTCCAGGTGCACCAGGATTGACGTGCTCACGACCGCCAACCCCTCCCGGGGGGGTCGGGGGTCGCTCGGCAGCGAAGCCTGACTCTCTCGCACCCGGACTGTTGACACTCACCACTGGGCCAACCGGGGTTGCCCCTTGTGACGGCCCCGCTGCAAGAACGCGCGCCAAAACGCGCAGACTTTTGTGAGGTCGGCCGCTTATGCGGCCCTTGCGGGGGTCGGGGAGTGGGGGGGGTCCTGGAAATTGTATATATGTTGGGTTTTTACGGGATGCGGTATTTATTTGGGGGGGGGGTGCGTCGGGTTATTGTTCTCTTTCTTGTTGTTCTTGTTCATTGTTGTTCTTGTTAAATTATGCGAGGCACACACGGATTTGGGGGGATGCATCTTTATTGAGATTTTGTTGCAGCCGGGATGGCTGCGGGCTGCACAGGGGGGGGGGTGATGTAGAGGTGTTACGGAGGGCTTAAAAAACACACTGGGCGTGGTTATGCCCGTACGCCAAGAGGCGCTTACATCGACGTCCGCACCGTTCAGCCTGGGGGGCTGACACGGAGCTGGGATCCCTCACGGCCCCACCCCTCAGTGGGGGAGTTGCTATATAAGGCGGTGAGCCGGAGGGCTCGGGGTTCAGTGTTCAGCCTTAACCAGTGAAGCAAGAAGTCCTGCTAGATAGGCCCTGGGACTCCCCTGGCTCGCTGTCCTTCTCAGGACCGACCAGGGCAAGCCAGTGGCGTGGCCCCGAGAGCCCAGAGCCGATGCTCTTGTAAGAGCCGGTCTGGGGACTCAGGGTGCCGTAATCCCAGCTTAACCAGGGCTGGGTTAGCTAGCCTCCCCTAGCCCGGTAGTGGAGGACCTAGGAGTAGGCTAGCTGTGACATAGAGTGTTGATCTCCCAGTTATACGGGTGAAGGGGCCGATACCCCTTCAAGTGTTGTACATCTCGGCCTGTTATGTACTTTGTGCTTAATAAATAAGTGTGCCTCCAACTACGTCATCCAAGTCTCCTGGAACCTACTACATATGTATAAAAAATTGCAGGTTAAATGTTCAATTTTATTCGGCTGAATAGCAGATCTGTCATGTGAAAAATCTCATCGCTGCACACACATTCATACACAAAACACATTAATTTGGTTTTAACTTACTTTGTATTCCAGCATTGAAAGCTTAAAAATCGGTTTGACTTTCATGGGAAAAGCTCATCGCAGGGTGCATGGGAGAGTTCGACCACGAGTTTGTAAGACATCCTGCATCAAATAATAACAATTCGCCTGAGACTTCCAAATGGCTTCTTCGTCTCATCATATGGCGCTACGACCTTGAAATAAATTGGACAGAACAAAAGATCCCTTTTTTTCCGTTTCACGTGCACAGTTTATGGCAAACGGGCAGCGAGCCTCACTCATCTTTCAAAGGGAATTTAGCGACACTCTTGCACCACGGTACCCCACAGTACACCCGAACAAAATCGCTACCCTCAGGGGTGTAAAGATTCACTCTACTCCCCCACCCTTCACTCCCCGAAAAAATAGTGTCCCAGAAATAAAATATTTAATTGCCTCGGCCATGTTGTATTATTTGCTACTCCGGGGTTACCGCCATCAGGATCATATGACGGATGAGACACAGCACTTTGTGAAATGGATTGGCGAAGACACACAAATCCTATGTGGAGAAATAAGAGAGTAAGACAGTTCAGAACATAGGGATCACTGATTTGGGCATTTCAGAAAGGCTAGAAACATAAAAGTACTGTAGAAGAACACAACACATAGCAGCAGTACTGTAGCAGAGGCAGCAAAGAGATGTGATGAAGACAGTCCAGGTGCTCAGACAGAGCTACATCATCCATCGGGAGGACAAGCGCTTGATTTAGTTGCACCAAGCAGTTGTAGTGCTCACTTTGATGCACCATCCCTGAGGTGGGAGCATTACTATATTTTAGGCAGACCATTGATTTGTTAAAGTGTTTTGAGTTAAAGCTGCTCAACAGATTGTGTGCAATCTTTTGCTTCTAGAATCCATGATTTTAAAATGGTCCAGCCCCTTGTGAATCCACTGCTAGATGAAGGCCTCTCTAAGTTGCGTCGGTCATGGGGGTTGTTTGACCATACTTCATGCTGGACACTGCATGTTGCAATGGGGCCCAGGACCGTTTCATATATCACTCACCACTCATGTTAGCCCTGGCTGGCAAAGTTTTCTTTTCATGTATTATTTGTCATTTTGTAATGTCACATAATCTTACAATTCCAAATGTTTGCTCCTTATTTTATGAGGAGCAGTATTCTGGGAGTGAAGCCACACGTTTGGTGGACCATTTGAATGTTGTTGTCTTTTGAACAGGAAATTTTAATGGTGATATTGAGGATGACTTCCTGATGCCAAATGGATCATTGGCTGCTTCCGAAACCAAGCTGGGAAACAGTTGGATATCAGATAACAGCTCAGCTGAGTGAGTGATCACTCACCTATTTTGCATCTTTGTTCACGAAAACTGCACTTTCTGTTTGCTTTGTGGCTTCATTGACAGTTTCGCTGGTGGTAAATTGCTGCATCCCATTTCACGCTTTTTACGATATTTAAAATAATTTTAGAAGTCAAGATTTGTGCCGCTCAATCCACTCAGCACACATAGAATTTGAAGAATCTGCCAAATACACGTCATTGTGTATTTTCTGCCCATGGACAAAGCTGATCATTCAGTCTCAGCCTATATTGCCGAATGCCATGGCTCTGTTCATGGACTGGTGGACTATGAATTGCGTCTTAGCTTCACTATAACCTCACCGACTTTGATCCATTTCTCCTTGTGGACTCAGGCACAGCAGAATGTGCTGCACAGGTGGTGCAAATACTGCTGCGTGGATTGCAGTTTGTGGACCTGTGATAGGTTCTAGAAAGCACCCATCTTTCTGCCTAAGTAGGGAGGATCGATATTCACATACATTATATTTGGGTCCCTTGTCTCCGATTTAAAAATGGTTACAGTAAGTGACCGGTTTTTCTGAAGGCAATGCAAGGGTGATGAATGGAATGATCTTGATGCGGTAATAAGAGTTTGTTTTTTGTTTTATTTGCAGCTGCGACGTTGACGTTGAGCCTCCAGGTCCCTGTGATGCAGAAGAACAGGCTAAGTTTGAATCGGAGGAATTTTGTGGAAAGATACATTATGTCAATGGTAAGTCCAGATATGTATGACTGCTGAACGCGTAATTTCCCTTTAAACAACTTTGTTTCAATTCAGATATAATACAGAAATATACGTTGATAGTTCTAGTTTAAGTTGATTGGTTTAGTTTTACTCTATGGGATGTCTAGCAAAAACATTAGCAAGCTGGAGCATGTTCAACATTATTTGGCAAATGTTGTGACGGGTACTGGAAAATCCGACCATGCCCATCTATTTCTCGCTGAACTGCTTTGGCTTTCTGTTGCTGAACGAATACATTACAAGTTCACACACACTACACACAAAGTGGTTGCAACACATATGAACCACAATACCTTGCTGATCTCATCAAGGATCATAAACAATCAGGCATCCTCACAGCAGCTTTTGGCTAACCATCGAACAAAGATGGCCACTGCATCAAGGGCTTTCAGATGCACTTCTACAGCCGTCTGGAACACACTTCCTTCTAATATTAGCAAGCCACTGGAGCTCTGTACTTTTTACATAAAACATTTAAACTCATTACTTTAGAACAGTTTTATTGTTTAGTTTGTTGTCCTTCCCCCGCACCTCCGATTAGCACGGTTGACGACATACGGTGCGACAGAAGGTCAACATACGTACATACGTAGTTACAAATATCGCTGTGTTGTAAATTATATTCACGTCGCTTGTGAACAGGAGCATTCCAAGAGTGCCATGCAGTGGTCAATCCAGAGCAATTCTTCATCACCTGCGTTCTTGACCAGTGCTGGATGGATGGGAAAGAGCAGTTCCTCTGTGACTCCATGCAGACCTACGCTGACCAGTGTGCCCAGCATGGGGTCATCGTCATGTGGAGGAACGACACCTTCTGCCGTGAGTGCACATCTGTCTGAGCTTTAATCCGTAACACATCACATTGCATGAGACTGGGCCTTGTTTTTATTCTGTGGAAACACAATCTACATCTGTGTGGTTTGTTCATTTGTATAGCTGCTTGCAGTTGTGCATCCCCATTCTAATTTATCTCTGAGTATGTTTATCGTTTGTGTTGACAGCGCTCGAGTGCCCAGCAGACAGCCACTATGAGAGCTGTGCCCCACCGTGCCCAGCCACGTGCAGCAATGTGACCCTCCCAGGTGCCTGCCAGCAGCCCTGTGGGGAGGGCTGTGTCTGTGATGAGGGTTTTGTCCTCTCAGGAGACAAGTGTGTCCCTCAAGATCAGTGTGGCTGCATGGACCACAACGAATTCTATCACCCGGTGGGTTAACCCTTCACATCATGTCTATTCAACAGTGATCATTTATTAATATCCACAGAGGCAAGCTAAGCCCTGTATTGTTTTGGTATATGACGTACCAGTGAACATCTTCCTTTTTAAGACTAATATATGAGTAAAGATGAGTGCATTAAGTTTCACGCTGGAGTAAAATGGTGAAAATTATTAACAAAATGAACAAATGCAATGTATGTATGTTACAATGCTGTTGAAATATATCAGATAATGTTTCAGTAAGCTTTTCCTAATATGTACAGTATATTTCATGATTCTCATCGTGCATTGGTTTTCACAGCTTGGGGACAGCTGGTTTGCAACACAGAACTGCAGTCTGCATTGCTCTTGTGGCGATGCTGGAGGCGTGGTCTGTGAGCCCTGGCAGTGTGGAGCCTTTGAGATCTGCAGTGTGCAGAATGGAAGCCTGGGCTGTCACAGCAATGGTAAGATTTTCCCTACATGTCCTCCCCCAATGTAAGAAATAATCAAAACCGCTCATTTGCAATGACTTTTCGGCCCATAAAATGATAGTGATATTGCAACTAAAATTATAATATTGTATGCGTATTTTGTGTTCATCTTAAAAGTATGCTTCCATTTGTGATTCATCAATATATGTATTTGTGTATATTTATGTATGTTGTACTTCTTTCGCTAATCGTAAGAAAGCCATGGGCCTTCTTGCAATGGCATCGGGATGTTTAAAATTAGAGGTGCAATTGTTAAAATATGACTCGGCCCACAGATTTAACATAGAAAAATATAGTTATACCGAGTAGTATGGGGAAAACAAACAATACTTTTTCAAACATTGCTTGGCAGCGAGAACACTATAGTTTTTACTTTTCTGTTTTTTTACAGATATCACCACTGCAGCTTCCATCCACAGCTCCATCATCTGGTAATCAGTGACTACACAGCACAATACCATGTATTTATTCTCACATATCTCCAGTGTAAATATACAATATCGCATTGTAAAAATAAACCAACTAAACATTGAAGCTTGGACATAATTTTATATCTTCTAGATAAATAAAGGTGCAATAAAAAAAAGTGAACGTTCATTTATTTACAGCCAAATAACGAGGACAAAACTGTAAAGCAAAGGAATGGTTAAAATGGCGACATGGACTGTCACCGTGAAGTGAACGGGAAATTTGTGAATTTATTTTAGGAGCTGCAAAATGCTTGGCGATGGGAGACCCACATTACACGACGTTTGATGGGCTCTATTACCACTTCATGGGCGCGTGCATCTACACAACAGCCAAGCTGTGCAACATCTCCTCCTCCCTGCCCCACTTCAATGTGGAGACGAAAAACGACCGCCGTGGCTCTACAAGCGTATCTTATGTCCGAGATGTTCACGTGGACGTGTACGGACACAGGGTCACCTTGTCTTTACAGCACGCCCTCCTGGTTAGTATTACACCTCGTGTTAGCGCCGAGATTATAGAACAAATGAGTTAAATGTAAAAGACAATTATGCATATACATGGTGTGGACTCAAGCAGAGGCGATGGAACAAACTAATATTGGGGAGGACAGACGAGACGAGCATAAGTGGAAGTGGGTGTGGCAGGCCTGGATTTAGCTTGAGCCTGATTAGCATTTTGATGGGTGACCCATAGGGATCGCCAGGTGCTGTAGGCATGGCACTGTGAGGTGGACAGTAGATGGCAGTTCAGTTTCTCTGGTTTCCTCATTTATATAACTGTTCAAACATCTCAACGCAGGATCCTCCGGGAAAAAAAAGATTCATCAAGGTTTTGTTTTTGGTAAATAATTTATATTAAAATATTTATAATTATTAATAGATGGGTGATTGTCATGACACTGAGAGAGACAAGGAGACAAACATGAAGTCTTACAGATGCTGTGCTCCCCTCATTTGAATCCAGCCTCAAAAGTAATGTGAGGCTTTGTGTGAATCGAATGTGGCTTGATGTGATTTGGCTCCAATTATACAGACATTTTAAATAAGAGAATGGGGTACAATACTTAGGTCTCAAAAGCCCAATTCTTAAGCAGAAGTAATGATAGTGTTTTTTTACCAGAAATAATCAAACGTATATTAAACCAAAGACCACTGGGATATACAAGCATTATTATGAAGGAAAATAAATTCCTTAACGCTTGAATCACTCATGTACTATGATCTACAGTTGGATGGGGAGCGGGTGACGCCCCCACTGGTGTTACCGGGGATGCACGTGTCTCTGAGCGGCTCATACCTCGTGCTCATGACCAACTTCAGCCTCACGGTTCGTTTCGATGGGAACCATCAAGTGGAGGTGTCTGTACCAATGGAGTACGCTGGGCAGCTCTGTGGACTCTGCGGTGAGACTATGATCAGAATGTTCATGAGCATTATTGAAACCTGACTTGCGTTCGCATTGGTTACAAGCTTAAACATTCCCCTTCAAATTGAAATTAATTGAGAATGGAAAGGTTGGTAGTGAGTCCTGAAGTTCATCAGCTTGTGATATGACGGATGAGACACAGCACTTTGTGAAATGGATTGTCAAAAACACACAAATCCTATGTGGAGAAATAAGAGAGTTCAGAAGATAGGTGCACTGATATGGGCATTTCAGAAGAGCACGAAACATAAAAGTACCGTAGAAGAACACAACACATAGCAGCAGTACTGTAGCAGAGGCAGCAAAGAGATGTGATGAAGACAGTCCAGGTGCTCAGACAGAGCTACATCATCCATAGGGAGGACAGCGCTTGATTTAGTTGCACCAAGCAGTTGTAGTGCTCACTTTGATACACCATCCCTGAGGTGGGAGCATTACTATATTTTGGGCAGACCATTGATTTTTTAAAGTGTTTTGAGTTAAAGCTACTTAACAGATTGTGTGCGAAACAGCATAAAAAAGCAACGCAACATTCACAGAGGCACTCTTACGAATTATAAGATAAGGCAGAAGATAAGGAGTTTTCAAGGATAACACATTAACGGCAATGGTAAAGAGAAACCGATTATGAAGACATTCACGATGGATTTGAATAAGTTATTATTAATCTTTTGCTTCTAGAATCCATGACTTAAAAATGGTCCAGCCCCTTCTGAATCCACTGGTAGATGAAGGCCTCTCTAAGTTGCGTCAGTCATGGGGGTTGTTTGACCATTCTCCATGCTGGTCACTGCATGTTGCAATGGGGCCCAGGACCAGTTCGTAAGTCACTCACCACTCGTGTCTGCCCTAGCTGGTAAAGTTATATTTTGATGTATTATTTGTCATTTTGTAATGTCACGTAATCTTACAATTCCCAATGTTTGCTCTGTATAAACGTATGCTCCTAATTTTACGAGGAGCAGTATTATGGGAGTGAAGCCACACGTTTGGTGGACCATGTGAATGTCATCATTGTCTTTTGAACAGGAAACTTTAATGGTGATATTGAGGATGACTTACTGATGCCAAATGGATCATTGGCTGCTTCCGAAACCAAGCTGGGAAACAGTTGGATATCAGATAACAGCTCAGCTGAGTGAGTGATCACTCGCCCATTTTGCATCTTTGTGTAAAATATTGTTCACAAAAACTGCACTTTCTGTTTGCTTTCTGGCTTTCTAGAAAGTTTCGCTGGTGTTAAATTGCTGCACACCATTTCCCGCTTTTTACACTTTTTAAAATGATTTTATGAGTCAAGATTTGTGCCGCTCAATCCACTCGGCACCCATGTAATTCGAAGAATCTGCCAAATACACGTCATTGTGAATTTTCTGCCCATGGACGAAGCTGACCATTCAGTCTCATCTTCTGTTCCCGAATGCCATTTCTCTGTTCATGGACTGGTGGATCATGAATTGCGTCTTCGCTTCACTATAGCCTCACAGACTTTGATCCATTTCTCCTGTGGACTCAGGCACAGCAGAATGTGCTGCACAGGTAGTGCAAATACTGCTGCGTGGATTGCAGTTTGTGGACCTGTGATAGGTTCTAGAAAACACCCATCTTTCTGCCTAAGTGGGGAGGATCGATATTCACATACATTATATTTGGGCCCCTTGTCTCCAATTTAAAAATGGTTACAGTAAGTGACTGGTTTTTCTGAAGGCCAATGCAAGGGTGATGAATGAAATGATGTTGACGTGGTAATAAGAGTTTGTTTTTCGATTTATTTCAGCTGCGACGTTGACTTTGAGCCTCCAGGTCCCTGTGATGCAGAAGAACAGGCTAAGTTTGAATCGGGAGGAATTTTGTGGAAAGATACATGATGTCAATGGTAAGTCCAGTTATGTATTACTGCTGAATGCATTATTTCCCTTTAAACAACTTTGTTTCAATTCAGATATAATACAGAAATATACGTTGATAGTTCTAGTTTATGTTGATAGTTTTACTCTACGGGATGTCTAGCAAAAACATTAGCAAGCTTCAGCATGTTCAACATTATTTGGCAAGTGTTGTGACGGGTACTGGAACACGTTCCTTCGGAGTGGGCAGGTAGGAACTCGGTTGGACAGCGCATTCGTGCACGACAGACAAATATTCCCTGGTGGGCAGTGTGGAACTGTTGTTCCTATTTGTAAAATCCGTCCATGCCCATCTATTTCTCGCTGAACTGCATTGGCTTCCGGTTGCTGAACGAATATATTACAAGTTCACACTCACTGCACACAAAGTACTTGTTACAAATGAACCACAATACTCTGCTGATCTCATCCAGGAGCATAAACAGTCACGCAGCAGCTTTTGGCTAACCATCGAACATAGATGGCCACTGCATCAAGGGCTTTCAGATGCACTTCTACAGCCGTCTGGAACACACTTCCTTCCAATATTAGGAAGCCACTGGAGCTCTGTACTTTTATATCAAAATTTAAAACTCATTACTTTAGAACAGTTTTATTGTTTAGTTTGTTGTCCTTCCCCCGCACCTCCGATTAGCACGGTTGACGACATACGGTGCGACAGAAGGTCAACATACGTACATACATAGTTACAAATATCGTTGTGTTGTAAATTATATTCACGTCGCTTGTGAACAGGAGCATTCCAAGAGTGCCATGCAGTGGTCAATCCAGAGCAATTCTTCATCACCTGCGTTCTTGACCAGTGCTGGATGGATGGGAACGAGCAGTTCCTCTGTGCCTCCATGCAGACCTACGCTGACCAGTGTGCCCAGCATGGGGTCATCATCATGTGGAGGAACGACACCTTCTGCCGTGAGTGCACATCTGTCTGAGCTTTAATCCGTAACACATCACATTGCATGAGACTGGGCCTTGTTTTTATTCTGTGGAAGCACAATGTACATCTGTGTGGTTTGTTCATTTGTATAGCTGCTTGCAGTTGTGTATCCCCATTGTAATTGATCTCTGAGTATGTTTATTCGTTTGTGTTGACAGCGCTCGAGTGCCCAGCAGACAGCCACTATGAGAGTTGTGCCCCACCGTGCCCAGCCACGTGCAGCAATGTGACCCTCCCAGGTGCCTGCCAGCAGCCCTGTGGGGAGGGCTGTGTCTGTAAGGAGGGTTTTGTCCTCTCAGGAGACAAGTGTGTCACTCAAGATCAGTGTGGCTGCCTGGACCACAACGACTTCTATCACCCGGTGGGTTAACCCTTCACATCATGTCTATTCAACAGTGATCATTTATTAATATCCACAGAGGCAAGCTAAGCCCTGTATTGTTTTGGTATATGACGTACAAGTGAACATCTTCCTTTTTAAGACTAATATATGATTAAACATGGAGTGCATTAAGTTTCACGCTGGAGTAAAATGGTGAAAATGATAAACAAAATGAACAAATGCAATGTATGTATGTTGCAATGCTGTTGAAATATATCAGATAAGGTTTTAGTTAGCTTTTCCTGTTATGTATATTTCTTGATTCTCATCGTGCATTGGTTTTCGCAGCTTGGGGACAGCTGGTTTGCAACACAGAACTGCAGTCTGCATTGCACTTGTGGCAATGCTGGAGGCGTGGTCTGTGAGCCCTGGCAGTGTGGAGTCTCCGAGATCTGCAGTGTGCAGAATGGAAGCCTGGGCTGTCACAGCTATGGTAAGATTTTCCCTTCATGTCCTACCCCAATATAAGAAAGGATCAAGACCGCTCATTTGCAAAGACTTTTCAGCCCATTAAATGATAGTGATATTGCAACTAAAATTATAATATTGTATGCGTATTTTGTGTTAATCATAAAATTATGCTTGCATTTGTGATACATCAATATATTTATTTGTGTATATTTCTTACCACAGATGCCACAACAGTTTCACCACCAACAACAACTGCTCCTCCAAGCATAAGTAATCAAGGACTACACATGGATATCTCTTGCCCAGGATATTTACTTACAAAATAAATGTTTCAGAACTTTTGCTCTAATATATATTGCTCTGAATGTGTTCAACAAAGCATGGAGCCTTCAAAACTGGTCCAAATGCTGGCAATTTACTAATTTATTCTCATTGTTCAAAGATTGCATGTTGATGGTTCAAACACGGATTTGAGAGATTGAAACAAATCTTGCCTGTTTTTAACTTCATTTAGTGTAGTTCTGATTTGAGGGGAGAATTTTTTAATATTAACGGAGAAAAATAATGGCTCCATCTCGAGTTCATGAAGATATTCTTGTTTCATCTTCTTGGTTCTTTCGGTAAAGTCACGTAGAAGGAAAATAATAAAATAATAAAAATAAAACATAATAAAATAATTCTCACGACGTTTCGGCCACAACGCAAGCAGCCGTCTTCAGGTGGAGAACAGGTCTGTCAAGTAGACAGAGTCTGAATGGCACGCTCCAGGCTTGGAGCGACTATTTATGCTGGGATGGAGGGGCGAAGAGCGTCTTGACAAAATAATTTGCATATCAAGAGGAATTTAGCATATTTATGGGAAATGCAGATATGCGATTAGTACTACTTGTGAAATGCGTAGGAGGTTTGGCGAGGGGTTTAAAGTCATTATGCCCATGCATTATGCAGGATTAGCAGTATCAAAGGGAGGGAGTAAGGTTAGAATTAATAAAGGGAATGAATGTTAATAATATGGCGCCGCAGCAACTAATATGCTTATTGACTATACATTGTCATATTACACTGTTTTATTCTACCCACTCAACTGTATAACACACTGCTATATATTCACTATAAAATTACGATACTATATATTACCTTATACATTGTATTAAACATTACACTTTAATACTGTTTATTATTATATAATATGCTATACACTATACCATTAACCGTCGCGTGAAAGGTACTAAGAGGAAGCAACTAACTATGTCAATGGGAGAGTGGTGGTAGGAAGCTTGCAGTGGAGCAAAGAATCCATTCCCTGCGGAGTGCATATCAAGAGGAATTTAGCATATTTATGGGAAATGCAGATATGCGATTAGTACTACTTGTGAGATGCGTGGGAGGATTGGCGAGGGGTTTAAAGTCATTATGCCCATGCATTATGCAGGATTAGCAGTATCAAAGGGAGGGAGTAAGGTTAGAATTAATAAAGGGAAGGAATGTTAATAATATGGCGCCGCAGCAACTAATATGCTTTTAGACTATACATTGTAATATTACACTATGTATTATTCTACCCACCCAACTGTATACCACACTGCTGTATATTCACTATACAATTACGATACTATATATTACCTTATACATTGTATTAAACATTACACTTTAATACTATTTATTATTATACAATATGCTATACACTATACCATTGACCGTTGTGTGAAAGGTACTAAGAGGAAGCAACGAAATATGTCAATGGGAGAGTGGTGGTAGAAAGCTTGCAGCGGAGCAAAGAATCCATTCCCTGCGGAGAATGCAAGATATATATTCAATGTCAGTGAGTGGACTGCAGGTCTGAAAGTCACCGTAAACGTGAACACAATCAGTTAAGATCCGAAATGGTTTATTACGTCCTTCCAATTATTTCTGAGCCAGAATCCATCTTCTCGATTGAAATTGTCTCTGTGTTTGTATATGTGGATCGCCTCATGGACGAATCTCTCATGGTAGCCGGATGGCTTGCAGAGAACCTCTGTCTTGGAGAAGTCAATATCATGTGATTCTAGATTTGAAGCTTTCGTGACTGCAAGGATTCATATTCTTAGGTTTTTTTCGGTAAAGTCACGTAGGTAAAAAATGTTAAATTAATTAAAGTAAAATAAAATAAAACAAAATAAAAAATCACGACGTTTCGGAAGCAACACAAGCCTCCGTCTTCAGGTGGAACCGTCACAGCCACGACAGCTGTATCAAGTAAATGAGAGATCACAAGAAATACCACCCCGTATATATAATGGTTGAGGGGGGAAGGACCAGGAACGGCACACTTTTTATTAATATGGTAAGGTGAGGCTTAAGACTAAGAATAGACTGCATAACAAAGGACTGAGCCTTTGTTATGGAGAGGTGCAGTTTGTAACTAACACCTAGCATACATGACAAAAGTGTGAAAAAAGAAAGCAAGTAAAAACTAAAACTGATGATACAACAAACTGGCTGTCTATCAATAACCTGTAATAGTTGTCTGTCAAATAAGATGGTCCAAATAAGTGTAGTTGCATCTTTTTGCATGGTTAATCACATCTTTCCAATGATTACTCAGTTTGTAACCCTCATCACGGTTGAAATTATGTCTGTGTTTGTATATTTGTATGGCTTCGTGTACAAACCTTTGATGGTAGCCAGGAGGTTTACAGAGCACCTTGGTCTCGGAAAAGACAATTTCATGAGAGCCCACAGAGTTGTAGCAATGATCGGCAACAGCCGAAGAATCAGTTCTGCCGTGTTTCAGATCTGACTTGTGCTCGCGGACACGATCAGAAACATGACGTTTCGTTTCTCCAATGTAGCAATCACCACAACTGCAACTCAGTTTGTAGACTCCAGGATACTGTAAGTCAGGAATAACATCCTTCACAGATGGAATCAGATCACGGATTTTATGCACTGTACTGAATCGGACTTGGATCTTATGTTTGTTTAGAATTTTGGAGATCTTTTTGGTCACGCCTGCTATGTATGGTAACGTGATAGTTTTGGTCGGAGTTTCATGTGGCTGTTTCTGTATGGTGGGAGAAACAGCTTGGCGTATGGTGCGGTCAGAGTATCCGTTCATCCTGAGGGCCCGATGTACATGTCTTAATTCACCGGCCAGGTGGTGTTGGTCAGAAATGCCATGGGCTCTGTGGTATAGCGTTTTGATGAGAGAATTCTTTTGAGATGGGTGGTGGTGGGAATCCGGTTTCAAGTAGGAATCTGTGTGGGTGGCTTTCCTGTACACAGAATGTCCCAAGGATCCGTCAGGTCTCCTCTCAAACAGAATATCCAAGAATGGTAGTTTACCATCTTTCTCCACTTCCATGGTGAATCTGATGGATGGGTGTCTGGAATTGATGTGGTCCAAGAAGTGGTTCAATGCTGGGAGGCCATGTGGCCATATGACGAAAGTGTCATCCACATACCTCTTCCACAGGGAAGGACGCAGGGTGGATGTCTGGATGGCGTCTGATTCAAACTTTTCCATGAACATGTTGGCTATCACTGGTGACAAGGGGGAGCCCATAGGGGTACCCTCATTCTGTTTGTAGAAGGTACCATTCCAGGTAAAATAGGTGTTGGTGAGGCAATGCCTAACCAGCACAGGTACATCAGTATTCAATCCATGTTGGACTAAGTCCTCAATTATTGTTAGGGTGTCCGGTACTGGGACTTTGGTAAACAGAGATACTACATCAAAACTGAAGAGGATGTCATCAGGAGATATTACCTATGTCCTTAACCATAGAGACTAATTGGGTTGAGTTGAGTACTGCCGAAGAGGTCTTGCCTGTGAAGGGAAGCAGAGTATCTGATAGAAACCGGGCTAGTTTGTAAGTAGGGGAGTTTGTCGTCGACACGATGGGTCGTAGCGGGGTGCCTTCTTTATGGATCTTGGGAAGACCATAGAGTCTGGGAGGTCTTGCCGCCGATGGTTTTAGATCTCTCATTTACTTGATACAGCTGTCGTGGCTGTGACGGTTCCACCTGAAGATGGAGGCTTGTGTTGCTTCCGAAACGTCGTGATTTTTTATTTGTTTTATTTTATTTTACTTTTATTAATTTAAAATGTTTTACCTACGTGACTTTACCGAAAAAACCTAAGAATATCATGTGAGCCCACTGAATTGTAACAGTGATCTGCCACGGCTGAGGTGTTTGTCCTACCGTGTTTCAAGTCTGCTTTATGTTCACGGATGCGGTCCGAGACATGTCGTTTGGTTTCTCCAATGTAACTGCTACCACAGAGGCAGCTTAGTTTGTAAACGCCAGGGTACTGTATGTCTGGAACCACGTCTTTTACAGACGGGACCAGATCACGGATTTTATGTACTGTGTTGAATCGGACCTGGATCTTGTGTTTTACCAGGATTTTGGAGATCTTTTTTGTGACCCCAGCAATGTAGGGTAAGGTGATGGTTTTGAAAGGCTCCTCAACAGGATCCTTCTTGGTGGTTGGAGTGATGGCTTTGCGGATTGTGTAGTCGGAGTAACCATTAGCCTTAAGAGCTTGGCGTACGTGTTTGAGTTCACTGGCAATGTGTTCCTGGTCGGAAATGCATTGGGCTCTATGGGTATAGAGTCTTGATGAGGGAATTCTTCTGGGATGGATGGTGGTGGGAATCCGGTTTTAGGTAAGCATCCGTATGGGTGGCTTTCCTGTAGACAGAGTGGCTCATTGAACCATCAGGTCTCCTTTTAATTAGGACATCCAAAAAGGGTAGCTTGCCATCTTTTTCGACTTCCATGGTGAATCTGATGGCTGGGTGTATGGAATTGATGTGGTCAAGGAATTGTCAATATCATGTGGGCTCAAGACAGAGGTTCTCTGCAAGCCATCCGGCTACCATGAGAGATTCGTCCATGAGGCGATCCACATATACAAACACAGAGACAATTTCAACCGAGAAGATGGATTCTGGCTCAGAAATAATTGGAAGGACGTAATAAACCATTTCGGATCTTAACTGATTGTGTTCACGTTTACGGTGACTTTCAGACTGCAGTCCACTCACTGACATTGACTATATATCTTGCATTCTCCGAAGGGAATGGATTCTTTGCTCCGCTGCAAGCTTTCTACCACCACTCTCCCATTGACATATTTCGTTGCTTCCTCTTAGTTCCTTTCACGTGACGGTCAATGGTATAGTGTATAGCATATTGTATAATAATAAATAGTATTAAAGTGTAATGTTTAATACAATGTATAAGGTAATATATAGTATCGTAATTGGATAGTGAATATACAGCAGTGTGGTATACAGTTGGGTGGGTAGAATAATACATAGTGTAATATTACAATGTATAGTCTAAAAGCATATTAGTTGCTGCGGCACCATATTATTAACATTCCTTCCCTTTATTAATTCTAACCTTACTCCCTCCTTTTGATACTGCTAATCCTGCATAATGCATGGGCATAATGACTTTAAACCCCTCGCCAATCCTCCCACGCATCTCACAAGTAGTACTAATCGCATATCTGCATTTTCCATAAATATGCTAAATTCTTCTTGATATGCACTCCGCAGGGAATGGATTCTTTGCTCCGCTGCAAGCTTCCTACTACCACTCTCCCATTGACATATTTAGTTGCTTCCTCTTAGTACCTTTCACGCGACGGTTAATGGTATAGTGTATAGCATATTATATAATAATAAACAGTATTAAAGTGTAATGTTTAATACAATGTATAAGGTAATATATAGTATCGTAATTTTATAGTGAATATATAGCAGTGTGTTATACAGTTGAGTGGGTAGAATAAAACAGTGTAATATGACAATGTATAGTCAATAAGCATATTAGTTGCTGCGGTGCCATATTATTAACATTCCTTCCCTTTATTAATTCTAACCTTACTCCCTCCCTTTGATACTGCTAATCCTGCATAATGCATGGGCATAATGACTTTAAACCCCTCGCCAAACCTCCTACGCATTTCACAAGTAGTACTAATCGCATATCTGCATTTCCCATAAATATGCTAAATTCCTCTTGATATGCAAATTATTTTGTCAAGACGCTCTTCGCCCCTCCATCCCAGAATAAATAGTCGCTCCAAGCCTGGAGCGTGCCATTCAGACTCTGTCTACTTGACAGACCTGTTCTCCACCTGTAGACGGCTGCTTGCGTTGTGGCCGAAACGTCGTGAGAATTATTTTATTATGTTTTATTTTTATTATTTTATTATTTTCCTTCTACGTGACTTTACCGAAAGAACCAAGAAGATGAATCCCTGCAGTCACGAAAGCTTTAAATCGAAATATTATTGGTTCTTTCGGTAAAGTCACGTCACTTTACCGAGAGAACCAATAATATAAATTCCTGCAGTCACGAAAGTTTAAAGTCAAAATGTATAAAGATAATTTACCAATCACCAGAAGTATCCCTGTTGTACAGGACATTGGGCTACCCTGTGGTGCAATTGATTCACACATGTTGCAACCACTCAAGGAACCACATTCACCACAATAGTAACAAAATCATTATTTATTGCATCAAATTGTGATCCTGAAGTGTGACAATTCATTGACTTGCAATAGGAGCAACTGTTGCATTCTTCATACACTGTAATATATCTGAGCTGCTCATATAAACTAAAGTAAACCAAACAGAGTATTCAGTTGATACAGGCCATGTATCTCATCAATTTAATCACATACAGACAATGGGAACCTACTTTAGGTAAATATATCATGGTGGCAATTTAATCTAAAACGCTGACTGTAGTTTATTGAAATAAATCATAATTAAGTGGGCTATGACAGAGTGACATTAAAGTGAATGTTTAAAAATCTCTTTCAGTGCCTGGAAACTGCATCGTGCATGGAGATCCACACTACGTCACGTTTGATGGGCTCTCATTGGCATTCATGGGAACGTGCACCTACACAACAGCTAAGCTGTGCAACAGCTCATCTCATCTGCCCTACTTCAATGTGGAGACAACCAACGAGTATCGCAACCAGGGCTCCATCTCTTTTGTCAGAGAAGTTCACACAGAAGTCTATGGACAAAACATCACCTTGTCCTTGGGTCGTACCCTTCTGGTGAGAATTCAACTTTGCACAAGCATTGAGGACTTGAAAGTGGCTATCCATCTGTCAAATTTTCTTGATGATTGCATTGGTCTAAATCCTTCAATTGTATCCAAAATGATGTATATTGCAGGAGGAAATATGTTTCCATTACAGTGCTGATTTGCATGAGTTTTTCTAATATGGTATTCATATGAATGCATCAATTTTTTAAGTTATCATTGTCTAGAATCCTCACAAGCATATAATTTTACATCCGACTTCAAACGTATGCTGGTTTTATTTCTACCCCCTTAGAAGAGTTCAGTGAGCACTGATTCACATTCAGAGTGGACTCTACTATTCGATTAGATAATATCACCATCATACTCTACATTTTGGAATCCTTAAGTTGGTTGGAAACACGGTCATTGATAAGCAACTTAAAATATAATTAAGCTTACAATTAAAACAAGATAAAACCATACATATCCAGACAATGTACATATCAAGTCCAACTTTCCACCAGTGCAATGCAGATGAGAGGTTCAATTGTATTTTGGAAATAAATTAGTCAATTATGTGGTACCCACTAATTATCTTTGCAACATTATCCATTGATCGTGAGGTAACCAAGAGTAGAACCCACGTGGAATGACTTGCGATGCCTGTGTTTCCTGTGCGCTGATCTACAGCTGAATGAGGAGCTGGTGACGCCCCCACTGGTGTTGCCAGGGCTACATGTCTCTCTGAGTGGCTCATACCTCGTGCTCATGACTGACTTTAATCTGATTGTTCGATTCAATGGAGACAATCGGGCGGAAGTGACTGTGCCAAGAGAGTATGCAGGGGAGCTTTGTGGCATCTGTGGTGAGACCATGTTTGTGAGAGTTCCATAGCAGTGCTGAGACAAGGCTTTAACTGCTCTATTTACGTTCTCTCTTCAGAAAGCACTGCTGTGTTATTGCCATATAATCACCGTGCAGGATTAATTATGTCAACTGCCAATATTTAGGTTTTTTTATAATTAAAATATTACACCATTCACGTTATGAAATTGTTCACTTAATTTGCAATCTGAGCGTAACGTACACTCACTTTACTGAAGACATTGCTTCTCGTTACATCACACATTTTCATATTGACTCTCCCGCCCATGCTGAGGAATGTGCTTTGGGGTTAAGTATTCTAAGAATAAAAAGGTTGCATACATTGGAAGATATATATAGAAACATTTCAATTCAATTTAGAAATTCCCAATTACACCCCTTCACATGTGGCAATGTGTAATGTATGGATGTCCTTGCTAACGGACTACGATAGTTCACCCCCTGTGGACATGCGCAAAACGCCACTGATTGCGAGGCACCAATCTGTGCACAAACCCTAATCTCAGGGAGGTGAATCACCTCAGCTGGGAAAGCCAACATCGCTTTCCAACCTGTGCTGATGGAGGTGCGCTCCCCACTCTCCCCTCCATTGAATCGCGATGTCACCACCTACCGGGAATACTAGGCAGCACACATTGAATGTCACCTTCTAACATTCTAATGTAAATGTATTTAGCTAGCAATGTTTTTATCAAATCAGGGCCTGGCTTGGCATATGCATAGTTGACCGCACCTCCGATTAGCGCTGGTGGCTATGTACGGTGTAAAATAAGTTTAGCGTACATCCATACATCACACATGGTTCTGGAAGTGGTTTTAGTTGTTATAAGTTCATTTTACATTTATTCCTGTATTGTTGACTTGAATCCAGTTTTGAGGCAATACATGTGAACAGTTTAATCTGTGTTTTAACAGGAAACTTTAATGGTGACCGTGCTGATGAATATCTGATGCCCGATGGGACGCAAGCTTCTTCACCAACTGAGCTTGGTAACAGCTGGAAAACAGACAACAGCTCCGCCTAGTGAGTGGCCACCTCTTTATTGTTTACCATCACCTTGAGTCTTGCCTCTGGTTTGTGGTTATGGACTTGTACCTTTGTCTATTTGTAGCTGTGACGCTCCACCTCCACCTCTCTGTGATGAAGATGAGCAAGCAGAGTTTGAAACAGAGACATTCTGTGGAATCATCACAGATGTGAATGGTCAGTGTCATAAGTTATTTTTATTGCAGCAATAGTTATTGAAAGTGTGCTTCATAATCAATGAAGAGGACAATTGAGTCAAGCAAAATGTGTGTCCCTTGTGAACAGGATTGTTCACAGAGTGCCATGCAGTGGTCAATCCAGAGGAGCTGTTCACCAGCTGCGTGCTTGACCAGTGCTGGACACATGGGGACAAGGGGACCCTCTGTGGCTCCCTTCAGGCCTATGCTGATGAGTGCGCGGAAAATGGCATCGTCATCATGTGGAGGAATACCACCTTCTGTCGTGAGTGCAAACCCCTCTGAGCTTTAATTCGTAACACATCACATTGCATGAGACAGGGCCTTGTTTCTATGCTATGGAAGCACAATGTACATCTGTGCGGTTTGTTCATTTGTATAGCTGCTTGCAGTTGTGCATCCCCATTGTCATTGATCTCTGAGTATGTTTATCGTTTGTGTTGACAGCGCTCGAGTGCCCAGCAGACAGCCACTATGAGAGCTGTGCCCCACCGTGCCCAGCCACGTGCAGCAATGTGACCCTCCCAGGTGCCTGCCAGCAGCCCTGTGGGGAGGGCTGTGTCTGTGACGAGGGTTTTGTCCTCTCAGGAGACAAGTGTGTCACTCAAGATCAGTGTGGCTGCATGGACCACAACGAATTCTATCACCCGGTGGGTTAACCCTTCACATCATGTCTATTCAACGGTGATCATTTATTAATATCCACAGAGGCAAGCTAAGCCCTGTATTGTTTTGGTATATGACGTACCAGTGAACATCTTCCTTTTTAAGACTAATATATGAGTAAAGATGGAGTGCATTAAGTTTCACGCTGGAGTAAAATGGTGAAAATGATAAACAAAATGAACAAATGCAATGTATGTATGTTGCAATGCTGTTGAAATATATCAGATAAGGTTTTAGTAAGCTTGTCCTTTTATGTATATTTCTTGATTCTCATCATGCATTGGTTTTCGCAGCTTGGGGACAGCTGGTTTGCAACACAGAACTGCAGTCTGCATTGCTCTTGTGGCGATGCTGGAGGCGTGGTCTGTGAGCCCTGGCAGTGTGGAGCCTCTGAGATCTGCAGTGTGCAGAATGGAAGCTTGGGCTGTCACAGCTATGGTAAGATTTTCCCTACAATGCCTACCCCAATGTAATAAATAATCAAGACCGCTCATTTGCAATGACTTTTCAGCCCATAAAATGAAACGTCGTGAGAATTGTATTTTATTATGTTTTATTTTTATTATTTTATTATTTCCCTTCTATGTGACTTTACCGAAAGAACCAAGAAGACATAAAATTATAGTGGTATTGCAACTAAAATTCTAATATTGTATGCGTATTTTGTGTTAATCTTAAATTGATGCTTCTATTTGTGATACATCAATATGTTTAATTGCGTTTATTTTTACCACAGATACCACAACAGTTTCACCGCCAGCAACAACTGCTCCTCCAAGCATAAGTAATCATGGACTACACTTCGATATCTCCTGCTCAGGATATTTACTTACAAATCCATTTTTTAAGAACTTGTACTGTAATATATTTTCGTTTCCTTGATGATAAACACATTCAAAACATAAAATGTTCATCGTGGCATGACAAGGGAATTGGTTACTTATATTGTGAATGTATTTAACACAGGATATATCCTGCAAAACTGAGTTTCCTTGTTCAAATCCTGGCAGTTAACTGCTTTATTATCATTGTTCAAGGATTGCATGTTGATGGTTCAAATACGAACCAAATTGATTGAAATAAATCTTGCCTGTTTTTAACTTAATTTAGTGTAGTCCTAATTTGATGGGAGAATTTGTAAATATTGACGGAGAAAAAAATGACTCCATCTCTAGTACCCCTGTTGCACAGTAGCTTGGCCTACCCCGTGGTTAGATAAAGAAGGATATTTCATCCCAATATGGCTTGATGAGTTGGATGGGTAGGTTCCCTCTTTGTGAATATAAAAATAACAAGCATTTATTTTATTAGATGCTAAAATACAAACACGATCTCAAAACAAAGTAATAACACGATTAAAATGGCTGCATGGATGGTCACCGTTAAGTGAATGGAAAATTCTCAAATCTTTTTCAGTAGCTGCAAGATGTGTGGTGCAGGGAGACCCACATTACACGACGTTTGATGGGCTCTATTACGACTTCATGGGCGCGTGCATCTACACAACAGCCAAGCTGTGCAACATCTCCTCCCTGCCCCACTTCAACGTCGAGACGAAGAACCAGCGCGCCAGCCCAAGCATATCTGTGCTCCAAGATGTTTACGTGGACATATTCGGACACAGGATAACCATGACTACACATCACATCCTACTGGTTAATATTACACCTAAAAGTGCTGAGGTTTTAAAGTATTGATCAGTAATATGTGAGCTAAATGTTACATTATTAGCCTATTAGTTTGAGCTAGTGTTACAGGCGGTGCAATTACACATTCATGTTGTGTTGACGCATGCAGAGGCTAATGGGAGGCACCAACCCAGGCCGAGTGTATATTCCACCACCACTTAATCTGTTATTTCTGCATTCTCACTTAATAACTCATTGGTGCTTGGCTTCTAGGAAATTAATGCAACATTTTCCTCTTTGTAATTCCCTACTGCCCACAATGGCAGTTCCTCCAAATATGCTCCCACAGGCTGGAAATGGCAAATTGTAAACATCCTGAGACCATCATCTCCCGATGCTCGGGAACCCGGTTTATATTAAGGTGGCGGCCCGAATGTGAATTGAGCATCTCAGCAGAGGTGTCTTTATAGATGTGCCCTCTTTACTTGAGTCCAACCTTCACCGTTAAATGAATGTGAGCCTTTGTGTCAATGGAAGGAGGCTTCATCTGATTCTGCCACTTACTGCATGAATTGTGCACAACTGCTCAACGATGTGGTACTGGGGTAAAACTCACTTCTCAATTAGCAGTAATTAAAGCCATTTAACCAATCAATAATAAAATCTACCTTTAAATTGAGATCACTGGGATATACAAGCATTATTATGAAGGGAAATTATTTCATTAATGCTTGAATCACTCATGTGCTATGATCTACAGTTGGATGGGGAGCGGGTGACGCCCCCACTGGTGTTACCGGGGATGCACGTGTCTCTGAGCGGCTCATACCTCGTGCTCATGACCAACTTCAGCCTCACGGTTCGGCTCGGTGGGAATTCTCAAGTGGAGGTGTCTGTACCAATGGAGTACGCTGGGCAGCTCTGTGGACTCTGCGGTGAGACTATGATCAGAATGTTCATGAGCATTATTGAAACCTGACTTGCGTTCACATCGGTTACAAGCTTAAACATTCCCCTTCAAATTGAAATGAATTGAGAATGGAAAGGTTGGTAGTGAGTCATAGAGTTCATCAGCTTGTGATATGACGGATGAGACCCAGCACTTTGTGAAATGGATTGTCAAAAACACACCAATCCTATGTGGAGCAATAAGAGAGTTCAGAAGATAGGTGCACTGACTTGGACATTTAAGAAGAGCACGAAACATAAAAGTACTGTAGAAGAACACAACACATAGCAGCAGTACTGTAGCAGAGGCAGCAAAGAGATGTGATGAAGACAGTCCAGGTGCTCAGACAGAGCTACATCATCCATAGGGAGGACAGCGCATGATTTAGTTGCGCCAAGCAGTTGTAGTGCTCACTTTGATGCACCATCCCTGAGGTGGGAGCATTACTATATTTTGGGCAAACCATTGATTTGTTAAAGTGTTTTGAGTTAAAGCTGCTGAACAGATTGCGTGCGGAACAGCATAAAAAAGCAACTCAACATTCACAGAGGCACTCTTACGAATGATAAGATAGGGCAGAAGATAAGGAGTTGCCAAGGATAACAAATTCACGGCAATGGTAAAGAGAAATCGATTATGAAGACATTCACGATGGATTTGAATAAGTTATTATTAATCTTTTGCTTCTAGGAATCCATGACTTAAAATGGTCCAGCCCCTTCTGAATCCACTGCTAGATGAAGGCCTCTCTAAGTTGCATCGGTCATGGGGGTTGTTTGACCATACTCCATGCTGGACACTGCATGTTGCAATGATGCCCAGGACCAGTTCGTAAATCACTCACCACTCATGTTTGCCGTAGCTGGTAAAGTTATATTTTGATGTATTATTTTTCATTTTGTAATGTCACGTAATCTTACAATTCACAATGTTTGCTCTGTATAAACGTATGCTCCTTATTCTATGAGGAGCAGTATTATGGGAGTGAAGCCACACGTTTGGTGGACCATGTGAATGTCGTTGTCTTTTGAACAGGAAACTTTAATGGTGATATTGAGGATGACTTACTGATGCCAAATGGATCATTGGCTGCTTCCGAAACCAAGCTGGGAAACAGTTGGATATCAGATAACAGCTCAGCTGAGTGAGTGATCACTCGCCCATTTTGCATCTTCGTGTAAAATATTGTTCACAAAAACTGCACTTTCTGTTTGCTTTCTGGCTTTCTAGAAAGTTTCGCTGGTGTTAAATTGCTGCACACCATTTCCCGCTTTTTACACTTTTTAAAATTATTTTATGAGTCAAGATTTGTGCCGCTCAATCCACTCGGCACCCATGGAATTCGAAGAATCTGCCAAATACACGTCATTGTGAATTTTCTGCCCATGGACAAAGCTGACCATTCAGTCTCATCTTCTGTTCCCGAATGCCATTTCTCTGTTCATGGACTGGTGGATCATGAATTGCGTCTTCGCTTCACTATAGCCTCACAGACTTTGATCCATTTCTTCTGTGGACTCAGGCACAGCAGAATGTGCTGCACAGGTAGTGCAAATACTGCTGCGTGGATTGCAGTTTGTGGACCTGTGATAGGTTCTAGAAAACACCCATCTTTCTGCCTAAGTGGGGAGGATCGATATTCACATACATTATATTTGGGTCCCTTGTCTCAAATTTAAAAATGGTTACAGTAAGTGACTGGTTTTTCTGAAGGCAATGCAAGGATGATGAATGAAATGATGTTGACGTGGTAATAAGAGTTTGTTTTTCGATTTATTTTCAGCTGCGACGTTGACTTTGAGCCTCCAGGTCCCTGTGATGCAGAAGAACAGGCTAAGTTTGAATCGGAGGAATTTTGTGGAAAGATACATGATGTCAATGGTAAGTCCAGTTATGTATTACTGCTGAATGCATTATTTCCCTTTAAACAACTTTGTTTCAATTCAGATATAATACAGAAATATACGTTGATAGTTCTAGTTTATGTTGATAGTTTTACTCTACGGGATGTCTAGCAAAAACATTAGCAAGCTTCAGCATGTTCAACATTATTTGGCAAGTGTTGTGACGGGTACTGGAACACGTTCCTTCGGAGTGGGCAGGTAGGAACTCGGTTGGACAGCGCATTCGTGCACGACAGACAAATATTCCCTGGTGGGCAGTGTGAAAGCTGTTGTTCTTACCTGTATAAGTGTAGTGTGTTGTCGTGTATAGTGTAGTGTGTAGGTTAAACGTTGAGTTTTATAAGGGCACCACGAGGTGACCAGCCCCTCCCCACCCAGCCCTCCCCACCCAGCCCCTCCCCACCCTCCCCTCCCCACCCAGCTCCTCCCTCCCCACCCAACCCCACCCCTCCCAACTCTAACTGAATCACCTTAAGGCTGGGAATGTTGAAAGAAACACGAGGCAAAAAGATCCGCTTTTTTCTTTTCAAGGCTTCCATTTTATGAATGGAGCCACCCTCCCCCAGTTCCATTTTGTGAAGGAAACATCGCCCGTCTCCTCATTGGCCCGAGTTGCGGCGGTGCCCCCCCCTCCCACCACTAACTTCCCACTCTACCAACCCCAACTCACCGCTCCCATTGGTCGGCGCCCCCGAGCCAATGGGAGGGCTCTGGTGGGGCGGGGTCATGCACGACAGACAGACAAATAATCCCTGGTGGGCAGTGTGGAACTGTTGTTCCTATTTGTAAAATCCGTCCATGCCCATCTATTTCTCGCTGAACTGCATTGGCTTCCGGTTGCTGAACGAATATATTACAAGTTCACACTCACTGCACACAAAGTACTTGTTACAAATGAACCACAATACTCTGCTGATCTCATCCAGGAGCATAAACAGTCACGCAGCAGCTTTTGGCTAACCATCGAACATAGATGGCCACTGCATCAAGGGCTTTCAGATGCACTTCTACAGCCGTCTGGAACACACTTACTTCCAATATTAGGAAGCCACTGGAGCTCTGTACTTTTATATCAAAATTTAAAACTCATTACTTTAGAACAGTTTTATTGTTTAGTTTGTTGTCCTTCCCCCGCACCTCCGATTAGCATGGTTGACGACATACGGTGCGACAGAAGGTCAACATACGTACATACGTAGTTACAAATATCGCTGTGTTGTAAATTATATTCACGTCGCTTGTGAACAGGAGCATTCCAAGAGTGCCATGCAGTGGTCAATCCAGAGCAATTCTTCATCACCTGCGTTCTTGACCAGTGCTGGATGGATGGGAACGAGCAGTTCCTCTGTGCCTCCATGCAGACCTACGCTGACCAGTGTGCCCAGCATGGGGTCATCATCATGTGGAGGAACGACACCTTCTGCCGTGAGTGCACATCTGTCTGAGCTTTAATCCGTAACACATCACATTGCATGAGACTGGGCCTTGTTTTTATTCTGTGGAAGCACAATGTACATCTGTGTGGTTTGTTCATTTATATAGCTGCTTGCAGTTGTGCATCCCCATTGTAATTTATCTCTGAGTATGTTTATCGTTTGTGTTGACAGCGCTCGAATGCCCTGCAGACAGCCACTATGAGAGCTGTGCCCCATCGTGCCCAGCCACGTGCAGCAATGTGACCCTCCCAGGTGCCTGCCATGCAGCCCTGTGGGGAGGGCTGTGTCTGTGATGAGGGTTTTGTCCTTCTCAGGAGACAAGTGTGTCCCTCAAGATCAGTGTGGCTGCATGGACCACAACGACCTCTATCACCCGGTGGGTTAACCCTTTACATCATGTCAATTCAACGGTGATCATTTATTAATATCCACATAGGCAAGCTAAGCTATGTATTGTTTTGGTATTTGACCTACAAATGAGCATTTTCATTTTTAAGACTAATATATAAGTAAAGATGGAGTGAATTAAGTTTCACGCTGGAGTAAAATGGTGAAAATTATCAACAAAATGAACAAATGCAATGTATGTATGTTGCAATGCTGTTGAAATATATCAGATAAGGTTTCAGTAAGCTTTTTCTAATATGTACAGTATATTTCATGATTATCATCGTGCATTTGTTTTCGCAGCTTGGGGACAGCTGGTTTGCAACACAGAACTGCAGCCTGCATTGCACTTGTGGCGATGCTGGAGGCGTGGTCTATGAGCCCTGGCAGTGTGGAGCCTCCGAGATCTGCAGTGTGCAGAATGGAAGCTTGGGCTGTCACAGCTATGGTAAGATTTTCCCTACATGTCCTACCCCAATATAAGAAAGGATCAAGACCACTCATTTGCAAAGACTTTTCAGCCCATTAAATGATAGTGATATTGCAACTAAAATTATAATAATGTATGCGTATTTTGTGTTAATCATAAAATTATGCTTGCATTTGTGATACATCAATATATTTATTTGTGTATATTTCTTACCACAGATACCACAACAATTTCACCGCCAACAACAACTGCTCCTCCAAGCATAAGTAATCAAGGACTACACATGGATATCTCTTGCCCAGGATATTTACTTACAATATAAATGTTTCAGAACTTTTGCTCTAATATATATTGCTCTGAATGTGTTCAACAAAGCATGGAGCCTTCAAATCTGAGTTTCCTGGTCCAAATGCCGGCAATTTACTAATTTATTCTCAAACACGGATTTCAGAGATTGAAACAAATGCTTGCCTGTTTTAACTTCATTTAGTGTAGTTCTGATTTGAAGGGGAGAATTTTGTAATATTAACGGAGAAAAATAATAGGCTCCATCTCTAGTTCATGAAGATATTTTTGGTTCTTTCGGTAAAGTCTCGTCACTTTACCAAAAGAACCAAGAATATGAATTCCTGCAGTCACGATAGTTTTAAGTCAAAATTTATAAAGATAATTTACCAATGACCAGAAGTATCCCTGTTGTACAGGACATTGGGCTACCCTGTGGTGCAATTGATTCACACATGTTGCAACCACTCAAGAAACCACATTCACCACAATAGTAACAAAATCATTATTTATTGCATCAAATTGTGATCCTGAATTGTGATAATTTATTGACTTGCAATAGGAGCAACTGTTGCATTCTTCATACACTGTAATATATCTGAGCTGCTCATATAAACTAAAGTAAACCAAACAGACTTAATTTGTAGCTTTCGTGACTGCAGGAATTTCTCTTTGGTTCTTTCAGTAAAGTCATGTAGGGTGTTGACTGTTATGTTATCCGACTCTCTGTTGTATTACATTACATTTCTAAGTATACTAGATTTGTGTTTCTATTTCATTTATACATGTTGATGATTGCTTGTGTTGCAATCGAAACGTCATATGCTAGTATTTAATTTATTATTTTATCTTTATACGTGACTTTACCGAAAGAACCAAAGAGTAAACCAAACAGAGTATTCAGTTGATACAGGCCATGTATCTCATAAATTTAATCACATAAGGACTATGGGAACCTACTTTTAGTAAATATATCATAGTGGCAATTTAATCTTAAACATTGACTGTAGTTTATTGAAATAAATCATAATTAAGTGGGCTATGACAGAGTGACATTAAAGTGAATGTTTAAAAATCTCTTTCAGTGCCTGGAAACTGCATCGTGCATGGAGATCCACACTACGTCACGTTTGATGGGCTCTCATTGGCATTCATGGGAACGTGCACCTACACAACAGCTAAGCTGTGCAACAGCTCATCTCATCTGCCCTACTTCAATGTGGAGACAACCAACGAGTATCGCAACCAGGGCTCCATCTCTTTTGTCAGAGAAGTTCACACAGAAGTCTATGGGCAAAACATCACCTTGTCCTTGGGTCGTACCCTTCTGGTGAGAATTCAACTTTGTATAATTGAAGACTTGAAAGTGGCTATATGTCTGTCAAATTTTGTTTAGGATTGCATTGGTCTAAGTCCTTCAATTGTATCCAAAATGATGTATATTGCAGGAGGAAATATGTTTCCATAACAGTGCTGATTTGCATGAGTTTTTCTAATATGGTATTCATATGAATGCATCAATGTTTTAAGTTATCATTGTCTAGAATCCTCACAAGCATATAATTTTACATCCGACTTCAAACGTACGCTGGTTTTATTTCTATCCCCTTAGAAGAGTTCAGTGAGCACTGATTCACATTCAGAGTGGACTCTCCTATTGTTCGATTAGATAATATCACCATCATACTCTACATTTTGGAATCCTTAAGTTGGTTGGAAACACGGTCATTGATAAGCAACTTAAAATATAATTAAGCTTACAATTAAAACAAGATAAAACCATACATATCCAGACAATGTGCATTTCAAGTCCAACTTTCCACCAGTGCAATGTAGATGAGAGGTTCAAATGTATTTTGTAGATAAATTAGTCAATTATGTTGTACCCACTAATTATCTTTGCAACATTATCCATTGATCGTGAGGTAACCAAGAGTAGAACCCACGTGGAATGACTTGCGATGCCTGTGTCTCCTGTGCGCTGATCTACAGCTGAATGAGGAGCTGGTGACGCCCCCACTGGTGTTGCCAGGGCTACATGTCTCTCTGAGTGGCTCATACCTCGTGCTCATGACTGACTTTAATCTGATTGTTCGATTCAATGGAGACAATCGGGCAGAAGTGACTGTGCCAAGAGAGTATGCAGGGGAGCTTTGTGGCATCTGTGGTGAGACCATGTTTGTGAGAGTTCCATAGCAGCACTGAGACAAGGCTTGAATTGCTCTATTTACATTCTCTGTTCAGAAAGCACTGCTGTGTTATTACCATCTAATCACCATGCAGGATTAATTATGTTAAATGCCAATATTTAGGTATTTTTTATAATTAAAATATTACACCATTCACGTTATGAAATTGTTCACTTAATTTGCAATCTGAGCGTAACGTACACTCACTTTACTGAAGACATTGCTTCTCGTTACATCACACATTTTCATATTGACTCTCCCGCCCATGCTGAGGAATGTGCTTTGGGGTTAAGTACTCTAAGAATAAAAAGGTTGCATACATTGGAAGATATATATAGAAACATTTCAATTCAATTTAGAAATTCCCAATTACACCCCTTCACGTGGCAATGTGTAATGTATGGATGTCCTTGCTAACGGACTACAATAGTTCACCCCCGTGGACATGCACCACACGCCACTAATTACGAGGCACCAATCTGTGCACAAACCCTAATCTCAGGGAGGTGAATCACCTCAGCTGGGAAAGCTAACATCGCTTTCCAACCTGTGCTGATGGAGGTGCGCTCCCACTCTCCCCTCCATTGAATCGCGATGTCACCACCTACCGGGAATACTAGGCAGCACACATTGAATTTCACCTTTTAACATTTAAAGTTTATCGAAAAATGGCATTGTTGAAAATTACTGATATATTGAACTAAAATGTATATGTATTTAGCTAGCAATGTTTGATCAAATCAGGGCCTGGCTTGGCATATGCATAGTTGACCGCACCTCCAATTAGCGTGGGTGGCTATATGGTTCTGGAAGTGGTTTTAGTTGTTATAAGTTAATTTCACATTCATTCCTGTATTGTTGACTTGAATCCAGTTTTGAGGCAATACATGTGAACAGTTTAATCTGTGTTTTAACAGGAAACTTTAATGGTGACCATGCTGATGAATATCTGATGCCCGATGGGACGCAAGCTTCTTCACCAACTGAGCTGGGAAACAGCTGGAAAACAGACAACAGCTCCGCCTAGTGAGTGGCCACCTCTCTATTGTTTACCATCACCTTGAGTCTTGCCTCTGGTTTGTGGTTATGGACTTGTACCTTTGTCTATTTGTAGCTGTGACGCTCCACCTCCACCTCCCTGTGATGAAGATGAGCAAGCAGAGTTTGAAACAGAGACATTCTGTGGAATCATCACAGATGTGGATGGTCAGTGTCATAAGTTATTTGTATTGCAGCAATAGTTATTGAAAGTTTGCTTCATAATCAATGAAGAGGACAATTGAGTCAAGCAAAATGTGTGTCCCTTGTGAACAGGATTGTTCACAGAGTGCCATGCAGTGGTCAATCCAGAGGAGCTGTTCACCAGCTGCGTGCTTGACCAGTGCTGGACACATGGGGACAAGGGGACCCTCTGTGGCTCCCTTCAGGCCTATGCTGATGAGTGCGCGGAAAATGGCATCGTCATCATGTGGAGGAATACCACCTTCTGTCGTGAGTGCAAACCCCTCTGAGCTTTAATTCGTAACACATCACATTGCATGAGACAGGGCCTTGTTTCTATGCTATGGAAGCACAATGTACATCTGTGTGGTTTGTTCATTTGTATAGCTGCTTGCAGTTGTGCATCCCCATTGTCATTGATCTCTGAGTATGTTTATCGTTTGTGTTGACAGCGCTCGAGTGCCCAGCAGACAGCCACTATGAGAGCTGTGCCCCACCGTGCCCAGCCACGTGCAGCAATGTGACCCTCCCAGGTGCCTGCCAGCAGCCCTGTGGGGAGGGCTGTGTCTGTGACGAGGGTTTTGTCCTCTCAGGAGACAAGTGTGTCACTCAAGATCAGTGTGGCTGCATGGACCACAACGAATTCTATCACCCGGTGGGTTAACCCTTCACATCATGTCTATTCAACGGTGATCATTTATTAATATCCACAGAGGCAAGCTAAGCCCTGTATTGTTTTGGTATATGACGTACCAGTGAACATCTTCCTTTTTAAGACTAATATATGAGTAAAGATGGAGTGCATTAAGTTTCACGCTGGAGTAAAATGGTGAAAATGATAAACACAATGAACAAATGCAATGTATGTATGTTGCAATGCTGTTGAAATATATCAGATAAGGTTTTAGTAAGCTTGTCCTTTTATGTATATTTCTTGATTCTCATCATGCATTGGTTTTCGCAGCTTGGGGACAGCTGGTTTGCAACACAGAACTGCAGTCTGCATTGCTCTTGTGGCGATGCTGGAGGCGTGGTCTGTGAGCCCTGGCAGTGTGGAGCCTCCGAGATCTGCAGTGTGCAGAATGGAAGCTTGGGTTGTCACAGCTATGGTAAGATTTTCCCTACAATGCCTACCCCAATGTAATAAATAATCAAGACCGCTCATTTGCAATGACTTTTCAGCCCATAAAATGAAACGTCGTGAGAATTGTATTTTATTATGTTTTATTTTTATTATTTTATTATTTCCCTTCTATGTGACTTTACCAAAAGAACCAAGAAGACATAAAATTATAGTGGTATTGCAACTAAAATTCTAATATTGTATGCGTATTTTGTGTTAATCTTAAAATGATGCTTCTATTTGTTATACATCAATATGTTTATTTGTGTTTATTTTTACCACAGATACCACAACAGTTTCACCGCCAACAACAACTGCTCCTCCAAGCATAAGTAATCATGGACTACACTTCGATATCTCCTGCCCAGGATATTTACTTACAAATCCATTTTTTAAGAACTTGTACTGTAATATATTTTCGTTTCCTTGATGATAAACACATTCAAAACATAAAATGTTCATCGTGGCATGAGAAGGGAATTGGTTACTTATATTGTGAATGTATTTAACACAGGATATATCCTGCAAAACTGAGTTTCCTTGTTCAAATCCTGGCAGTTAACTGCTTTATTATCATTGTTCAAGGATTGCATGTTGATGGTTCAAATACGAACCAAATTGATTGAAACAAATCTTGCCTGTTTTTAACTTAATTTAGTGTAGTCCTAATTTGATGGGAGAATTTGTAAATATTGACGGAGAAAAAAATGGCTCCATCTCTAGTACCCCTGTTGCACAGTAGCTTGGCCTACCCCGTGGTTAGATAAAGAAGGATATTTCATCCCAATATGGCTTGATGAGTTGGATGGGTAGGTTCCCTCTTTGTGAATATAAAAATAACAAGCATTTATTTTATTAGATGCTAAAATACAAACACGATCTCAAAACAAAGTAATAACACGATTAAAATGGCTGCATGGACGGTCACCGTTAAGTGAATGAAAAATGCTCAAATCTTTTTCAGTAGCTGCAAGATGTGTGGTGCAGGGAGACCCACATTACACGACGTTTGATGGGCTCTATTACGACTTCATGGGCGCGTGCATCTACACAACAGCCAAGCTGTGCAACATCTCCTCCTCCGTTCCTCACTTCAACGTGGAGACGAAAAACCAGCGCGCCAGCCCAAGCATATCTGTGCTCCAAGATGTTTACGTGGACGTATTCGGACACAGGATAACCATGACTACACATCACATCCTACTGGTTAATATTACACCTAAAAGCGCTGAGGTTTTAAAGTATTGATCAGTAATATGTGAGCTAAATGTTAAATTATTAGCCTATTAGTTTGAGCTAGTGTTACAGGCGGTGCAATTACACATTCATGTTGTGTTGACGCATGCAGAGGCTAATGGGAGGCACCAACCCAGGCCGAGTGTATATTCAACCACCACTTCATCTATTATTTCTGCATTCTCACTTAATAACTCATTGTTGCTTGGCTTTTAAGAAATGAATGCAACATTTTCCTCTTTGTAATTCCCTACCGCCCACAATGGCAGTTCCTCCAAATATGCTCCCACAGGCTGGAAATGGCAAATTGTAAACATCCTGAGACCATCATCTCCCGATGCTCGGGAACCCGGTTTAAATTTAGGTGGCGGCCCGAATGTGAATTGAGCATCTCAGCAGAGGTGTCTTTATAGATGTGCCCTCTTTACTTGAGTCCAACCTTCACCATTAAATGAATGTGAGCCTTTGTGTTAATTGAACGAGGCTTAATATGATTCTGCCACTTACTGCATGAATTGTGCACAACTGCTCAACGATGTGGTACTGGGATAAAACTCACTTCTCAATTAGCAGTAATTAAAGCCATTTAACCGATCAATAATAAAATCTACATTTAAATTGAGATCACTGGGATGTACAAGCATTATTATGAAGGGAAATTATTTCATTAATGCTTGAATCACTCATGTGCTATGATCTACAGTTGGATGGGGAGCGGGTGACGCCCCCACTGGTGTTACCGGGGATGCACGTGTCTCTGAGCGGCTCATACCTCGTGCTCATGACCAACTTCAGCCTCACGGTTCGGCTCGGTGGGAATTCTCAAGTGGAGGTGTCTGTACCAATGGAGTACGCTGGGCAGCTCTGTGGACTCTGCGGTGAGACTATGATCAGAATGTTCATGAGCATTATTGAAACCTGACTTGCGTTCGCATCGGTTACAAGCTTAAACATTCCCCTTCAAATTGAAATGAATTGAGAATGGAAAGGTTGGTATTGAGTCATAGAGTTCATCAGCTTGTTATATGACGGATGAGACAAAGCACTTTGTGAAATGGATTGGCAAAAACACACAAATCCTATGTGGAGAAATAAGAGAGTTCAGAAGATAGGTGCACTGACTTGGGCATTTCAGAAGAGCACGAAACATAAAAGTACTGTAGAAGAACACAACACATAGCAGCAGTACTGTAGCAGAGGCAGCAAAGAGATGTGATGAATACAGTCCAGGTGCTCAGACAGAGCTACATCATCCATAGGGAGGACAGCGCTTGATTTAGTTGCACCAAGCAGTTGTAGTGCTCACTTTGATACACCATCCCTGAGGTGGGAGCATTACTATATTTTGGGCAGACCATTGATTTGTTAAAGTGTTTTGAGTTAAAGCTGTTTAACAGATTGTGCGCGAAACAGCATAAAAAAGCAACTCAACATTCACAGAGGCACTCTTACGAATGATAAGATAGTGCAGAAGATAAGGAGTTGCCAAGGATAACAAATTCACGGCAATGGTAAAGAGAAATCGATTATGAAGACATTCACGATGGATTTGAATAAGTTATTAGTAATCTTTTGCTTATAGAATCCATGACTTAAAAATGGTCCAGCCCCTGCTGAATCCACTGCTAGATGAAGGCCTCTCTAAGTTGCGTCGGTCATGGGGGTTGTTTGACCATTCTCCATGCTGGTCACTGCATGTTGCAATGGGGCCCAGGACCAGTTCGTAAGTCACTCACCACTCGTGTCTGCCCTAGCTTGTAAAGTTATCTTTTGATGTATTATTTGTCATTTTGTAACGTCACGTAATCTTACAATTCACAATGTTTGCTCTGTATACACGTATGCTCCTTATTTTATAAGGAGCAGTATTATGGGAGTGAAGCCACACGTTTGGTGGACCATGTGAATGTCGTTGTCTTTTGAACAGGAAACTTTAATGGTGATATTGAGGATGACTTACTGATGCCAAATGGATCATTGGCTGCTTCCGAAACCAAGCTGGGAAACAGTTGGATATCAGATAACAGCTCAGCTGAGTGAGTGATCACTCGCCCATTTTGCATCTTCGTGTAAAATATTGTTCACAAAAACTGCACTTTCTGTTTTCTTTCTGGCTTTCTAGAAAGTTTCACTGGTGTTAAATTGCTGCACACCATTTCTCGCTTTTTACACTTTTTAAAAATAATTTATGAGTCAAGATTTGTGCCGCTCAATCCACTCGGCACACATGGAATTCGAAGAATCTGTCAAATACACGTCATTGTGTATTTTCTGCCAAATACACGTCATTGTGTATTTTCTGCCCATGGACAAAGCTGACCATTCAGTCTCAGCTTCTGTTTCCGATCGCCATGACTGTTCATGGACTGGTGGATCATGAATTGCGTCTTAGCTTCACTATAGCCTCACAGACTTTGATCCATTTCTCCTGTGGACTCAGGCACAGCAGAATGTGCTGCACAGGTGGTGCAAATACTGTTGCGTATATTGCAGTTTGTGGACCTGTGATAGGTTCTAGAAAACACCCATCTTTCTGCCTAAGTGGGGAGGATCGATATTCACATACATTATATTTGGGTCCCTTGTCTCCGATTTAAAAATGGTTACAGTAAGTGACCGGTTTTTCTGAAGGCAATGCAAGGGTGATGAATGGAATGATGTTGATGCAGTAATAAGAGTTTGTTTTTTGTTTTATTTGCAGCTGCGACGTTGACTTTGAGCCTCCAGGTCCCTGTGATGCAGAAGAACAGGCTAAGTTTGAATTGGAGGAATTTTGTGGAAAGATACATGATGTCAATGGTAAGTCCAGTTATGTATGACTGCTGAATGCATAATTTCTCTTTAAACAACTTTGATTCAATTCAGATATAATACAGAAATATATGTTGATAGTTCTAGTTTAAGTTGATAGTTTTTCTCTATGAGATGTCTAGCAAAATATTAGCAAGCTGCAGCATGTTCAACATTATTTGACAGGTGTCGTGACGGGTACTGGAAAATCCGACCATGCCCATCTATTTCTCGCTGAACTGCATTGGCTTCCGGTTGCTGAACGAATATATTACAAGTTCACACTCACTGCACACAAAGTACTTGTTACAAATGAACCACAATACCTTGCTGATCTCATCCAGGAGCATAAACAGTCACGCAAACTCCGCTCATCCTCACAGCAGCTTTTGGCTAACCATCGAACATAGATGGCCACTGCATCAAGGGCTTTCAGATGTACTTCTACAGCCGTCTGGAACACACTTCCTTCCAATATTAGGATTCCACTGGAGCTCTGTACTTTTATATCAAAATTTAAAACTCATTACTTTAGAACAGTTTTATTGTTTAGTTTGTTGTCCTTCCCCCGCACCTCCGATTAGCACGGTTGACGACATACGGTGCGACAGAAGGTCAACATACGTACATACGTAGTTACAAATATCGTTGTGTTGTAAATTATATTCACGTCGCTTGTGAACAGGAGCATTCCAAGAGTGCCATGCAGTGGTCAATCCAGAGCAATTCTTCATCACCTGCGTTCTTGACCAGTGCTGGATGGATGGGAACGAGCAGTTCCTCTGTGCCTCCATGCAGACCTACGCTGACCAGTGTGCCCAGCATGGGGTCATCGTCATGTGGAGGAACGACACCTTCTGCCGTGAGTGCACATCTGTCTGAGCTTTAATCCGTAACACATCACATTGCATGAGACTGGGCCTTGTTTTTATTCTGTGGAAGCACAATGTACATCTGTGTGGTTTGTTCATTTGTATAGCTGCTTGCAGTTGTGTATCCCCATTGTAATTGATCTCTGAGTATGTTTATCGTTTGTGTTGACAGCGCTCGAATGCCCAGCAGACAGCCACTATGAGAGCTGTGCCCCACCGTGCCCAGCCACGTGCAGCAATGTGACCCTTCCAGGTGCCTGCCAGCAGCCTTGTGGGGAGGGCTGTGTCTGTGATGAGGGATTTGTCTTTTCAGGAGACAAGTGTGTCCCTCAAGATCAGTGTGGCTGCATGGACCACAACGACCTCTATCACCCGGTGGGTTAACCCTTCACATCATGTCAATTCAACGGTGATCATTTATTAATATCCACATTAGCAAGCTAAGCTATGTATTGTTTTGGTATATGACGTACAAGTGAACATCTTCCTTTTTAAGACTAATATATAAGTAAAGATGGAGTGCATTAAGTTTCACGCTGGAGTAAAATGGTGAAAATGATAAACAAAATGAACAAATGCAATGTATGTATGTTGCAATGCTGTTGAAATATATCAGATAAGGTTTTAGTAAGCTTGTCCTTTTATGTATATTTCTTGATTCTCATCATGCATTGGTTTTCGCAGCTTGGGGACAGCTGGTTTGCAACACAGAACTGCAGTCTGCATTGCTCTTGTGGCGATGCTGGAGGCATGGTCTGTGAGCCCTGGCAGTGTGGAGCCTCCGAGATCTGCAATGTGCAAAATGGAAGCTTGGGCTGTCACAGCTATGGTAAGATTTTCCCTACAATGCCTATGTAGTGACATAAGAAGGGAGGGGCTGCTGGGGGCTCTGGGTCACTGGGAGGGCCAGGCGCTTAAGCATCTTGGCGTCAGGCATTGAGTTCCCAGGCCCTTAATCCCCTTGGCGCCGCCAAAGGGGGGGGCTGTGTGTGCTCTGTGGGATATCTGGGGGCGCACACGGCCCCACCCCTCGTTGGGGACTGGGCATATAAGCGGAGCTTCCTGGACGATCAGGGCCAGTTGTAACTCAAGACCCAAGACTCACGACCAGCCATCTTAAGACCCTGGGATGCTGTGAGAGCCAGTGGTGGGACTCTGGAACTCCCGACTCTACGACCTTGTGAGGGCGAGTTCCGGAGCGTAGCCAGAGTAGAGTATCTAGGCTGTGTACCTAGGCTGTAACAGAGTATCAGGACTGTTGGAGAGTTGGCCTGTTGTAGTGTTGTATTGTAATAAAGAAGTTACCTCTACAAGTGTCTCCGGAACCCGTTACACCTACACCATTGTAATAAATAATCAAGACCGCTCATTTGCAATGCCTTTTCAGCCCATAAAATGATAGTGGTATTGCAACTAAAATTATAATATTGTATGCATATTTTGTGTTAATTTTAAAATTATGCTTCTATTTGTGATACATCAATATATTAATTTGTGTATATTTTTTCCACAGATACCACAACAGTTTCACCGCCAGCAACAACTGCTCCTCCAAGCATAAGTAATCATGGACTACACATCGATATCTCTTGTGCAGGATATTTACTTACAAATCCATTTTTTAAGAACTTGTACTGTAATATATTTTCGTTTCCTTGATGATAAACACATTCAAAACATAAAATGTTCATGATGGCATGAGAGGGGGATTGGTTGCTTATATTGTGAATGTGTTTAACACAGCATATATCCTGCAAAACTGAGTTTCCTTCTTCAGATCCTGGCAGTTAACTGCTTTATTCTCATTGTTCAAGGATTGCATGTTGATGGTTCAAATACGAACTTGAGTGATTTAAACAAATCTTGCCTGTTTTTAACTTAATTTTGTGTAGTCCTAATTTGATGGGAGAATTTGTAAATATTGACGGAGAAAAAAATGACTCCATCTCTAGTACCCCTGTTGCACAGTAGCTTGGCCTACCCCGTGGTTAGATAAAGAAGGATATTTCATCCCAATATGGCTTGATGAGTTGGATGGGTAGGTTCCCTCTTTGTGAATATAAAAATAACAAGCATTTATTTTATTAGATGCTAAAATACAAACACGATCTCAAAACAAAGTAATAACACGATTAAAATGGCTGCATGGACGGTCACCGTTAAGTGAATGGAAATGCTCAAATCTTTTTCAGTAGCTGCAAGATGTGTGGTGCAGGGAGACCCACATTACACGACGTTTGATGGGCTCTATTACGACTTCATGGGCGCGTGCATCTACACAACAGCCAAGCTGTGCAACATCTCCTCCTCCCTGCCTCACTTCAACGTGGAGACGAAAAACGAGCGCTTCAACCCAAGCATATCTGTGCTCCAAGATGTTTACGTGGACGTATTCGGACACAGGATAACCATGACTACACATCACATCCTACTGGTTAATATTACACCTAAAAGCGCTGAGGTTTTAAAGTATTGATCAGTGATATGTGAGCTAAATGTTAAATTATTAGCCTATTAGTTTGAGCTAGTGTTACAGGCGGTGCAATTACACAATCATGTTGTGTTGACGCATGCAGAGGCTAATGGGAGGCACCAACCCAGGCCGAGTGTATATTCCACCACTGCTTAATCTGTTATTTCTGCATTCTCACTTAATAACTCATTGTTGCTTGGCTTCTAGGAAATGAATGCAACATTTTCCTCTTTGTAATTCCCTACCACCCACAATGGCAGTTCCTCCAAATATGCTCTCACAGGCTGGAAATGGCAAATTGTAAACATCCTGAGACCATCATCTCCCGATGCTCGGGAACCCTGTTTAAATTTAGGTGGCGGCCCGAATGTGAATTGAGCATCTCAGCAGAGGTGTCTTTATAGATGTGCCCTCTTTACTTGAGTCCAACCTTCACTGTTAAATGAATGTGAGCCTTTGTGTTAATTGAACGAGGCTTAATATGATTCTGCCATTTACTGCATGAATTGTACACAACTGCTCAACAATGTGGTACTGGGGTAAAGCTCACTTCTCAGTTAGCAGTAATAAACCCATTTAACTGATCAATAATAAAATCTAAATTTAAATTGAGACCACTGGGATATACAAGCATTATTATGAAGGGAAATTATTTCCTTAACGCTTGAATCACTCATGTGCTATGATCTACAGTTGGATGGGGAGCGGGTGACGCCCCCACTGGTGTTACCGGGGATGCACGTGTCTCTGAGCGGCTCATACCTCGTGCTCATGACCAACTTCAGCCTCACGGTTCGTTTCGATGGGTACTATCAAGTGGTGGTGTCTGTACCAATGGAGTACGCTGGGCAGCTCTGTGGACTCTGCGGTGAGACTGATCAAAATGTTCATGAGCATTATTGAAACCTGACTTGCGTTAGCATCGGTTACAAGATTAAACATTCCCCTTCAAATTGAAATTAATTGAGAATGGAAAGATTGGTAGTGAGTCCTGAAGTTCATCAGCTTGTGATATCACGGATGAGACACAGCACTTTGTGAAATGGATTGGCAAAAACACACAAATCCTATGTGGAGAAATAAGAGAGTTCAGAAGATAGGTGCACTGATATGGGCATTTCAGAAGAGCACGAAACATAAAAGTACCGTAGAAGAACACAAACACATAGCAGCAGTACTGTAGCAGAGGCAGCAAAGAGATGTGATGAAGACAGTCCAGGTGCTCAGACAGAGCTACATCATCCATAGGGAGGACAGCGCTTGATTTAGTTGCACCAAGCAGTTGTAGTGCTCACTTTGATACACCATCCCTGAGGTGGGAGCATTACTATATTTTGGGCAGACCATTGATTTGTTAAAGTGTTTTTAGTTAAAGCTGCTTAACAGATTGTGTGCGAAACAGCATAAAAAAGCAACACAACATTCACAGAGGCACTCTTACGAATGATAAGATAAGGCAGAAGATAAGGAGTTGCCAAGGATAACAAATTCACGGCAATGGTAAAGAGAAACCGATTATGAAGACATTCACGATGGATTGAATAAGTTATTAGTAATCTTTTGCTTCTAGAATCCATGACTTAAAAATGGTCCAGCCTCTTCTGAATCCACTGCTAGATGAAGGCCTCTCTAAGTGGCATCGGTCATGGGGGTTGTTTGACCATTCTCCATGCTGGTCACTGCATGTTGCAATGGGGCCCAGGACCAATTCGTAAGTCACTCACCACTCGTGTCTGCCCTAGCTGGTAAAGTTATCTTTTAACCAGGGGCGGTTTCTTCATTAGGGCGATTGGGCGACGCACCACCAATCTCATTCAACCACAGAGTCACACTAGCCGTCACTGTGCCTCTGGATATAGTCCAATCAGCGTCATGTCACGTTCTGTGGAGTACCGCCTCTTTTTAGGCGATTTCACTCCGGCTGAGAATCGCCCCGAGTGGCCCCATAGACTTACATTCAAAGATGTTTTTTTTCGAACGGGGGCGCTGCAATGCATTCTCTATGGCTTCCGGGAGGGCTCGCCCTAACGTGCTTACGTCATCATACGTGCTTACGTCATCATACGTAAGCACGTTTCATCCAACAATATAATTTGTGACCACCTAGTGGAATCTTTAATAAAAGAAACTTGAGTGGTTTGTTTTAATAGTGAGTATAGAAACAAACAAGATGTATTGTAAGAGTCACTTTGTTTTTCATTAATATTAGAGAAGTGAAGTTGCCTTTACATGCTTAAGCTGTTAATTTTTCCATTGCATGGGTGGACCTTATCCTTATCAATCATCCAGACATTTGCCCCCCCTGAGAGATTTTGCAGGAGCCGCCACTGCTTTTGATGTATTCTTTTTCATTTTGTAATGTCACGTAATCTTACAATTCACAATGTTTGCTCTGTATAAACGTATGCTCCTAATTTTACGAGGAGCAGTATTATGGGAGTGAAGCCACACGTTTGGTGGACCATGTGAATTTCATTGTCTTTTGAACAGGAAACTTTAATGGTGATATTGAGGATGACTTACTGATGCCAAATGGATCATTGGCTGCTTCCGAAACCAAGCTGGGAAACAGTTGGATATCAGATAACAGCTCAGCTGAGTGAGTGATCACTCGCCCATTTTGCATCTTCGTGTAAAATATTGTTCACAAAAACTGCACTTTCTGTTTGCTTTCTGGCTTTCTAGAAAGTTTCGCTGGTGTTAAATTGCTGCACACCATTTCCCGCTTTTTACACTTTTTAAAATTATTTTATGGATCAAGATTTGTGCTGCTCAATCCACTCGGCACACATGGAATTCGAAGTATCTGTCAAATACACGTCATTGTGTATTTTCTGACCATGGACAAAGCTGACCATTCAATCTCAGCTTCTGTTCCCGAATGGCATGGCTCTGTTCATGGACTGGTGGACCATGAATTGCGTCTTAGCTTCACTATAGCCTCACAGACTTTGATCCATTTCTCCTGTGGACTCAGGCACAGCAGAATGTGCTGCACAGGTGGTGCAAATACTGCTGCGTGGATTGCAGTTTGAAGACCTGTCATAGGTTCTAGAAAACACCCATCTTTCTGCCTAAGTGGGGAGGATCGATATTCACATACATTATATTTGGGTCCCTTGTCTCTGATTTAAAAATGGTTACAGTAAGTGACCGGTTTTTCTGAAGGCAATGCAAGGGTGATGAATGGAATGATGTTGATGCGGTAATAAGAGTTTGTTTTTTGTTTTATTTGCAGCTGCGACGTTGACTTTGAGCCTCCAGGTCCCTGTGATGCAGAAGAACAGGCTAAGTTTGAATCGGAGGAATTTTGTGGAAAGATACATGATGTCAATGGTAAGTCCAGTTATGTATGACTGCTGAATGCATAATTTCCCTTTAAACAACTTTGTTTCAATTCAGATATAATACGAAAATATACGTTGATAGTTCTAGTTTATGTTGATAGTTTTACTCTACGGGATGTCTAGCAAAAACATTAGCAAGCTGCAGCATGTTCAACATTATTTGGCAAGTGTTGTGACTGGTACTGGAAAATCGGACCATGCCCATCTATTTCTCGCTGAACTGCATTGGCTTCCGGTTGCTGAACGAATACATTATTAGGAACCCACTGGAGCTCTGTACTTTTATATCAAAATTTAAAACTCATTACTTTAGAACAGTTTTATTGTTTAGTTTGTTGTCCTTCCCCCGCACCTCCGATTAGCACGGTTGACGACATACGGTGCGACAGAAGGTCAACATACGTACATACGTAGTTACAAATATCGTTGTGTTGTAAATTATATTCACGTCGCTTGTGAACAGGAGCATTCCAAGAGTGCCATGCAGTGGTCAATCCAGAGCAATTCTTCATCACCTGCGTTCTTGACCAGTGCTGGATGGATGGGAACGAGCAGTTCCTCTGTGCCTCCATGCAGACCTACGCTGACCAGTGTGCCCAGCATGGGGTCATCGTCATGTGGAGGAACGACACCTTCTGCCGTGAGTGCACATCTGTCTGAGCTTTAATCCGTAACACATCACATTGCATGAGACTGGGCCTTGTTTTTATTCTGTGGAAGCACAATGTACATCTGTGTGGTTTGTTCATTTGTATAGCTGCTTGCAGTTGTGTATCCCCATTGTAATTGATCTCTGAGTATGTTTATCGTTTGTGTTGACAGCGCTCGAATGCCCAGCAGACAGCCACTATGAGAGCTGTGCCCCACCGTGCCCAGCCACGTGCAGCAATGTGACCCTTCCAGGTGCCTGCCAGCAGCCTTGTGGGGAGGGCTGTGTCTGTGATGAGGGATTTGTCTTTTCAGGAGACAAGTGTGTCCCTCAAGATCAGTGTGGCTGCATGGACCACAACGACCTCTATCACCCGGTGGGTTAACCCTTCACATCATGTCAATTCAACGGTGATCATTTATTAATATCCACATTAGCAAGTTAAGCTATGAATTGTTTTGATATTTGACCTACAAAGGAGCATTTTTATTTTTAAGACTAATATAAGTAAAGATGAGTGCATTAAGTTTCACGCTGGAGTAAAATGGTCAAAATTATAAACAAAGTGAACAAATGCAATGTATGTATGTTGCAATGCTGTTGAAATATATCAGATATGGTTTCAGTAAGCTTTTCCTGTTATGTATATTTCATGATTCTCATCATGCATTGGTTTTCGCAGCTTGGGGACAGCTGGTTTGCAACACAGAACTGCAGTCTGCATTGCTCTTGTGGCGATGCTGGAGGCGTGGTCTGTGAGCCCTGGCAGTGTGGAGCCTCCGAGATCTGCAGTGTGCAGAATGGAAGCTTGGGCTGTCACAGCTATGGTAAGATTTTCCCTACAATGCCTACCCCAATGTAATAAATAATCAAGACCGCTCATTTACAAAGACTTTTCAGCCCATTAAATTTTAGTGATATTGCAACTAAAATTATAATATTGTATGCGTATTTTGTGTTAATCATAAAATTATGCTTGCATTTGTGATACATCAATATATTTATTTGTGTATATTTCTTACCACAGATGCCACAACAATTTCACCGCCAACAACAACTGCTCCTCCAAGCATAAGTAATCAAGGACTACACATGGATATCTCTTGCCCAGGATATTTACTTACAAAATAAATGTTTCAGAACTTTTGCTCTAATATAGATTGCTCTGAATGTGTTCAACAAAGCATGGAGCCTTCAAAACTGAGTTTCCTGGTCCAAATGCCGGCAATTTACTAATTCTCATTGTTCAAGGATTGCATGTTGATGGTTCAAACACGGATTTGAGAGATTGAAACAAATCTTGCCTGTTTTTAACTTAATTTAGTGTAGTTCTGATTTGAGGGGAGAATTTTTTTATATTAACGGAGAAAAAAATGTCTCCATTTCGAGTTCATGAAGATATTTTTGGTTCTTTCGGTAAAGTCATGTCACTTTACCAAAAGAACCAATAATATAAATTCCTGCAGTCACGAAAGTTTTAAGTCAAAATTTATAAAGATAATTTACCAATCACCAGAAGTATCCCTGTTGTACAGGACATTTGGCTACCCCATGGTGCATTTGATTCACACATGTTGCAACCACTCAAGGGACCACATTCACCACAAAAATAACAAAAGCATTCTTTATTGCATCAAATTGTGATCCTGAATTGTGACAATTCATTGACTTGCAATAGGAGCAACTGTTGCATTCTTCATACACTGTAATATATCTGAGCTGCTCATATAAACTAAAGTAAACCAAACAGAGTATTCAGTTGATACAGGTCATATATCTCATCAATTTAATCACATAAGGACTATGGGAACCTACTTTTGGTAAATATATCATAGCGGCAATTTAATCTAAAACGTTGATTGTAGTTTATTGAAATAAATCATATTTAAGTGGGCTATGACAGAGTGACATTAAAGTGAATGTTTAAAAATCTCTTTCAGTGCCTGGAAACTGCATCGTGCATGGAGATCCACACTATGTCACGTTTGATGGGCTCTCATTGGCATTCATGGGAACGTGCACCTACACAACAGCTAAGCTGTGCAACAGCTCGTCTCATCTGCCCTACTTCAATGTGGAGACAACCAACGAGTATCGCAACCAGGGCTCCATCTCTTTTGTCAGAGAAGTTCACACAGAAGTCTATGGGCAAAACATCACCTTGTCCTTGGGTCGTACCCTTCTGGTGAGAATTCAACTTTGTATAATTGAAGACTTGAAAGTGGCTATATGTCTGTCAAATTTTGTTTAGGATTGCATTGGTCTAAGTCCTTCAATTGTATCCAAAATGATGTATATTGCAGGAGGAAATATGTTTCCATAACAGTGCTGATTTGCATGAGTTTTTCTAATATGGTATTCATATGAATGCATCAATGTTTTAAGTTATCATTGTCTAGAATCCTCACAAGCATATAATTTTACATCCGACTTCAAACGTACGCTGGTTTTATTTCTATCCCCTTAGAAGAGTTCAGTGAGCACTGATTCACATTCAGAGTGGACTCTACTATTCGATTAAATAATATCACCATCATACTCTACATTTTGGAATCCTTAAGTTAGTTGGAAACACGGTCATTGATAAGCAACATAAAATATAATTTAGAAGCTTACAATTAAAACAAGATAAAACCATACATATCCAGACAATGTACATATCAAGTCCAATTTTCAACCACTGCAATGCAGATGAGAGGTTCAAATGTATTTGTAGATAAATTAGTCAATTACGTGGTACCTACTAATTTTCTTTGCAACATTATCCATTGATCGTGAGGTAACCAAGAGTAGAACCCACGTGGAATGACTTGCGATGCCTGTGTCTCCTGTGCGCTGATCTACAGCTGAATGAGGAGCTGGTGACGCCCCCACTGGTGTTGCCAGGGCTACATGTCTCTATGAGTGGCTCATACCTCGTGCTCATGACTGACTTTAATCTGATTGTTCGATTCAATGGAGACAATCGGGCAGAAGTGACTGTGCCAAGAGAGTATGCAGGGGAGCTTTGTGGCATCTGTGGTGAGACCATGTTTGTGAGAGTTCCATAGCAGTGCTGAGACAAGGCTTTAACTGCTCTATTTACGTTCTCTGTTCAGAAAGCACTGCTGTGTTATTGCCATCTAATCACCATGCAGGATTAATTATGTCAAATGCCAATATTTAGGTTTTTTTTTATAATTAAAATATTACACCATTCACGTTATGAAATTGTTCACTTAATTTGCAATCTGAGCGTAACGTACACTCACTTTACTGAAGACATTGCTTCTCGTTACATCACACATTTTCATATTGACTCTCCCGCCCATGCTGAGGAATGTGCTTTGGGGTTAAGTACTCTAGGAATAAAAAGGTTGCATACATTGGAAGATATATATATAGAAACATTTCAATTCAATTTAGAAATTCCCAATTACACCCCTTCACATGCGGCAATGTGTAATGTATCGATGTCCTTGCTAACGGACTACGATAGTTCACCCCCGTAGACATGCGCCACACGCCACTGATTGCGAGGCACCAATCTGTGCACAAACCCTAATCTCAGGGAGGTGAATCACCTCAGCTGGGAAAGCCAACATCGCTTTCCAACCTGTGCTGATGGAGGTGCGCTCCCCACTCTCCCCTCCATTGAATCGCGATGGCGCCACCTACCGGGAATACTAGGCAGCACACATTGAATGTCACCTTTTAACATTTAAAGTTTATCGAAAAATGGCATTGTTGAAAATTACTGATATTTTGAACTAAAATGTAAATGTATTTAGTTAGCAATGTTTTATCAAATCAGGGCCTGGCTTGGCATATGCATAGTTGACCGCACCTCTGATTAGTGCGGGTGGCTATGTGCAGTGTAAAATAAGTTTAGCGTACATCCATACATCACACATGGTTCTGGAAGTGGTTTTAGTTGTTATAAGTTAATTTCACATTCATTCCTGTATTGTTGACTTGAATCCAGTTTTGAGGCAATACATGTGAACAGTTTAATCTGTGTTTTAACAGGAAACTTTAATGGTGACCGTGCTGATGAATATCTGATGCCCGATGGGACGCAAGCTTCTTCACCAACTGAGCTTGGAAACAGCTGGAAAACAGACAACAGCTCCGCCTAGTGAGTGGCCACCTCTCTATTGTTTACCATCACCTTGAGTCTTGCCTCTGGTTTGTGGTTATGGACTTGTACCTTTGTCTATTTGTAGCTGTGACGCTCCACCTCCACCTCCCTGTGATGAAGATGAGCAAGCAGAGTTTGAAACAGAGACATTCTGTGGAAGCATCACAGATGTGAATGGTCAGTGTGATAAGTTTTTTTTATTGCAGCAATAGTTATTGAAAGTTTGCTTCGTAAGCAATAAAGAGGACAATTGAGTCAAGCAAAATGTGTGTCCCTTGTGAACAGGATTGTTCACAGAGTGCCATGCAGTGGTCAATCCTGAGGAGCTGTTCACCAGCTGCGTGCTTGACCAGTGCTGGACACATGGGGACAAGGGGACCCTCTGTGGCTCCCTTCAGGCCTATGCTGATGAGTGCGCGGAAAATGGCATCGTCATCATGTGGAGGAACGGCACCTTCTGTCGTGAGTGCAAACCGCTCTGAGCTTTAATTCGTAACACATCACATTGCATGAGACAGGGCCTTGTTTTTATTCTGTGGAAGCACAATGTACATCTGTGCGGTTTGTTCATTTGTATAGCTGCTTGCAGTTGTGCATCCCCATTGTAATTGATCTCTGAGTATGTTTATCGTTTGTGTTGACAGCGCTCGAGTGCCCAGCAGACAGCCACTATGAGAGCTGTGCCCCACCGTGCCCAGCCACGTGCAGCAATGTGACCCTCCCAGGTGCCTGCCAGCAGCCCTGTGGGGAGGGCTGTGTCTGTGATGAGGGTTTTGTCCTCTCAGGAGACAAGTGTGTCCCTCAAGATCAGTGTGGCTGCCTGGACCACAACGACCTCTATCACCCGGTGGGTTAATCCCATCTTAAAAAATTTACTTTCCAACTTTTTCCTTTCATACTGAACTTTTTCAGTTGCAGAACAGCCTTTGATTAGTTTAGGATACCTGTTGAATATGTGTCATCGATTTTTTTCTTCTGAATTGTTTGAGAGCCTGACAGCTGGATATTTTTGGTTATCTCAATAACCATAAATGTTTAATAGGTGAAACATGAGTTAATGCCATTCCTCCCTCCCCTTCACCATCCAGGCCACTATCCAAGCTGTCCAAGCTCCACATGTACTCCATAATATAGGTTGTTTGGGTTAAATCGCGATCTAACACAAAAAACCTTTATTATGGATGATATTGGTCGTGAAAGCCTAAGTGTTAAATCCACATGTACTGTTCCGCACTCATGATGTGAGCGCTTCCATTATCAATTCTGATTAAATGCTTCCAAGGACAAACACGTGCTGGAAAGCATCACAGAATACAAGCATGTGCATGTTCCCCACTCTCTCCATTTTGAATAGTGTTAAAATTTACAAAAATACGATGTTTCGCTGGTGATTACAATCAGCTAATCGCCTCATGAAGCTGGCTGTAATCGCCAGCAAAACGTCATACTCAAATTGTAAATGTTGTGGGTTACACTCCAACACACCGGTGTGCCTTATTAGTAACTAATTGGCACGTTTTGTTTACGTGACAAACCTTATTAATTGGTTGTGTCGGGTAGTGGTGGGTTTAACGACAGATTTATATTCACATAATTTAACCCTCAAAAAGCCGTTTATTACGGATAATATTGGTCGTGAAAGCCTACGTGTTATATATTGGCACAACTGGCTATAAAGACTGGCCGACTTGTTACAGAGCCACCTCCAGATCTGCCAACCCACTCATTGACTCGCAGAGCATAGAATGGTCTGCGAGACTCAATAATGAGTTGGCTCATTATTGAGTTCGCAACCCCCATGCTGTGTGACACGTCTTGAAGCGTCTGCTGTACTTCAACAACCCATCATCCAATCAACCCGGTTGTGTGCACAGTACTTGCGGCGTTCTTCGGCAATAAAATTGTGACGATCAAGATGAACATTTTTAACTTGAAGGCAATGCATTCTCCCGGTCTGCCATTCGAGTTTCATTAATCTGGAACCATTGCAGAACTCAAGACCCTGGCACCAACGTGAATGGCAGAGGTGTCGATGCTCATCGAACGGCTGCCAAATAATACATCGCCGCTCGACTACATCCACACTGTCGATTCTCAAATTATCCTCGGACGTGGTTGCATCACTCATTGTTCACCTGGCAATTCTTTGTTTGAGCGAGAGCTGTTTCCCAGACCGGTTCAGATTGGCATAGGTAAAACCGCTCCTGAAAAAAGTTGGCTTGAGCCATAGTGACCCCGCAAACTATCGCCCGATCTCAAACCTGAGTATGATTTCAAATGAGTGCCTTTGAAGCGGGCACTTCCCTACGTTGCTGCTAGGGGCAGATTGATTCAACCCTTGCAGGAGGCATATCGGAAGTTGCATAGCATTGACACAGCTCTAATCAAGATCAATGATGACCTCTACAAGATCATGGATGACCGGTGTGCCACAGAGTTGGTTGGCCTCTTAGCTGCCTTCGACACCATCGATCATGAGATACTCATTGGGTGGCTAATGTGTATTTGGCATGGCACTCGAGTGGATTGAGTCAAACATACGTGGTTGATCACAGTTTGTCAAGCTGGGTGACGAACAGTCCTCGCATATGCCATGCCTAGTTGATGTACCACAGGAGTCCGCATTCGGGCCCTTCCTATTTTCAACATATGTCTCTCCGATCCCCAATGTCATCTCAACTCATGACATTAAGTTCCATTAATGTACACAATTGTACTCCGGAATGAAGTCAAAGATTCCACGTGAGCATTGCACGTGTGATTTGCACGAAACAAAATGCTGCTTCATCCAGAAAAATTGGAAGTTCTGTGGGTTGGCATTCGGGCTCAGGCGAAAAAATTGTGGAAGGATTGGATGTGGTGGTTACAAACTCCGTGATTCAGTTTTCTATTAATCTAAAGAGCCTCAGCACCATACTGGACTAGAATATGTCGTTTGATCACCATGTGCAAAATATAGTCAGGTTCTGCAATTTCCATATCAGGGCTCAGACAGCGTCGACCACTATTGAGTGGTGACATAGCCAGCACGGTGGCATGTAGCATAGTATCGACAAGGCTCGATTATTGCAACTCACTACTCATCTAGATTGAAAACTAATTTATTTCAAAAGTTTTTTTGTTTTTAGTTTGTTTCCTTCCTTTTCTGATTAGCACGAGTGGCTATATACGGTGTGAAAGAAGTTCAACATACATACAAAGGACTATTCTATTCTTATGCATGGTAATGTGCTCCAGAGCTGAATGCCAATGTCACGGTCTGTTGACCGCGAGAGGGCTTCAGGACAGAGTTTGTGTGGTTTTGCTGTTCCTCCTCCGTTTAAGGAGTGCAGACTACAGTGGTTTACTATGCAGTCCACGGTTTGGGTTGCATGGCCACATTCACCTTGTGGCTTGTGTCTTTAATTTTCCATTCATGAATGAGATGTGTGCGAGAGCCTGTTGATGTTCTGATGTGGTTGATGATTGCTTTAATTATCTTAAGATATTTGCTTCAAATAATGATAAAATCTCATGATCCATCCAGCAGTATATGTATGATAATCATGGTTGATGAGGATAATGATGACATGCATTTGTTTTGTTATTTTACAGCTTGGGGATCACTGGTTTGGAACACAGAACTGCAGTCTGCATTGCTCCTGTGTCAGTGTGGGAGATGTGGTCTGTGATCCCTGGCAATGTGGAGCCTATGAGATCTGCAATGTGCAGAATGGCACTCTGGGCTGTCATGATATTGGTGAGCCTTCCAATGTCTTTCATATTCAATTTATATATTTTCTGATATTAGCATTGAAAAAACATTTATATTTTGCCAACTTCCTATCAGTGTTTTGTTGATAGATTCATGTCGAATTTTTTGGCAAAAGGCAGAAAACCACAATTTAATATTCCTTGTTGAAATTGCTTGTAATATAACTTATTATACTTTAAAATTCACGTGCTGCCTTAACATACTCATACAAATGAACTCTATATGATTGTACTTTCTTCAATATACATTTTTCTATATTTTAACTTTCATGACAAACTTTGGAGTAAATCATATTTTGAATGGAGAAGAGTTAGCCAATTCTAGATTTGGGAAAGAGCCAGTTCTAGATCTGTGTTGATGATAACACGCAAGGTTTCATTTTGTAAAGAAGCTCCTTGGAGGCATTCATTTTCAGGGGAGTTGAGTTTTATTTTTCCGAAAGTATATACAGCTTGAGCATAACGACTGCTACACTGATTATGGCTATGGCTCTTCAGTCCTGGCAGTTTCCACTATGTTGAGCCTTGAACCGTGAACCCCGATGGTTTCCACTATGTCGATCTCGAACAGTCGGCCCCGATGTCATCCACCTCTGGTCGTCGATTAGTCCTCGAGCAAGCGCCTCGACTGCGTGCCTCGCGCTCCCTTATATAATGCTTGGCCCTGCCCCTATTGGACAGTGTGCCCCCCCCCCCCCCCACTTAATTATAACACGTGTGACAGTGCCTTCTGGTCACCTGTTTTCAGCCACCTCAACCTGTTTTCAACCATCTCAACTCGGCCTTCTAGAGCCTTCTCTTGTACAGTCCCCTACAACGTTATGCTTTAAGGTCAACAAACTGTGGTCATGATTAGCACAATTTTATTCTTAGTCTGTGCAATTTCTCTTACATAAGTTGAACAAACATGAATGGCTTCGGGCAAATTTATTTTCAGCATAAATACATATTTGTGAGAAATGATTTTTAACAATATTGAGAAAGAAAATGGCTGAAATGCTTTATCAACATAAATACATTTTAGCGTGTTTAACGCGCAGGCTTTCGCGACCAATATCATCCATAATAGAGGTTTTTTGGGGTAAATCGCGTAAATATATAAATGTGTCGTTAAACCCACCACCACCCGACACAGCCAACTAGTAAGGGTTGTCACGTAAACAGAACATGCGTCACTAGTACAGCACCCCGGTGTGCTGTACTAGTGTCGGGTGGTGGCGGGTTTAACAACACATTTATATATTTACGCGATCAAACCCAAATAAACCTCTTATGGACATTTTAGCGTGTATATATACATGAAAATCGATATTGTGTATTTCAGAAACGCCAAGTTCCCCAAGCACATGCATACCAGCTCCAAAACCAGGTACACATTAAACATTGGATGTTTCATTTGTATAATTTTATCTATGGTATTGTCTATTGTGTTCTGATTTAGCTCCAAGAGTTTTTTTACATGTTTGTGTAAGAAAAAAACAACCAAAACAAAGGGATAATTCCCTGGAAAGTTTAGAATAGCAGCATTCTTAATAACCAACGAGGGAAAGCTTTACTTTATCTCAATACTTTTCAGAAGGGTTCTGCTTGGGATGTCGGGCCTTGTTTTTAAAGCAAACTACTTCATGCACCGACTTCCAAAAGCTCTCTTCACCCTGCAGGTTGGGTCTCATGTAATGTTTAAGTGATTCAACTTCTCGTAAAAAAATGCAACATTTCAGCCATGTGTCACCGCTGAGTGTCACCGCCATAAAATTGAGTCAAAGATAAAAAGTAAGAAAATGTTGAGCTTATTCATTCAGTTTTTAAACCAAATATTCATACATGTATATTATACCAGAGCCATGGCTAACATCAATTGCATTTGAACCAGTCCTGGTGCCCATTACCCACATCCTGTTAACCAAACCACTCTCAAGAGTGTGGTGAAGGTCAAACAAAATGACCCACACTGTGTGGGGAGTCCTTCATCCAAAAGTTGATTGATGAATGGCTGCATCAATTTTGTTGACGCTGTATATTTATGAGAAAAAAATATTAAATACATTGCTTTTCTTCATAACTGAGCCTTCTTTAATGTGTTTGATATTCGTTTCTGCTCTCTTGATAGAACCGCATCTCAGCTGTGACTTTGACGATGAGCAATCCCCGTTGTGCAGCTGGGTGCAACTCAGTGCCGATGCTGCGGACTGGATCAGGCACTCAGGAGAAACTCCAAACCCTTATACTGGACCAAGTGGTGATCACACCACAGGCTGTGAGTGAAACACACTTTTGTGGGTCCCACTGCTCGTTGTGTTGAATTAATTGTGCTACGAGCTTCTTGTGTGTGTGTGTGTTGTGGACAGCAGTAGTGTAGTGGTTACAACACTGCACTGCGAAGCTGGTAACCCGAGTTCAACCCCTGCTAATGGCCACCATTGACAAATATCTGCAATGGTCCTGGGCCTCCCCTAGGTCAACTGAGCCTCAAATGAGTACATGGTGATGCAGTGTGTAAAACTAGCAATGGGGAGATGGTGACCAAGCATGGTCCTTGCCACACCACCTACTGATGTGCTGTAGGTGGGATGAGGTGGTATGATGGTTAGTGCAGGGCACTATATTGATATATCCCAAGTAAGCCTGGGTCTCTGTCACATAAATTCAGGCTACAATTATTGCTTCGTGATAATTACTGGGAAGACAAAGGCAGGTGAATAGTTTTGACCGCCACCACCTCGATGCAAAGCCACATATGCGTAGTATCAGTCACAGTATTTAAGGTGGCAATGTTAATTTGTAATATATTTGAGCAGAGCTGCCTCCATGTTGGGATTTTTTTCATGTCCCAATGTAAGACAATTAAGCTGTTGCCAATACCTATTCAAATTAGTAAGTTTTCTTATCACAAAAATCACCATAGGTGGTACAGTGAGGGAAAAAAGTTTTTGATCCCCTGCTGATTTTGTACATTTGCCCACTGAAAAAGAAATGATCAGTCTATAATTTTAATGGTAGGTTTATTTGAACAGTGAGAGACAGAATAACAACAAAAACATCCAGAAAAACGCATGTCAAAAATGTTATCAATTGATTTGCATTTTAATGAGAGAAATAAGTATTTGACCCCCTCTCAATCAGAAAGATTTCTGGCTCCCAGGTGTCTTTTATACAGGTAACGAGCTGAGATTAGGAGCACACTCTTAAATGGAGTGCTAAAAATCTCAGCTTGTTACCTGTATAAAAGACACCTGTTCACAGAAGCAATCAATCAATCAGATTCCAAACTCTCCACCATGGCCAAGACCAAAGAGCTCTCCAAGGATGTCAGGGACAAGATTGTAGACCTACACAAGGCTAGAATGGGCTACAAGACCATCGCCAAGCAGCTTGGTGAGAAGGTGACAACAGTTAGTGCGATTATTCGCAAATGGAAGAAACACAAAAGAACTGTCAATCTCCCTCGGCCTGGAGCTCCATGCAAGATCTTACCTCGTGGAGTTGCAATGATCATGAGAACGGTGAGGAATCAGCCCAGAACTACACGGGAGGATCTTGTCAATGATCTCAAGGCAGCTGGGACCATAGTCACCAAGAAAACAGTTGGTAACACACTACGCCGTGAAGGACTGAAATCCTGCAGCGCCTGCAAGGTCCCCCTGCTCAAGAAAGCACATATACATGCCCGTCTGAAGTTTGCCAATGAACATCTGAATGATTCAGAGGACAACTGGGTGAAAGTGTTGTGGTCAGATGAGACCAAAATGGAGCTCTTTGGCATCAACTCAACTCGCCGTGTTTGGAGGAGGCGGAATGCTGCCTATGACCCCAAGTACACCATCCCCACCGTCAAACATGGAGGTGGAAACATTATGCTTTGGGGGTGTTTTTCTGCTAAGGGGACAGGACAACTTCACCGCATGAAAGGGACGATGGACGGGGCCATGTACCGTCAAATCTTGGGTGAGAACCTCCTTCCCTCAACCAGGGCATTGAAAATGGGTCGTGGATGGGTATTCCAGCATGACAATGACCCAAAACACACGGCCAAGGCAACAAAGGAGTGGCTCAAGAAGAAGGACATTAAGGTCCTGGAGTGGCCTAGCCAGTCTCCAGACCTTAATCCCATAGAAAATCTGTGGAGGGAGCTGAAGGTTCGAGTTGCCAAACGTCAGCCTCGAAACCTTAATGACTTGGAGAAGATCTGCAAAGAGGAGTGGGACAAAATCTCTCCTGAGATCTGTGCAAACCTGGTGGCCAACTACAAGAAACGTCTGACCTCTGTGATTGCCAACAAGGGTTTTGCCACAAAGTACTAAGTCATGTTTTGCAGAGGGGTCAAATACTTATTTCCCTCATTAAAATGCAAATCAATTTATAACATTTTTGACATGCGTTTTTCTGAATTTTGTTGTTGTTATTCTGTCTCTCACTGTTCAAATAAACCTACCATTAAAATTATAGACTGATCATTTCTTTGTCAGTGGGCAAACGTACACAATCAGCAGGGGATCAAATACTTTTATCCCTCACTGTACATATTTCTGCTGTGGCACACAGACTAAAACAGCTCATACAGTAGGGAGTGGCCTGTAATGTTATCCATACCAAAAAAGAAATCGAAACTAAAAATACAACTGTAAAAAATAATAAAAGATCAAGGTCTTGAACAGTAATGGATTGCCTCTTTTTCAGCGACCTCCTACATCTACTCGGACTCAATAACCATCGTCTCTGGAGGAGCAGTGCGACTTCAGAGCCCCAGCATTAACTCCCACCAAAATATCTGCCTGAGCTTCTGGTACCACATGTCTGGCGACAACCTGATGACGGTAAACGTGTACGTCCTGGACGACGACATAGAGACGCACGTTTGGAACGTCGTGGGGCAGCAGAGCAGTGCCTGGTTGCAGGGATCCATTACCATCCAAGCCACGGCCAGCAGTCAGGTCGGTTTACTCTCACATAATATTGATTACATTTTTGTATGTGCGTATGTGTGTTGAACTTCTTTCGCACCTTACGTGCTAATCGGAGGTGCAGAAAAATTACAAAAGTACTAAATAGTCATGACTAATTTTAGTAACTGTCCTTCAGTAATCTAGTAATATTAACGTTGTACTTGTGTGTTATTCATGAACACTGTATGAGGGTGAATTCCACACATTGAAATTGTGAATTGATGTCGTCTCTAGATCATCATAGAGGGAGTTAGCGGATACACAAAATCAAGTGACATAGCCCTGGATGACATCATGGTAATAGCAGGAAAATGTGCAGGTGAGCACACAATATCAGCATTCACTACATCCATACAGTAGCCAGTGTTCTCATGTATTGGGCGGTTCTGAAATCCATGAATGGTCCTGGTCTAGTAGTGTAAATTCCACTTTCCTATGGTAATGGTCTTTATATCCATTGGACAACCACTGTTGATTTTCCTGCAAAAGTATGTCAGCCTAACCAGGTGGGGCTCATTTCACTGGCTCCAGTAGGATGACGAGGAGGATCATGTGATGTTGATGGAGTTGAGCTGATATTAACCAAGAATTAAACTCACGAATGGGACCTTGTCTTACCAACTGTTATTTGCTCACTGACATTTAAAATTAAATAGATATGCATGCATTTTTTTTAAATTAAATATTGTTTGCGCAACATTCCCATTCCTAAAAAAATGCAGGCGATAATAAAACAATCTTTACACAAGCCCAATTGTATTACCTCTGCTGGGAAGGTTACTGTTCATGATAACGGTAAAGTGTTTTTTTTTACACTTGTGCTATTGCTGAGTTTTATTGAAGGATTTGCACAATTCCAGAATCTTAATTACTAAAATAAATGTAGACAATGCACTTTTAGTGATTGTAATGACCAACTTTCCATTTTCCCCATTTTCCAAACGCAACAGTGTGTGTGAGCGGTTGTGATTTTGACAAGAACGAGGGACTGTGTCAATGGCGCAACAGCGAAGAGGATGATGGAGACTGGGAGCTGTGGCTTGGACAGACAGATACAGAGGGCACGGGGCCCGATGATGACTTCACTCGACCTGGCTGTTTGTACCTTTCATAAAATTTATAATTTACACCAAGCTCTCAAGATGAATGGATAATCAGACCCTATCAAAACCATTACCTTGCCATACGTAAAAAGATTTCCAAAATCATGAGCAAACACAAGATCCAGATTCGATTTAACACAGTACATAAAATTCGTGATCTGATCCCATCTGTGAAGGATGTGTTCCCTGACATGCAATACCCCGGCGTCTACAAACTAAACTGTGTCTGTGGCAGTAGTTACATTGGGAAAACTAAGCAACATGTCTCGGACCGTGTTTGTGAACATAAGGCAGATCTGAAACACGGCAGGACCAATACCTCGGCCGTGGCTGATCATTGTTTTAATGCGGTGGGCTCACACGAAATAGATTTCTCTAAGACGAAGGTACTTTGCAAGCCCACTGGCTATCAACAAAGATTCGTTCATAAAGCCATCCATATATATAGACACAGACACAATTTCAACCGAGAAGATGGGTACAAACTGAGCAATCATTGGAAGGACGTGATTAACCAGTTTAAGTCATAACTGGCTGTGATGTTTCCATCCTACCTTCCGAAGTTAGTAGTTATTTTCGACTCTCTGGTTTTACATGAACAGGTTAAATGTCTCACACTAACACAGCCTCCGTCGCTCGTGTCCTCGTTGTGGCGGTGGCTCTGCGATCTTACATTGACATCCTAATCTCTCACAATACAATAGCCACCTCCGAGTCGTCGTCATGGATGTAGCTCTCCGACCTTACATTTACATGCAAATTTCTCACTTTAACATCACTAGCCCCGCCCACTTCGTTTATGACCCTTGGGCTACACCCATTTCAAACCTTTAAAAACAGCCTGCCTCAGCAGCTTTACCACTCTTTTTTCTCCTGATGACGATTGCTTGTGTTACAATCGAAACGTCGTAGTTTTTTGTTATTTTGTTATTTTCTTTGAACCTATCGACGTGAATTCTAGATTTGAAGCTTTTGTGACTGCAAGGATTCATATTCTTAGGTTTTTTCGGTAAAGTCACTTTACAGAAAGACCCACGAATATGAATTCCTGCAGTCACGAACGCTTTAAGTCAAGATTCAAATTTACAACTTACAACAATGGGTGTTCTGCCTCCCTAAGAGCTACCCATCCCAACTATTGCTTTCAGCCCCACCTGTTGTCTTATCACTACCCTTTGCCACCCCCAGTATCCAAGCCTGTGTGTGCATGTGTACATTTTATACAACACTGAGGGTGATGTGTAGTGGTTAGCGCACTGTACTACAGTGCCAGCAACCTTGGCCCATGATGTGCTGTGAATAACGTCGATGGCAGTCATAGGATCTCTACACACAGAACACTGGGCGGTGATCATCCTCATCTGTGGAAATTCCATATTTCCAACACAATTTATAGATTCTCTGGCACAGATAATTCAACATTGCCAAAACAGGCAGAAATTGTGTCAATATAAATCGGTACTTATATATGTTAGTTACTCATCAAAATGCTTTATCTGTAAAACTAGTCAGATGCAATCTGTTGAAATAAAATTACATTTATGGAATAAAGTTCTCATAACTTCACAATTATGGTAGCCACTAGCCCAACTTGTAAAACATGTAAGTATATTGTGCTGTATAATCATGTTCAATCTATCACCATCATTATCATCACTACCTTCATCACCATGATCAATCAAACCATAATTTCCACTAATCCACAGTAGGAAATGAGTAGAGCGCTAAGGCACAGATTAACACAGAGAGGGGGCATTTGCAACGGGACTATTTTGTTATCTTTGAAATTGCGACACTTAACGGGCATTTTGCGGTCAGATTCCAGCCAAAGGCAATGGGAGTCGCCAATAAGAGGCGATTCCGTCTGTTGTGTGTGCAAGTGCATCCATGTTTATCAGTGTATTTCCACTTTGTGGGTTGTGTAGTTGGGAATTACCTCCTGCTGGACTCGTATTACACCAGTCCTAGGGACAGACTGCAACTGGAGAGTCCGCTGCTCACCTCCCCTGGCTGCTTGGTGCTGCGCTTTCACTACTACATGTTTGGGACAGCAGCTGACATGGCAATCAATGTTTACGTTAAAAAAGGTAAGCTGAATTTATTATTTGTAAACTTAATTGGACTAGCTACGTGACGTAATTTGACGTGAAGTACAATCCTCAGATTGTATATTTGTTATTCAAGTTCTTCCTTTACTCCAAGTGTAGTGACACAGCGCTAACTGCTGGCCAGCGGCAGCAACTGCGGTGGACAGTTAGCGCACACGCCGTTGAGTATATACACGGGTGTGCAAGCAGGGTGGAAAAACTGGGGCAGGGGTCACTAGAGACCTCACCGAGAAGCCCCTGGAACCCGCTAGTGGGTTCGAGAAGGAAGGTGCGGCGAGGGCGGAGCCAGGCCTCGCCGAGTAGGATATAAGCAGCAGAGAGCGAGAGCTCCAGGCTGTCGGTTCTGGGATAGGACTCGTCTCGTCGTCGCTGTCGTCTTTGCCGCCTTCGTCGCTGCCTCCTTCACTCTATTATTGCGCGGCCAGATAGTTGGCTGTCCCGATCGACGCCGTCAGTTTAACGCGGTTAGGGTTGTGTTAGGCTGGGCTATACGACATCGGGAAGCTGCGGGCAAAGATTTCAAGTTGAGAGTGATAATAACGAAGGTTCCTCCTGCAACTACCTCGTCTCCGACTTGTGCTACACTACACAAGTGATAAAACCCCCCGTTGTGTCCTGATTTGTTATAAGTTGCGGTGGGCGAACTTGCTCACCCATAAAATCTAAATAAAATAATAAAAACTGTCTCTTTATTATTTATTTCAATTATGTGTATTTACTCCTTACCTTTCTTATGCTATTCATTGCACGCGGCTGCACTTTATTTTGCGCGTGGTTGCAATTTTGTCCGCTCAGTCGGTGTTAGCTGCTGAGGGCGTCACGGAGTTATTTTCTAACTGCTGTTGTAGTATGCCAGCGGTACCGTTCTGTTGTGATGTGCACTGATGCCTACTTTAGGGCAATATTGCCACATAAAATAAAGATTGATTAAAATTTCCTGCAGCAAAATATTTGATACCTTATCGTAGCAATAGTTTCAGCCCTCAAATCCATTGCCCTTCAGTGAAGATGCGGAGAGCTGGACGCTTCATCTTGATGGTTGTCACGAAGAACAGTGATTATAATCTTGATTTGAAGCTTTCGTGACTGCAGGAATCCATACTCTTTGGTTCTTTGACTTTACCAAAAGAACCAGAGAGAACAGTGATTATGTTACATTCTCAAATTACAGTAATACAGGTGGTGGTTTCATTTTCAAACGCTGCCATTGCTTTAAAATGTTATGCTAAATTTACAATATTTCATCTCAAGATTTGCAGTTCATGATTTAGATCAGTAACCATTTTTAAAAATACGTATTTTTGTCGTTAGTAATACATTAATAATGTTAAGGAATCATGCGAAGTAATTATGCCGCATTTGTGGTAGAAGCGTAAAGAATTATTTTTTTTACCATACTTGCACTCTTGGGCCTTACACCCACGTTCCTGATCAATAAGCTGCGTGACTTGGAGGTCGGGTTGTTGGATCATGCAGGAATGGATGTCCTATAAGCGTGATACACTTGAGTCATTCGCTTTACACATCATTACAATTATTAAAAAAAACAAATCAATAAATGCTGATAATGAATATCATTACATGGAGTCCTTCAATGAGAATTTCTGGGATAACGTTTTGAAATTGAATAAAATGTCGTAAACTGTAATCTATATATTTTTTTATTCCAATTCTTACAGGAGGGCTCACAGGGCCTGCTGTTTGGTCTCTGCGAGGAAACCAAGGGAAGGCATGGATTCTAGCTGAAATCATGTACTCTGAGACTGGAGAAGTGCAGGCAAGAACATGCAATCATATGCTTTACTGAAGGTTTTATAGCAATCACATGGCTACAGGGTTCTCTTTTTAACTTCAAACTATATTTCTGCTAACTGACCCAGTGGGATACCAAGTGGCTCTGTATCTTAGTTGACTCAAAATGCTTGTGTTAGAGCACTGAACCATCAATGTTGAGATTATGAGCTTGAATCTGGGCTATGCCTGTGATTAAACTAGGTTATCAAGTGTATCGAACGAATAGTCTTTAGTCAGCAATAACTGCCATATCAATTTACACTTTATATTCTTTGGGTCTTTTGGTAAAGCCACGTAGATAGAAAAATAATAAAATTATCACGACGTTTCAATCGCAACACAAACAATCGTCATCAGGTGAAAAAATATAGCGAGAGAGCTGCCAAGGCAAGAGAAAATACAGCGGGAGAGCTGCTGAAACACGAAGTTATATAGGCTTGAGATGTGCTCAGCCCAGGGTAAGTGCGCGGGGCTAGAGGTGGAATTTGCATGTCAATGTAAGATCGGTGATGTACCTCCACGACGACGACGCAGCTGTGGAGGTGGCCATTGTATTGTGAGAGATTCGCATGTCAATGTAAACGAACTAACGCAACGGTGGCTGTGCTAGTGAGACATCCAGCTCATAAAAAAAAAAACGAGGGACAACACCACATCGAGGAAAAGGAGCAGCGGTGGCTGTGTTAGTGAGACATTTAGCGTGTATGTAACTCAGAGAGACAGAAATAACTGCTAGCATCAGCAGATAGGATGGAAACATCACAGCCAGTTATGACTTAAACTGGTTAATAACGTCCTTCCAATGATTGCTCAGTTTGTATCCATCTTCTCGGTTGCAATTGTGTCTGTGTTTATATATCTGGATGGCTTCATGAACGAATCTTTGTTGATAGCCAGTGGGCTTGCAGAGTACCTTCCTCTTGGAAAAATCTATTTCGTGTGTGCCCACAGCGTTGAAACAATGATCAGCCACGGCTGAGGTATGGGTCCTACCCTATTTCAGATCTGCCTTATGTTCACGAACACGGTCCGAGACATGTCGCTTAGTTTCCCCAATGTAACTACTGCCGCAGCCACAGCTTAGTTTGTAGACACCGGGGTATTGCTTGTCACTTTATGTTTCACGTTTGGCCTGCAGCAGCTGTAGGTTATACAACCGATGAGTCACAAAGCATGAGCAGGTGCCACCAGGTCACTCTCTGGCCGGTTAAACAACATTCACTTGATCTAGTATCAGATGTGGGTGACCTTTTGAAATTATTCCAGAAGTAGTTATGATATCATCTGCGGCTGTTCTTTGATATAATTGTATACGACGCTCTGCTATCTGTAGGAGTTCCATGATCTTGATCTATCTAGCATGACTCAAATAGAATGGTTAAGTTAATTAAAAACATTTGTTTGCAAAGGTTCCACTGGCATACCAATGTATGCACAAACGTTGTGACACAGAAGGCAGCGAGCACATAGGAACACAACGCATCATTTAAATACACCAAAACATAAAGGCTGTGCAATATGAATTTTGAAGATAGTGTAAGGGCCTTTTAATGACTCCTGTGTATGTGGACGTTGATGTAAATCAAGTTTTGGTGTTGTTTTAATTGATGTTTTAGTTTTTAGTGGAAGGAGTTCGAGGACATACAGACGGGAGTGATATTGCCCTGGACAATTTCTGTGTCAAAGTCTGCGATCCCAGAGGTAAATTTGCATGGGAGTAATTGGTGAATGGAAAGTTTGTTATGGAATGCCATATTTTATTTTATTTGTTGTACATCATGTGCTAATTGTGCTGTATGATTTTAATATTGCAGATATCTGCAGTACAACTCCAACTCCTCCCCCTCCAGGTAAAAAAACCACACACTTTATAAAATGTACATGCCATGTATATGCATTTATTTTAGACAAGAGGAATTGTATCCACTCTCCTCCACCTGACGACAGCCAATAAATAAAGTTGTTGTGTAAAGAAACGCGCCAATTTATTACCGCTTCAGCAGTGCTGACGGTGTTGGAGAGCAATCGCAGAACATTTAACAATTGGGAATGCGTTTCACTGATATTTACGACATTTAAGTTACGTGATCTGACCCAAATTTCAGTTATGGTCGCGAAAGCCTACGTGTTAAAGAGATTCCTAGGATGTGAAATGTAGATTCGTGCAGCATCTCCTTCAGCCATAAAACAAACTCCGTTCATATGAATAGGATTATATTTGATGATCCTTAGGCTGTTAAAGCATACCATGAATTGGATTATATGACAGATTAATAATCATCCAAATATTCTCATTAATGAATTGAAAATTATTGGATGTCCATCAGGTAAGATTTTAGTGACAATTTTATGATAGCCACTAGATGGGATGCTTTTCTAACAACCTATTGAAAATACTGGTTATTATAGAATTCCAATGATCTCGCTATCCCATTAGGCATTATTTGATTCCCACAAACATATTGTAATTTCATGAGAATTTCCCACAACGAATAGTTGGCCAGGAGCAATCTAGTTTCGTGTACACAGCAGTACACTACAACTGCTTAACCACAATATTTTCTTCCGATTTGTAGTGAGTGCCACGTGTCACGTGGCTGGAGATCCTCACTATTTCACGTTTGATTCTGCACTGATAACCTACATGGGCACGTGCACCTACCAACTGGTGAGCGTCTGCAATGCCGACCACGTGACACCCTTTACCATATTGGCTAAGAACGAAGAGCGGGGGCAGCCGAATGCCTCCTACCTCAAGCACGTTTACGTCGACATTGGCAGTGACCGCATCCAACTGAAGAAAAAGAACGTGATTCTGGTATGCACAACTGCACATGAACCGCACATGAACCACACATCAGCAGATCTGCTTTATCCCATCCATGTGAGACTTTGAATAACTGTAAATATTCAACGTGATGTTTAATATCTGTGCTGCATGTTTTGGCAATTACTTAATTTCACACGCATCTAATTTTTTGTACTGACATTTTATCTTTGTTTTATAGCTCAATGGAAGGAAAGTCAAGACCCCAATTATCAAAAGTGTGGTTCCTGGAGTGCAGTTCAGCATTATTGGAAGCTACGTGCATGTGGTGACAGACTTTGGGTTGGTGATCAAATTTGATGGTGTGCATCACCTCTCAATAACTCTACCAAGTGCTTATGCCAATAAGGTAATTGCAGTTTTCATTGTAGCAGACCTTGGTACAAGTGGTAAACATTCTGTACATGTTTCCTACACATGCTGTAAACGTGGATGTAAATGCAGAATCGTATGCTAATTTGCACGCTTAAATGTATGCAGGCGTCTATAATGCAGTCAATCGTAGATCCTGCTATACGTGTTTATCCGTGCGTTTAACTTCTCTCGTGTAAGCAGCAATGCACTGATAAACGTGAATAGGGAGAATGTGCCGCCATTTCCGAGTCGCTCCTCCTATCCGTACGAAAGCTCAGGGAATAGATAGAATGACGTGCTTACAGGAGACCGCTCCTGGATTATTTCCAGTTCAAAGTCCTCGGATAAGTGTGGATAACAGGATATACCCCGTAGATAGATTTACAATGCCTCAAAAGAAGCGGGGGCTATGCGCACATGCATACAGTGCACATGGAGAAGGCTGAATTGGTTTTCATAGGCATGCTTAATAATTCATATGTTAAAATGTATTTGTATTACACTTTATACATGTAAAAATCTTTGTTTTACAACTTGTGCAATTCAAATTTAACAAGTATGCTTTCGCAACCAATATGGTTAAATGTTGTGGATCGCAGTCATTGGCACGTGTCCCCTTCTTTATTGGCTATGTCCGATGGAGGAGATTTTCTAACATAAATTAAACTTATGAAATCTTATCTAAAAATGTATTATAAATCATAAATGAAAATGATATGACAATTTAAATGAAGGCTAATTTAAACAAATGGGATGAACCAAATGATGAACAATACAATGGATGTGAGAGAATGCATTCTCAGATCAAATTTCCCACCCCACATCAAAATTGTAACTATAAACCGCATCGAGGAGAAATAAGGCATTTCAAGCTAGCCATGAGGTAGTTTTAATGATCAAGGTGGCAAGTTTTGTATGTAAATTTACCGTGCTCTCGTTTATGTTGTTTTGTTCTACTACAACAGGTGTGTGGTTTGTGTGGAAACTACAACTTGAACCACACTGACGATTTATTGATGCCCAACGGCTGGCTGGCATCCAATAACAGTGAGCTCGGGAACAGCTGGAACGTGGAGGATGCTGATGATAAGGAGTGAGTGGAGGCTTGTACAGGACATACATATGGCCTATTCGTGTACACTACTGTACTGTAATTTGAAATGCATGTTTATATAATTATGAAGGTAAACCCGTAATTTGCACAGTATTGTTTGTCTACAGTTTGCCCCAGAAAATAATATTGTAAGTGAATCATGAGGGCAAACACATTTATTGTGGTAAATCTGTAAAATGCAACAGCACGTGTGCCACACACAGCAATCATCAACCGAGTCGCCATTAACCACGTGACTGGTGTCCAAGTCCGGTTAATCAATAACAGTTTCTCTTAAACCAAATTCTCCTACTGATAAACCATCTTTGTCTTTGACAATAACCCTTGAACGTCACTATTTGAATATTACTGTAATCCTAAGCTGTATGTCTATCTATACCATCCTTATATCGGTATTTAACACCCATTACCGGTACTGTATGTGTACATACTCTTTGCGTCTTTCGGTAAAGTCACGTAGATTTAAAATAATACAAAATCACGACGTTTCGATTGCAACGCGAGCAATCGTCTTCAGGTGAAAAAATACAGCAGACGAACTGCTGAGGCAGGAGAAATATAGCGAGAGAACTACTGCAGCAAGAGGTTATATAGGTAGAAAAATTAAACAAAATAAAAATAATATATCACGACATTTCGATCGCAACAAAGCGGTCGTCCTCAGGCGGAAAAAATACAATCCAGCAGTGGAACTGCTGAACCAGCGAGAGAGCTGTTACAACAAGGTTATATATGTGGCGATGGGCAAGCAAGCGGGGTCTGAGCTGGAAAGGAACTCCATCTACGGACGTAGGGAGAGAGGGATTAGGGAGGGAGATTAGCATGAACGCTCTTCCGTCGCCAGGATAAGAGTATCATGCCGGCATATGCGCACAACAGCAGTGTTAATAAGAGATTAGCACCATGAGAGTGCAATCCAAAGGACATGTGAGCCTGAGAGGTGCAATCCAAAAGATCTAAGAGAGAGGCAAATAGAGAGAGAGACGCAGAGAGTCGAAAATAACAGCTGACATAGGCAGGTAGGATGGAGACATCACAGTCAGTTAAGACTTTACCTGGTTAATAACGTCCTTCCAATGATTGTTCAGTTTGTACCCATCTCGGTTGAAGTTGTGTCTGTGTTTATATATCTGGGTGGCTTCATGAATCAAATTCGTGTCAGCCCACAGCGTTAAAACAATTATCAACAACGGCAGAGGTATTGGATTGCACCTCTCATGCTCACATGTCCTTTGCATTGCACTCTCATGCTCATATGTCCTTTGGATTGTACCTCTCAGGCTCACATTCCCCTTTGGATTGCACTCTCATGTTCACGTCCTTTGGATTGCACTCTCATGGTGCTAATCTTTCATTAACACTGCTGTTGTGCGCATATGCGGGCATGATACTCTTATGCGGCGACGGAAGCGCATTCATGCTAATCTCCCTCCCTAATCCCTCTCTCCCTAATCTCCCCCATTAACACAACTGACGTGCTTACGTCCGTAGATGGAGTTCCTTTCCAGCTCAGACCCTGCTTGCTTGCCCATCGCCACATATATAATCTTGTTGTAACTACTCTCTCGCTGGTTCAGCAGTTCCACTGCTGGATTATATTTTTTCCGCCTAAGGACGACCGCTTGTGTTGCGCCCGAGATGTCGTGATTTATTTTATTTTATACCTACGTGACTTTACCGAAAGAACCGAAGAGTATGGGAATTTAAATTTCAAGCAAGAGCTGAATGTGTCCACTGAAGCGATCAGTCTCGGTGCAAGCCTCAACCGTTGAGTTCTCTCATTTCAGCTGCAAGCTGGGCGTGGAGCCTGTACAGTCCACTTGGAGGCATGAGAAATCCTTTAACAAGAGGTGCCAAGTCCTCACTTCACCCACTGGCCCTTTTGCAAGTTGTCATCATGTCATCAACCCCCAGGACTACGTCACGACTTGCACATTCGACATGGGTCAATACAGTGACATGGCGAGCATCCTGTGCGACAGCTTACAGGCATATGCGGAGGCCTGCCGTGTTGAGGGAGTGAACATTCAGTGGCGTAATGAGACCTTCTGTCGTGAGTCTATATGGAACATATACACCTCACCCGGGATTGTATGTGTGGCCAGTTTACAGTGTTATAACTATTATATTAATGATAGACATACAGAGTACTTACCAATATATATTTCACGTAGACACAAAAGTGCACCTACGTACAGGTTATAAAACGCGCATTAAATTGTATTATGAATGGTGCTGAAGGGATTGAAAGCATATTGCAAGTAGAGATAGCAGCTAAACACAATAACTGTGTTGAGATTTATTATGGTAAACTTTGCTATTACTGTGTAAACTTTAAATATTTGTTTTATTATCAACTGCTTGTTTTATGTTGTGGTTTACATCTTGGGCTGAATTTATATGTTGGCAGAGGAGCACATTCTGCAGTTATTTGGCTAAACCAACTGCTCACATTGTCACAATTTTTCACTGACTTGCTCATTTTTTTTCAGCAATAGGCAAAAAAGCTGATTTCTACATACACATTAATTGGGCCTGATGTTCAGTGCAGAAAGTATTCCAGTCTAACCGTTGCTCGTTGTTGTTGTTAATGTCCATTAGCGCTGTCCTGCCTGGCAAACTCCCACTACACGGATTGTGCCTCGCTTTGCCCAAACACCTGCCTGCACGCAAGCACAGAGGACGACTGTCGGAGCACAGAGGCGTGCACAGAGGGCTGCGTCTGTGACAGCGGCTTTGTGCTCAGCGGCAGACTTTGTGTACCACAGCAGGATTGCGGCTGCTGGGACCATGGAAACATCTACCACACGGTGGGTAGCTCCGCTTTTCCTCTGAACCACCACGAATCCGGCTCCACCCTTTTTTGATGCGCATATGCGTGCGGTGTCATCACCACTGTGCATTTGCCCAGCAACAAAACCTAAAAAAATTATATTCCTATATTAAATTAAACAACTTGTATGACTCTACTCATTGTCCTGTTTTATTAACTGACATTTCAGTTGAGCATACTTATTGATTGTATCCTACGGTTTCAGATCATTTTAGCATTGTATTTCCACAGCTCGGAGAATCCTGGCTGACAGACAACTGTAGTACTCGGTGCAGGTGTATGGGCTCTGAGGATATGGACTGCAATCTGCACAGCTGCATGGCTGAGGAGAGCTGTGCTTTGCAGAACGGGCAATACAAATGTCAGCCTGTCGGTAAGCTCGTTACATGTCTTGCAGTATATATTCTAGGTGTTTAAAGAAAGTTCAATCATATTAAACACCACTTTAAAGAAAGTGCTTAATACAAAATTGGAGATGCTAAGAAAAAAATTGTGCAACTAAAATTTGCTCAACCAATGTAAGATAATTTATATTTGATGGCAAAAGACAGACCATTTTCAGGTAAATAACCACATTTTCTGCTTATTTGGTTATGTGAGAGATGTGGAAATTGCACATTCATTTCCTGCCCACAATGTCGTATAATAACCAAGCCTCAAAATTTCAACTAGGATTTTGAGTTGAGCGCTCCGCCAATACAACTTTAACAGGTCATATACTGTCATGATGAAAATGATGCTGAAGTTAACAATAACTAATTTTCTGCTGGTTTCTGCTGATAAATGAATAAGAAGTCCGCTACATGTAAAGCGCTGCATATAGACGAGTCAGTGTGCTGGTGTGTTTATTTCATTGTCAAGGACTGCTCATGAGACTTTGTCACTTGTTATGCACTTTTCAGGTTTCAGTACTTGCACCATCTCTGGAGATCCACACTATCAGACCTTTGATGGATTGCCTTACAACTTCATGGGCAATAACACTTACGTTTTGGTACAGACCAGTGGCGATAACCCCAACCTCATCCCCATAAGTGTGCGTGGGAAAAACGCCAATCGTCATGGTTTAAGCGACGTCTCATATTTGGATGAGGTTCACGTGAATGTGTTTGGACACGAAATACGTTTTACCAGCAGGGATGATTTTGAGGTGAGAGTTATGTAGACATGCAAGGTAAATGCTGTAATGAGAAGGGTTTCCAGCTTGAACAAGTGCTGAGCATTGCTCAACTCTGTTGGCCCTGAGCCAGTGGTGGAAATTACACATTCCTATGGCAAATGTCAGTCGCCCTATGTAACAATAACTTCACTTCCTATGATGTGGTCATTATTTTTAATGACCCATGAGGGGTAATGGCCTAAGTTGATCCCTAGAGCAGTGCTCTTCAATTGGTGGCTTGTGGGCCACATCTGGCCTCGAACGGCTCTTAGAATGCCCTGCTGAGCATCCCGTGACATCTATTGATACAGATTAGTGAGATGAAAGAGAGATAGATAAGAGAGCTGTATGAATGTAAATGCACTCTAGAGTGTATTGCGTGTACGATACTGAGTATACAAATTTAAACTATACAGCAGTTCATATACATTTGTGATTGACTGCTAACAGCAATTATCTCTTAATGGACTCAGTTACAGCTGTAAAACCACTGGCTCATCGTTGTACTAAATGGAGATGGACTACCACTAAATGGGCGAATGGAATTGTGCGTGACAATATACCGACATCCACACCAGTATGGCAATGACCAATCGCCAGAAACTCTGGCAATTGGGCACATGGAACCAGCCGTAATGAAGTCTCCAGTTGCATAACGAGTGTGGCTGTGTCTGTTTTGCAGTTTGACGGGGTGAGGATGAGGCCTCCGATGTTCCCCAGTGAGGGTTTGTCCATTCAGCAGTCCTCTCACAGGATCATCCTGCAAACCGACTTTGGTCTCACTGTCATCTACGACCGCAGGGAGCATGCAGGTCAGTGCTGTGGTCCTAATGACAGCAAGCTTTCCAAATCATATGTTAGTTTCATGGAATATGCAAGTTAAGTAAAACAATATAGATTAGAAGTTTTCGTGACTGCAGGGATCCATACTCTTTGGTTCTTTCGGTAAAGTCACGTAGGTTGTTTCTTGCTGTGGTTGTCCCACCTGATGAGGGACGCTTGTGTTGCGCCCGAAACGCCGTGATTTAATTTATTTTATACCTACGTGACTTTAAGTAAAACACTCCAAGTTGCCCCATGCTCAAACTTGCATTGGTAGTGCTTGTGTAATGAGTCCACCAGACGACGGTTGAGATGACACACTCTTTATTTTCCACACGCGCTCATGTTGCGTGCGACCACTCCACTCCAAATCCCACCAGGAAGCACCCCGATCTCTCCGCCTCATCCAGTGACATGAACACTCCCCTGCTGGACGTTCACTCTCTCTCACGCCCCGCCTTCTCTTTTCTTTCGTTTGTGACGTTATCTTTAACAGTAACCTGGGATCCCGTGGGTATTCCTACCCCCGGATCGCATACGTATTTAAACTACACTTGTATCTTTATAGCCATTGGTCACAATTTGGTAGTTCTAAGCCACTTGTAAAATATTTATTTTTGTTTGGGAGAGGATAGACTATCCTCAGATAATCACAACTGACTCCAACTTAAGCTCATTACCCGTCATTTAGAGATAATGGGACAGATTTGACAATGGTTTGGGATTTTGACTCTCTTACACAGCCTGGATCTGGCATATTTGACACAGACAGCACTAGTCATTTAAGATAGTACGATTAAGGGCTCTTCATTGGTCATAATTTATAACATATTTACACAAAAACATTTATTTGCCGTAATCCTAAAAAAGTTGGACAAAACTACCATGTTTGTTTGTTGTAGTACAGAGTTAGACTGATGGCCTTAATCTAAGTTGTCTTGTGGTTGTTGTTGTTTGACTTGCATCCCACTGGGATTTTTGCACAGGGTTGGTGTATGGTGATTTTTCTGCAATATTTTGCTGTCTTTTCTTGGATTTTCTGTTTGCACATAGTCACTTTAAGATGTTTTCTTGTTCATGTTTTTGTTTTTTGTTTGTTGCGGTTGCACCCGATTCAAGAGCCGAATGGCTCACAGGGCTATACCTAATAAATGAACTTTTAACTTTGATAAATTAAGATGGCTAAGTTTAAGTTCATTTGAAACCACATTTCAGAACTAGCGGTCAACTCCATGTATTTGTATGGTTTTAGGATTATGTTTTGTCAGAGCCGCTATAAATGTAATGATGATGTTGCACTGTTATTGGGAAAGCCGGGGATTACTATAGCGAGACATGAATACTTTTTACAAATGAAACGCAACACTTGACCTCTTCAGAAGTGTCACAAATTTGTTTTATTAAAATGTATTTCATGCAACACTCCTTGCCAAATTGGCTCCCATCTTGTCTGTTTTGGTAGCCTGTAGCCTGCACACTCACAACGGAGTGAGTTTACATGGAGCTGACCTTTCGATTCTCATAGAAATTGGTCGAATTGCCTCTCAATCCAAACCAGCATGAGGGATGTATGCTTCTCCTTCAATGAACCTGAATCAGTGGTAGAAAATACACATTATAGTGGCAGGGTTTTTCCCAATGCAAATCCCTATTGAATTCCCACAAAATGATACACATTTTGTCTACTCTGGAGGTTTGATGACCTCAATATGTTGAATATTGTTTTGTATGATTTCCATATATTCACGTGTTCATTTATACAAACAGGTGAAACTCTATGAAGCCGTATATAGTTTATAATGTAACATATATTTTCCTAATTCTTCAAATGGATAATAACGTAAGGTTTTTTTTTCTGTATCGTGTCAACAGCTAAATGAGTTTCCCCTTACAGAGAATAGCCAGATACAAATAATGTATGAATACTTTCTTAGATTTATTTTTACCTTTTGTACAAATGCAAACATTTATATGTAACTGCTAAATCCTGTGTTGTATTTTTGTTTGACACGATGCATTATAGATGTGATTATATCCAGCTCTTACATGAATGAGGTTAGTGGATTGTGCGGGAATTACAATGGCGACCCCAACGATGAATATTTTGGACGTAATGGACAGCAAATTCCTTCCATAAAGGCGTTTGGCGAGAGCTGGGCAATGAATGATGCTAGTGAGAACCTGGCGCCTGCTGTGAGGTAAACCACAAGCACCCGCGGCACGGTGGTTGGACACAAGCAGTGTCGGTCTCGTGGGTTTGCAACGTTGCGTCATGAGCATATTTCATAGACTGTACTTGCACATACATGCAAACTAACCAATGTTACTCATATATACACTGTATAAGGGAAAAAAAGATGTCCACATACACAATACATATGTATAACATACACAATCTGCACAATATGCATGTATTGTATGTCTTAACTTGTGTATGTTTTTACTTTAAGCCAATATAAATTCTCCATCTCTGAAGACTCATTAAATGACCCAACCTGCAGTGAGACACAGCTGATCGAACTGCAAGGCATTAGTTCCTGTGGGATGATCAAATATATCGCTGGTCCCTTCCAACCATGCCAAGAGACAGTTTCTCCTGATTCATACTACGAGTGAGTCTAACAAGACACCAATAATGGCCTGCAAAACCACCGACACATTTTGCATGATGGTGCACACCTGCAATACAGAGTTTTGTAGGCAATGATTTATGAATCACATAGATCTTTAAAATTCCTAAACCCACTGAATTCTGAGTTTGCCAGGAGATGGCAGTGCATGACTTGTGTTTGTGTACTCACCTGCCTAAATATTTCCTTGCCATGCTCTAATGTGCATTGGTTTTAACCGGGAACTCACATTTCCTTTCACAAGCAAAGCAATAGAATTGGGTTTGCTTCTCATTGCATAACTATCCTAAAAACAGTATTGTGACTGAGGTTTCTGGATAAAATTATATTGCGAATATGAATTGAAAATAAAACGAATGTTTAAAATGTGCATATACGAAAATTGAGCAGCCAATTACAAGGTAAATACTGTACCTTTGAAAGCAAACCATTCGTATCTGCTTTGATGATTGAGTGATGCTAAGCAGGATTTTTGTAAACATGCTGATCATGTTACTAGCCTGCCCATAGCTAATACTGCATGTCCTTAGGAACTGCTTGTACGACATGTGCGCAAACTTTGGAGACAAGGAGACACTGTGCAACAGCCTGGCGGTTTACACTGCATCTTGTCAGCGGAAGGGCATCACTCCAAGCAACTGGAGGAACTTTTCAGGCTGCGGTAATGTTAAACACTTTTATGATGTTTTATTTGTATTATTTTAGTATTTCCCTTCTACGTGACTTTACCGAAAGATCCAATAATATTAAATACTGCTATTCACCCCTGTGTTCTTTTTTAGATTTTTACACACTTTTATTGAACTTGCCCTGTTGTCTGTTTATATTCTTTCAAACCTTTGACGCTTATGAATATCTTTGGATCTACGAAGCCTAACGAGCTGAAATTTTCTACATAGACTCATCTCGCGTGACAATTCAAGATTTCATTAAAAAAAACGGTCCAAGTCCTGCCTGATCCTAGGCCTGTTCGTGTTTTTTACTTCATTTTAATAATTAATACTCATACATTCTCCCCTTCTTTTTGTAATCTCAAATGGTCATGCCCAGCTACGAGGGAAAACGTCTTGTCCAATCAGAGTGGCCGGTGTGGTTCCCTCTTCCTTAGCGCGAGACTAACAATTAGAATAATTATAATGACTACTATTGCTATTGTTAAAATAATTACATAGTTATACTTGTAATAAATAGGATTATGATTTGCTGTCATGCCGCATTGAGCGAGCAGGTGAAAACCATGATCATGTTTTCAAATGAAATGTCGTAAAGTAAACCCATATTTCTATTGGCAAAATGTTCTTATGATTGTTGATATAAATGCTTTAAATTAAGGTGCTAAATCTGTGCACGTTGATTCAAGTCTCGCCATATGCACTGTTGTCCATATATGCACATTGCTATAGCATCGCAGTCTGTGTGTCTTATCTTTCATAAAGTTCAGTACTTAATGATCTCAAATACGACAAATGTTCTTCTACATGTCATTTCACGACTTTGCTCTAATTGTAATAGCTGCGCTGCTTTCTATCAACCTTTCATTACGTAGACTGTTGTTGTACAGCAATGCGCATGCTCGAGTGGACATTACCTAGGAAAATAAATAGCAGTTAAAATAGTTACAATAATTTTCACGGTAAAAAAATAGGTAATACAAAAGTTTTTTTTCAATACACACACTTTTATTTGCACTCAAACGTTAAAAAAAAATTGGACCCTAGAATTAATCAAATGTGATGTGCTGAATACAAGTGGGTGGCTTCCTTTCGACATCTTTAATTTTATTTATGCAAGTCACCCACTTTTATTCAGCACATCAAATAAATTTAATTCTGGGGTCAAAATAAGAAATTTTCTATGTTTGAGTGTAAATAAGTGTACATTGAAACATTTATTTCTTTACCTTTTTTTTTGCCAAATTTATGCTGACTGGATTTTTGGTGTCATGTCATGAGACAAAACATCCATTTGGATCCCTCGAAAAGCACTATAACCCTTTGCGTCAGAAAATACGGATATCACCGAGTTACCTCTTAGATCCCTTTAAGTAACCTCTGATTCACACAGTATGGGCAGCACTTTTCAATCCACTCAGCCACTCGGAGTAAAATCCATTGCATGACAAGTACATTGATAATTTGAATTCTCGGAGCTGGAATTTCGTCAATTTAAGTGCGGAATGAAATGTAATATGAGGTTTTTTTGTGCAATCCTTATAACTGGGCAGAGGCCATCAACTCTATACATTAACCCAACTTTATCGCGGGTGGCTGCCTGGATTCCAATCCATGTTTTCATCTCCACGCTCTCACCTCCGAGCCACCCAGCCAGCTCCACACCACCACTACTACTGTGTTCTTATTGGCAGTCCCTCACTTTCCAGGGCACCAAGCCCTCATGGCCTGCATTCAGAGCACTATCCATGTGATATATTTAACAAAATGGGTGTTTTAGTTTATAATTGATTATAAGGGGTTTGTAATTAAAAGTCTTTGAGAGGGATTGCTGTATTACAATATATGTTCAGATTGACTCCATTTACAGTAATTAATTTCTCACCAGACCTATCCCTATTCATCTATTAGCAGTTTCTCGGGTACCGCGATGATCCATTTTGAGTAAATGTATGTGTGTATGTTGAACTTCTTTCGCACTGTACATCGCCGACCGTGCTAATCAGAGGTGCAGGGGAAGAACAAACTAAACACAAAAAAGCAGTTCTAAAGAAATTAATCTTAAATCTAGATGTAAATTAATCTAGATTTTATTTGTGAGGCATATCTCTGTAACGAGTGGTCTCCGACACGGTAAGTAAATTTGTAGGTTTATTCAATAGAGTTTGGTACAGCCACAGTCTCCGTCTCTTTATTTTCTTTACGGACTCCACCCTTCGGGTGGCTACGCTGCCCCGCGCCACGTGGCGCTCACCCGCTCTCCGACACACCGCTGGCTGACAGTGCGCCGGGGAGCGACTGAGCGGCTGGAGGACAGCCGCCACGTGGTCGATGGAGATGGCGGGGCAGCAGCAATGGGGCTCCTCTTCAGTCTTCAATCACCGACCCCTTGCGGTGCTCTGTGTCCCGCTTATATCCCCCTCTCGGGACTAAGCCCCGCCTCTGGCCACGCCCTTCCTGGAACGTTCCCGAACGTTCCAGAGGCTTCCCTGGTGGAATTGCCTCTCACCTTTCCCCTAGATGTAAACCCTACTATGGATAAGCCTGGGCTGTACAATTAATGTATGCCCCCCTGATAATCCAGGCGATGGCGCTCTCATTACACCTGTAATGAAACACTTTGGCACCAGGGATGGTGGATCCTGCAGACTTTGTCAGTTGCTGTGATTCTTCTAACCTGCTGTGCTATGGTATTACCAGGTAGGAAATGTGAGCTGATCTATATGTATACATTATTGGGGTTATGCACTCTTATTTATGGGTTTTCTCCAGGTCATCCAGTGTCCTCCCACACGTTTAGTGAACTATTAAAACATCCAAAATGCACGAACCTTCCAAAAATAATCTGGAGACTCGGTAAAGCTTTCTTAGATGTACTGTTACACATTAATACATATTTTCTTAGCAGAGATAAAACGGATATACTACATTACATCCATCTCCTTATGTAAGAGATCTGATATAAACACATGGCACACACTTAGAAGACATGGCAACATATGTTTGCAAAGGCATATCATTCATAACTCGTTTGCATTGTGTGTATGTGTGTGTATGAACGCACAGATGCGGCATGTCCTCCGAACAGCATCTACACTGAGAGCATGAATGCTTGTCCGGCCTCCTGTGGGAATCTCGCTGCGCCTGAGGAGTGTGGCCTGCCCAGAATGGAGGGGTGCCAGTGTGAGCTGGGGTTTGTGTGGAGCGGCTTTCACTGCGTGCCCTTCAGGGACTGTGGCTGTTTTCATGATGACACCTACTATGAGGTAGCAACAACACACACAAAACACACAAGACAATAAAACACTACACTGTTCTAGAGTGTTTTTAGGTCATATACTCTGTGGGTTGTCACATGGTTTCCAATATTAGAAATGTAACCAATAGCAATGATTCTCATGCAAATATAAATGCCCTTCACCTGTTTGTTGGCAGCACCTTGTGGCAGTTATGAACAAGATAAACAGACCACACCGACTACCTTTACACATTGCATTTGTGGTAAACTCTTTCAGAGGTTTTCCATAGCAAGTGGGTTAATTAAACGCATGTTCTTATCCATTCTCTGTGTGCATTTCCCGTGAAGGTGGGCAAGGAGTTTTACTCACCCCAGTGCAGTAGTCGGTGCCAGTGTGTGAACACGGACACAGTTATATGCAGAAACAAGGGCTGCAACGTAGAAGAAGTTTGCTCCATCAGCAACTACACCTTTGGCTGTTTCAATCGTGAGTCTCGAAGGACACTGTTCCACCTCTCATCATACTCCATGTAGAAAGCAAATGTGCATATTTTTATGTAACCCTCTTAAGACGAGTTGATTAAATATGGCTAGTCCAGTTTATTCTCAAATGCAACACTCACATTCAAATTCTGAAAAAAGGTGCGACTCTCAGGAAGACTTCCCGAAACTATTGAGCACTTATTTGGTGCTTGCAGATTATAGTTTTACGAAACATTGATTCTACTCCAATAGCTAGACAATGAGTATCAAATAAACCCTTATAATGTCAAAAAAATCTGTGGAGAAATTGGTTTAAGTTAAACGTTATTATATTTCAATGTTCACTGATTTACACTTGAAAGGTAGATAGTGATGATTTCATCCATAAAATAGCCGATTCACAATAACAATGGATGCATACCTTTTTCCCCATAATGCAGTTAGACATTGTTGTTGGATCATTTGATATAAATGTGTAATAATCCTTCTGAGACGGCTTCGGAATCAGTCCTTTTATTTCCACTCCACAATACACTTGCTCACTCACTCTCCGTTGCTGGCAGACAACTGAGAGAGGACAGACTTCGCACTATGTCCCCACCGCGCACGTGGCACCCAGAGCCCCGTCCGCGTGTGACCCTGCTATTGTCAATTACCGTCTCCTCCCGATCGTTCTCTCTCCCTCTCTCTTAATACCTCCGTCACGTGGTCCCCCCAGCCAATCGTTCATGGACAGCTTCGACCATTCTCGATGGTTCCCTGTCAATCCCGGGACCACGCCCCTCATCCGGCTCCCCATTTGCTGGGGCCCCGAATGGCTAGGCCAATCACTCCTGATGACATGTCGTGATGACGCCTGGGCCATGGTCCCTATCTCAACCCTTATTGGCTACAAGCAGGACCGGCAAGCCAATCCCCACGTGAACCCTCTATGGCTGTTATTACATCACCCCCCCCCCCCCCCCCCCGGTGAAAAAATGTAGCCGTCTCGGCTGGGAAAGGGTGAAGAACCAATTCCGCAACGTCTTATTAGGGCACCAAGGTAAGTTTAACAATTCGAGGGTGAACCAGCGTTCCCGCGCCTAACAACATTTAAAACAGTCACCCTTAATAAAAAATCACAACATACATTAGGGCGCCCCTGCAGCGCAGTAACGACAGGGAAATCAGCGAAACGATCAAACGCTAACGAAACGGAAGAGATTTTGACCGCGTCCGCGACGCGGGACCCTCTCCGCTCCCAGCGCAAGGTCGCTTTGCTTCCGGATGGACAGGAGGTGGCAGGCTCGAAGAAGAAGTCGGTTGTTGGTGCTTGGTCACGTCCAGGGCGGGCCCCGTCGGAGGGGGGGCAGCGGGGGCTTCCTCAGCCATCAGAACCTGTTCATCTGCAGGAGGCACAACACAGTCCCCCTTGGGATCAACGGGCGTGTCAAGCGGCGTAGTCGGCCCGGCAGAACCCGGCAGGTCAGCTATTGGGGATGAAGGACCGACACGCGCGTCAACATAGGGTTTAAGTCGCGAGGAATGAACATACCACCGACGTTTACCGTATTGAACGCGAATACTTTGCGAGTTCCGAACATCTACCAGCGTCACAGGCCCCCGCCATGGCCTTATGCAGTTTAGGGGATGTGCCCGCTGGTACCTGGGGGCAGTGGAGCCACGCCAGGTCTCCCACCGACCAAGGCATGCGAGTATGCGATCGACGCGCATACTGTTCGTTCCTTGCCTGAGCACGGGCCGTCGCGCACCGGGCAGCCTCTCGCGCCTCCGTTACTCGTTCAAGCGAGTCACGCACGTGGTCAGGCAGGGAGCGGGACGGTTGTTTACTCGGCGTACCCAATTGCACATCGATGGGTGGAACATTTTCACGGCCATACATCAAAAAAAATGGTGAGTATCCCGTGGACGTATGCGGAACCATGCGGTATGCCGCCAAGACGCCTGGTATGTGCAGGTCCCAATCGGTTTGCTTTTCACTGACCGTGTGACAAAGCATAGCCGAAAGGGTACGGTTGAACCGTTCCACCATACCATCTGTTTGTGGATGGTATGGGGAGGTGCGAACTTTCTTTGTACCTAGCGCGTCACAAACTTCCCTAAGCAATTTAGAGGAGAAATTCCGGCCTTGATCTGTGAGAAGCCTTTCAGGTGCCCCCTTGTCCATGACATACCCGTTCAAGAAAGCGTCGGTGATGGACGCTGCCGTTTGGTCGGGTAGAGGCCAGGCCATCGGCCATCGAGAAAAATATTCCACCCCGACCAGAAGGTATTTATTGCCCCTAGCCGACGGGGGAAACGGCCCCAGAATGTCGAGAGCCACCAATTCGTTGATACGGGACACTTCAATGGAACGCAACGGTGGTACATAGTGGTTCCGAGGCGGCTTCCTCTTCGCGCAATCATGGCACGAGCGAACAAAATCATTGATGTCTGCCGTCATACCGGCCCAAAAAAAATCCTTTTGCATCGCGGCCACAATCTTTTGGACGCCGAGGTGCATCAACTTATCAGCGTGCAGAGCACGGAGCAGGTCGTAGCGAAGCGAAGTAGGAACCACCAAGCGTGGTCGGTCAGACAACCCGTCGGTACACATTAACAAACCTGACTTACCCCGGAACATCTGCCACTTCCAGCCAGCCAATTGCGATTTCTGTTTCCCAACCAATTTACGTAGCGGAGACAGCGAGGCATCGGCCTCCTGCTCGCGCAACCAGACCGCGTGCGGCAGCCGTAAGGTATCATCGGTGTCCACCGACACCTGCTGGTCCTCCCCCTTCGCTTTCGCCCCTGCGTCGTCCTCATTCGCTATCGCCCCCATGACCGGGCAGGGCGACGTGGGCGGTGCGGCACAGCGGTGCGTGCCCGTCAGGCAAGTGCACGGAGGAACGGGCGGCAGCCTTGAGAGCGCATCAGCGTTCGCGTGACGGGCCCCCTTTCGGTATGTTATATCGAAGGAAAATTCCTGTAATGATTCCAACCACCGGGCCAATTGGCCTGACGGCTGATCCAATTTGAGGGAATATTTCAAAGCCGCATGATCAGTGCGGACCAGGAATTTCCGTCCATACAGGTACGGCCGGTACAATCGAACAAAATGGACAATCGCCAAAAGTTCCCGCCTTGTGACGCAATATCGCAGTTTCCGCAGGGGACAGAACCCTGCTGCCGTACGCCACCACCCTCTCAACCCCGTCCTTACGTTGCGACAAAACGGCCCCAATGCCGATATCACTAGCATCCGTATCAAGGATGAACGGCTGCGAAAAATCAGGGTAATCTAACGTAGGCGCCGTGGCGAGGTGGTCCCAAAGTGCCATAAAGGAACTTTCTTCCTCTGCCCCCCATTTAAACCTTTGATTTTTGCCAGTCAGAACGTGTAATGGTTTTGCCAACGTCGCAAAGTTCTTGACGAAGCGGCGATAATAGGAAGCGAATCCAATAAACCGCTGAACATCACCCACCGAGGTGGGTGTGGGCCACTCCCGTACACACTTCGTTTTCAGAGGGTCAGTGGATACACCGTCCGAACTGACAATATGACCCAGGTAACGGACGGAGTGTTGCAGAGGGTGGCATTTCTTGGGTTTAAACTTAAGGTCAGCCGCACGCATTCTTTGAAAAACTGTCTCAAGGCGTTGGAGATGTTCCTCGAACGTGCGGCTAAAGACAATTATATCGTCTAGATATATGAGGCACGTTTCCCACTGCAGTCCTGCCAACACCAATTCCATGAGTCGCTGAAACGTGGCCGGAGCCGCGTTCAGGCCCATCGGCAACCGATTAAATTCGAAAAGACCTTGCGGCGTGCGGAATGCCGTTTTGGCTTTTGACTCGTCATCAAGGGGAAGCTGCCAGAAGCCCGAGGACAGGTCAAGGGTGGAAAAGAATTTAGCACCCGATAAAGCATCCAATGAGTCATCCATCCTCGGTAAGGGGTACGCGTCCGCTACCGAAATTTTGTTCAATCGGCGTAAATCAACGCAAAACCTCGTATCACCATCTTTCTTCTTAACCAGAACGACGGGCGCGCCCCAAGGGCTGTTGGACGGCGAAATAATATCCGCCGCCAGCAAATCATCTACTGCGCCACGCACGTGTTCCCTTTCCACCGGGCTCATGCAGTGGGGGTGCATACAGACGGGAGGTGCCGCACCGGTTTCAATATGGTGCGACAAAAGCGACGTGCGGCCGAGGTCCAAATCATTTTTGCTGAACACATCAGCGTACTGCAGCAACAGCGAACGCAAGGCGTTCCTATGTTCATTTGACAAGGAAGAATTCTCTCCGCATAAATCCGCGATCCAGCGTTCTTGTGAACGATCATGCGGAGGCCCATCCGCGGGCATCCGAGCACGCGGTTGTTTGTCACAAGAGGCAAAATCGGTAGTGACGTGAGCCAGCACCGATCCCTCCGGAACAACAACGCGGTCAGGTCCCCCATTCAAGACCTGTATGAAAGGTGCCTGACCTGGGCGCACGATCGTTTGTGCCGCCGCCAAAGAAAAAGATTTCGATACGGAATTCGATGGGGATAACAGGCACGCCCTTCGCATCCCTTCCCATTTGAAGCGGTTTTCGGTAACGCAGCGGGATAAGCATTTGCGCTCCCGATGGAACCTCCACCGTAGCCGCCACTACAGCAGTAACTGCGTTACCTGTAGGCGCCTTTGCCAGCAGGGAAGGCAGGAACGCCATCCTACGACCCCCCGGCATTTCCAAACAGTCCTGGTCGACCCGTATTCTCAACGGCATCCGGCGCAGGAAATCCGTACCCAACAAGCATGGAACAGCTAGCGAGCGAGAAATTAACACAGGTCCTGCGGCGGTAATATTTCCGATAACGATGCTCACATCCACCTGTCCGCAGATACCCATGCTCCCCCCATTGGCGGCAACACACGCATCATTAACCTTGCGTATCCGCGACGCAGGAATAGACAACAAATGAAAAATAACATCCGAAATGATGGTAGCCGATGCGCCAGTGTCCACCAAGATATGGACGTCAACGCCGTTGATGGTACCTCGTACCGTCGACGAGCCCGACGCCGCAGCCACTATCCTGCGAGCCAATTTCTTCCACTGTGTGGCAGAGCGTGTCAACGGAGCAGGAGAAGTAAAATTATCTTTAGGAGTGTAGGGAGAAGTGCGAGTGGATGAGTGATGTGACACGACCTGCCGGGTGTCCCGATTTGTGCCGACTCGCCCGAGGTTGTTGCAGCTCCGCAGCAAGTGGAGGAGATGGAGGTCCCCTTGGCGGAAGAGGCGACGGCAGAGGTCGGCAGCGGCAGTCACGGGCGAAGTGGCCCCGTCTGCCGCACTTGAAACACGCGGCCGACGTCGGCCGATGGTCGGACGACCCGGCCCTCGCACGCGGCCGGCCCATGTAGTCGCTCCGCTGGTCACGCAGCCGCCGTCCCTGAATCCTATGCGGGACAGCAGCAGCCAGCATGTCGTCGTCGCCCGAGTCGTCGGAGCAGTGGACAACCAGTCGCGGAGACCACCCCAGAGGCGGCCCGTCGATCTCGGGTTTCCCCGTCCACGCCGCCATCTGGTCCCAACGCTTGATATTAAACTTAGCGTCCAGGCAGCGCGCCACCCACCACGATGAAAGCGGTTCGTGGCCGCACACTGGTAGAGAGATGTTGAGCTCCTGGGACAACTCCAGCATGCGGGAAAGGATGAGCGGATCCAAGTGCTCGGCCGTTGCGTCGGGGTAGGCAGCCATGGCCATCGCCATCAGCGCCCCCCGATAGGCCAACGGCGATTCTTCCAGTGCTCGGCGACGTGACATAAATTTTCTGGTGGCCGATGTCGGCGGGTCGTAAAATTCCGCCATCTCTGTGAACGCATCCCGCAGTGTCTTCTTCTTGGACGCTGGGATGGAGCGGAAGACTCCCAGAGACACATCATCGAGCAGCGTAGGTAGCGCTCCCAGCGCTTCTTCCTCCGTCCAGTTGACAGATCTAAAAGCTGACTCGAAGCGCCAAGTAAAAGCACTCCAATCGCCCCCGGCGATAAATTCTTTTATTTGTGGAAGGCGATGTCCGCGGTGGCAGGCGCGTGCCGTGGGCGTCTCCGACTGCCGTTCCCGCTCCCCACTCGGTGCAGACAAAATGGCGTCCGGCGGCCGCGTGGTGGTGGGCGCGCCCAAAATGGCGGCCGACGACTCCGGCGCAGCCGCCCCACTCAAGACGATGGCGTCCTCCCGCGTGGCAGGAGCAATGGCGGGACCGGATTCCGTAGCAGGACCCCTTCCCGCGGCGTCCAGCTGATCGGCGATCTGGCGACCCACGGCTGGTGAGGACGCCACCACGGTCACCAGGCTTAGCAGAATGGCGCGCAACGACTCAATCTGCTCCACCATCAGCCGCCATTCGTCTCTCGGTCCTGCGGTGGTCGCATCCTCCCCCGGTCGACGCTGAGAGGCGTCGAGGCGAGTGTCATCGGCAGGCAGCACAAGAGCTGTAGCTCCCAACAGCTCATGTTCATCCGTCTCGACCTCTTCCTCCGATAGAGGCACGGGCAGGTTCTTTTTTCTGGGGTGCTTAGACATCTTGACGATCGTCCAAACAGTCGCAGAATTACTTCTGACACCAATGTAATAAACCTTCTGAGACGGCTTCGGAATCAGTCCTTTTATTTCCACTCCACAATACACTTGCTCACTCACTCTCCGTTGCTGGCAGACAACTGAGAGAGGACAGACTTCGCACTATGTCCCCACCGCGCACGTGGCACCCAGAGCCCCATCCGCGCGTGACCCTGCTCTTGTCAATTACCGTCTCCTCCCGATCGTTCTCTCTCCCTCTCTCTTAATACCTCCGTCACGTGGTCCCCCCAGCCAATCGTTCATGGACAGCTTAGACCATTCTCGATGGTTCCCTGTCAATCCCGGGACCACGCCCCTCATCCGGCTCCCCATTTGCTGGGGCCCCGAATGGCTAAGCCAATCACTCCTGATGACATGTCGTGATGACGCCTGGGCCATGGTCCCTATCTCAACCCTTATTGGCTACAAGCAGGACCGGCAAGCCAATCCCCACGTGAACCCTCTATGGCTGTTATTACAAATGTATGAGACCCTTTGAATATTGTGGGGGTTACGTTCTTGGAAAGTGTCGCGAAAGGGGAAACCGCGGTATTCAATACTCAAGCCTGACCTAAATAATGTGGTAAAGCAAATGACAACTAAAAATAAGACGCATCACAATTGAAATAAGTACTGAACTGCATGTCATAAAATAAAGTAATTGACATAAACAGGTAAAAAGCCTGTACAGAAAACGGAGGTACTCGGAAAACCTACCGGCTGCCTTCAGAGATTTGTTCATGAAGCCATCCAGATATATAAACACAGACACAACTTAAACCGAGAGGATGGGTACAAACTGAGCAATCATTGGAAGAACGTTATTAACCAGGTAAAGTCTTAACTGACTGTGATGTTTCCATCCAACCTGCCTATGTCAGCTGTTATGTCGACTCTGTGTCTTTCTTTCTATGTCTCTCTCTTAGATCTCTCATGCTCACAGGCCCTTTGGATTACACCCGTTGGGTTGCACTCCCTCGTCGAGGAGGCCGCTCTTCTCCTTTTTTATAGTTACATGATAGTTTCCCACATTAACATCATGCTAATCTCTCACATTAACATAGCCACTTCCGTGCCCTCTAATTTATCACATTAACATCACGCTAATCCCTCACATTAACATAGCCACTTCCGTGCCCTCGTCTAGGAGGCCACTCTCCTAGCTTACTTTACATGCTAATTTCTCACAATAACATCATGCTAATCCCTCACATTAACATAGCCACTTCCCAAAAAAAACTCTTATGAACATTAATGATGTTTGTGCTCGTGCACAACTGCCAATGTAGTCCCTTAACGTTTTGTCCAACTAGGCTACTGGAATGTGCTGCTACGCTTCAATTGCACAACTCGTTCTTTCCTACCAAGGAGTTTTCAAAATAGTTTTTCTGGAGAAGTGTATTTACTAAAAGTAGTGTCAAAGAATCTGTCGATATGCTTGTTAATGCTCATATTCGTGGCATTCTGAAAGGAGGAAAATGGTTAGTTTTATTTTCTTAGGTCACCATCAACAGAAGTGAGCAATTGTGACCGAGTGAACTAAGATAAGGAGACCGCAATTCCCTTCTTCAGAAAATGCTGTGATAGTTTTTTCACATAGACCACGTGCTCTGTACGTATCTGAATGATGTTTTAAACTTAAGGAAGCAAATGCAATCGTACAGAATGAATCCATTGATAACTGCGAACAACCCATCGGCTGTGTTGCAGTGGACGCTTGTGATTCCAGCCCATGTCTGAATGGAGGAACCTGCACAGACAACGGTCGAGATTTTGAGTGCCACTGTCCACCCACACACAGTGGGATCGTTTGTGAACATCCAGGTACGTGCATAGAATAAGCCAACACTTATAACATTCTCTTGCTGCAGTATCTGTATATGTAACAATACCATGCATGAAAGGTTTCTCACACTTGAGATGTTAAAAAAATATGTACTACAGGCACAAACACTTGGATAAATATATTTGAATCTTTAAATATCCAAGTCTGCTGGGATTATCGATTAGATTAAATCATTGATTAGAAAGATGTATCATGATATGTAGGTATGTAAGACAAGCTTGTACTTGCTGTTGAGTGATATTGATGGAGTCATTTGTCGTTTAACTATAATTTAATGTATATATTTTGGCATGTTTCTATTTTCTCTTTGTTATGATTTATGGTTAATCAGGCCTCCATTGAGAAATAAATGTCTCTCGTATGTATGTTGAACCTCTTTCGCACTGTACGTAGCCAGCCATGCTAATCGGAAGTGGGGCAGAATGACAACAAACTAAACACAAATAGCAGTTAAATTAAATCATATCACATACAATATCAGATAAGTTTTAAAATGTCCTATTGATCATTTTCGTGTTTCTCAATTCTGATCAAGTGTGGGATTTGTATGTAGTGCAATGACATCATTAGACCTTTCTCCTGCATGGTAATTATGCCATAGTCTGCACCCCTGAAATGGTTCAGGGAAGCGCAATTCGTCTCTTGAGAACTGCTACTGTTTGCATTTTGGTTGAATAGTAAGGATTGTTTCTGCCAATATTGACAGTCAATGGAATTGACGCATCACAACATCATTTGTGCCCCAGTTGTTCCCTGTTTATGTCGCATTATATTGCTGTACTTGATCTGCACTGGTTATATTATGCTGCGTGTGCTAATATTACAGTTGTATACGAATATGAAGCTGTGCCAAATGCTTGCATTAAATCGACTTTTTTTTGCACTTAAGGGAATACACCACCACTCAACACTGTCACCATCGTCATCATAGTGGTCTGCACTGTTGGTGGAATCATTTTGATCTCCGTGACCATTGTACTTGTCAGGTTCCGCCATGGGAGGTAAGTCCATTATTGATCAGAATGAAATGTACTTGCATTCATTTCTGGGGACGTTATTAGCAACAAAGTATTTCATTTATAATGCCTAAATATGGCCGAATCTCCAGACGATCTGTGAGAGATAGGGCAAGCACTGGAGAGGTTAAAGGATATATAAGGGGTGTGTGATGGTGACTTGTGTCCAGGGCACCCGAAGAAAAGGAAAGGCCTGATTGGGAGAAATTGCTCCCCTGATCTGTACTCGAATGGTGAGATGTTATTGGAATTCTGCGCTAGTCACGGAATGTCAATAACAAACACCATGTCTGAACACAAGGATGCTCATAAGTGTACTTGGTACCAGAGCACCTTGGGCTGAAGGTCAATGATTGATTTGTGGACACTCGGGTTAATGGAGGGGCAGAGCTTTAAACTGATTACCACCTGGTGGTAAGTTGGATCCGATGCTTAGGCCACCGACCAAATAGACGCGGAAGGGCCAAACGAATAGTGCGGGTTTTCTGGGAACATCTGGCGGAAGACCCAGTGCAGAAATATTTTACCTTCCACCTCCAGGGGATATTGTGGACATTGAGTCCGAGTGGACGGTGTTGAGGACTGTGGATGCAGCTGTGAAAAGCTGTGGCCTGAAGGCAGTTGGTGCTTGTCAAAGCGGCAACCATAGGACCCACTGTTGGACACCGGTGCTGAGGGAAGCTGCTAAGTTGAAGGAGGCTTTCCGAGCTAAGCTTGAAAAAAGGTCTCCCGACTCGATTGAGAGGTGCTGGCTTGCCAAGATGGCGGCAGCTGCAACAGTCGCTGAAACGAAAGCCCGGGCGTGGGAGGAGTTTGGAGAAGCCATGGAGAGGGATTACCGGGCAGCCTCAAAGATGTTCTGGCAAACCATCTGATGTCTTAGGCGAGGTTGACGGGACGTCGCCCAGGCTGTTTTCAGTAAGGGTGGTGTAGCATTGACCTCAACTAAGGAGATAATCGGGAGGTCGAAGGAACACTTTGAGGAGCTCTTCAACCCGGTGGACATTCCCACCTCTCGGAAGGCAGCCCTGGAAACAGCTGGGGGGTTCGGATCCATCACGGCTGCTGAAGTCGCTGCGGTGGTCGAGGACCTCTGTAGCGGCAAGGCTGCTGGGGTGGACAAGATTCGCCCAGAGTTGTTGAAAGTACTGGAAAGTACTGTGTTGGAGTGTCGTGGTTAACATGCCTCTTCAATGTTGCATGAAAGGTGGGTACAGTACCTCTGGATTGGCAAACTGGGGTCGTGGTTCCCATTTTTTTTTAAAGGGGACCAGAGGGTGTGCTCCAACTACAGAGGGATCACACTCCTCAGTGTCCCAGGTAAAGCCGATGCCAGTGCTGGAGAGGAGGCTCCGCTTTGTGGTCGAGCCTCAGATTCAGGAGGAACGATGTGAATTCCGTCATGGTCATGGAACAATGGACCAGCTTTTTTCCCTCTTACAGATATTTGAGGGGTCATGGGAGTATGCTTCCCCAGTCTACCTCTGCTTTTTAGACTTGGAGAAGGATATGACCGTGTTCCCCACAATGTTTTGTGGGAGGTGCTGCGGGAGTATGATATTCTGGTGCCACTTTTGTGCGCTATCTGGTCGCTATATTCCTGGAGTGAGAGCTGTATCTGTACTCTTGGTGTTAAATCAAAGTCGTCCACTGTGGGTGTTGGACTCCACCAGGGGTGCATCTTGTCTCCACTTGTTAGTGATTTTTTATGGACAGGATATCACGGTGCAGCCAAGGTATGGAGAGTATCCAGTACGGAGCCATCAAGGTGGCATCACTGCTTTTTGTAGATTAAATTGTTCTCTTAACTTTTTCAGTCTGTGATTTCGAGCATGTATTTAAACTTTTTGATGCCTAATGTGAAGCAGCTGGGATGAGAATCAGCACCTCCAAATCTAAGGTCATGGTTAGTGGATTGTTTTCATACAGGTGAGGGGAAAACCGCTGCCCTTAGTGGAGGAGTTTAAGTACCTTGGGGTATTTTTTGCGAGTGGTAAGTGGGAGCAGGAGATCGGCTGGCGGATCGGTGCAGTGTCTGCAGTGTTTCGGGCACTGTACCATTCTGTGGTAGTGAAGTGGGAGCTGAGTTCTCGAACAAAGCTCTCGGTTTACAGTTCGATCTACCTATAGTCATGAGCTTTGGGTAATGACCGAAAGGATGAGATCGGGGGTACAAGGGGCCAAAATTAGTTTTTCCGCAGGGTTTCCGGGCTCACTCTCCATTATAGGGTGAGGAGCTCAGTAATCTGGGAGAGCCTCAAAGTTGAGCTGCTACTCCTCCGGATTGAGAGGAGCCAGCTGAGGTGGTTAGGGCACCTGGTAAGGAGCCCCCCGATAGATTTCCCCTGGAACTCTACCGAGCACGTCCCACACGGCAAAGACCCGGGGGCCGGCCCAGGATACGCTGGCGGGACTATATTGCTTGGCTGGCCTAGGAACGCCTGGGAATTCTCCAGGTTGAGCTCAAGTCTGTTGCCAGGGAAAGGAAGGTCTGGACCACCCTACTCAACATGCTGCCACCGCGACCCTCACCAAGACAAGTGGATTGAGAAATGAATGAACAAACACTTATATATCTGCTTATAATGTAGCCTACTGGAATAGCACTGACACCTTTGTTTTGGCAGGAAACACATGAAGCTCGAAGAAGTATATGACACTAAATCAAGTGCATCTTCCGAGGATGGCAATTTCAATTACCGTCATGAAGATGTTGTAAACAGTGACGTGTGGGCTGCTTACATCAAAACAAATGATACAGGGATATTAAAGGTGCCAGATATCACATCTAGTGCCTTCTAGTAGGTACAGTATTTGTGACTTCGTATAAGGTGGGCTCATTATGAGAGCCATATTGGTCCAGTAAAGCTGGACAAGGCTATGTGAAATACATACGAAATTATTTAGAAAATGATGAAGCCTGCCGATTCAAGTTACTGGTAATTAATAGTAATTAATAGTGTCTATAATGTAGTAAATGCGTATATTCGCATTTCCATGACAGTTATAACAAATCTTCAGTAATTACAATCAATTCAACTGTATACATGTACTCTCACAATGGAAAAGCAAATTACGTGGCTCAAGTCGTGCATCAATATATTGTAATAAACGAACTATATCATTTGTGCCTGTGTGTATATATTTTTATTGATACTTTGCTGTCAAAGTTGTGAACACTGAGACAGCTTATATTTTCATAGTTTTTGGTTGATCCATGCCCTATCAGGCGTAATCACCAGCAAAACATCGTAGTCAATTTGTAAATGTGGGTTACTCTCCAAAACACAACCGGTGTGCTGAAAAAATAACTAATTGGCATGTTTTGTTTACGTGTAGGGTTTAACGACACGTGTTTCCACGATCTAACCCAAAAAAACCTCTTATGGATAATATTTGTCGTGTAAGCATGCGTGTTAAACGGGTCTTGTATATCATGGGACCTCCTTTGCCAGTACCAATATAAGATGATAGGTTTTTCCCCTTTTTCTGGCAACAAAACAGGTGTTAAGATATTAAAACACCAAACTGAAACCTTTTACAAGGAATCATGTCTGCATTAACCACAATACTTGTGGTCAGAATGCAAACAAAAAACATACTCTGATAATATATGCATTGTCCTTGAAACTGATTGGTCCACACCTCTGGTCTAAACACCATTTGAGACGAGGCTCAAAAGAAAGCTGGTCCACACCAGAGACAGCTTCATCACAGTCAATTAAGACTTTAACTGGTTAATAACGTCCTTCCAATGATTGCTCAGTTTGTACCCATCTTCTCGGTTGAAGTTGTGTCTGTGTTTATATATATGGATGCCTTCTCTCTCCCCCCTACTGCCGAGGTCTATATAAGCTCGTGCCACAGCAGATCTCTCGCATTCTTCAGCAGTTTTATCTTGCTGTGGTTGTCCCACCTAATGACGATTGTGTGGTGCCACGGCCGCGGAGCAACTCCACCAATGCCGCCATCCACACGAACACACGCACACCCCCACTAAACACACACATGCACCCACGTAGGGTCTCGTGGGGGGTCACCTGGTACCATGTCGGGGATTTCCCACGGTTTCCCAGTGCCAGGAGATTGGTCGACCCCCCCCCCCCCAGGCCGGATTACATGGCGGCCCCCCTAAAATCAACGTTAAAAAGTCGTAGGGGCGCATAGAGCTTTACAGGCTGGCTACGATGAAGCATACATGACACGGGAGGTGGGGCCTCAAGGCAAACACCCTGCGGGCAGTGTAAACAGTGGGGTGGGAGGGAAAACCCCTGGGCACATAGGAGGCGGCTTTAAGAGAGAGACCTAGGGAATTACCTTGGTCTCTCGAATCAGAGATGAGGAACGCAGATACAGGGACAATGGAAAGGGGGGGGGGCCGTAACGGCCAGAGCGTTCAAAACGGCCGGTAAAAAGCACTCGATTTGACGCGCAGGATGACATCCCACTCTACTCCTCTCCACACACTCACCTGCCTCTCCCCTCATCACACGACTTACCTCAACAAACTCACCTGTCTCTCTCCTCTCATCCCATTCTACTCCCCTCCACAAACTCACCCATCTCTCCCCGCTCATCCCACCCGACTCCGCTCTACACACTCACCTGTCTCTCCCCTCTCATCCCACTCTACTCCACTCAACAAATACACTTGTCTCTCTCCTCACTCTAAAACCCTCCACACACTATCTTGTCTCTCTCCCGACTCGTCAAACTCTAGTCCCCTCCAAAAACTCAATTGTCTCTCCACTTTCATCTCACTCTCGGCCACATGTACGAGTCTCTTCCCTAATCTCACTCTACTCCTCTCCACACACTCACCTGTCTCTCCCCTCTCATCACACTACTCAACTCACTCACCTGCCTCTCCACTTTCATCTCACACTACTCTGCTCCACAAACTCACCCATCTCTCCCCGCTCATCTCACTCGACTCCGCTCGACATCCTCGCATGTCTCTGCCCTCTCATCTCTCTCTAGGCCACACTCATCTGACTCTCCCCTTTCACCTCACTCTACTCTGCTCCACACACTCACCTGTCTCTCCACTCCCATCCCGCTCTACTAACCTCAACAAACTCACCTGTCCCTCTCCTCTCCACTCTATTCACCTCCACACAGTCTCCTGCTTCTCCCCTCTCATTAAATTCTATTCCCCTCCACAAATCCATCTCTCCATGTTCATCCCACTCAACTCCGCTCGACACACTCAACTGTCTCTCCCTTCTCATCTCACTCTTGGCCACATGTACCTGTCTCTTCCCTCATCTCACTCTACTCCTCTCCACACACTCACCTGCCTCTCCCCTTTCATCTCACTCTACTCCCTTCCACACAACTGCCTCTCCCCTCTCATCCCATTCTACTCCCCTCCACACAATCACCTGCCTCTCCCCTCTCATCTCACTCTATGCCACACTCACCTATCTCACCCCTCTCATTGCACTCTAGGCCACACTCACCTGTCTCTCCCTTCTCATCTCACTCTCGGCCACATGTATCTGTTTCTTCCCTCATCTCACTGTACTCCGCTCCAAACACTCAACTGCCTCTCCCATTTCATGCCAATCATCACACCTCCACACACTTTGCTCCTCTGTCCACTCTCATCCCACTGTACCCCCTCCACAAACTCACCCATCTCTCCATGTTCATCAGAATCAGAAACGGTTTTAATCGCCATGTAAGTTTGCACAAACAAGGAATTCACTATAGCGGGACGGTGCATACATTGAACAAGTAGGAATCTTAACTTATATAAAAGGTATACACTCTAACTATACTAACGTTACAAAGTATAAGTAATACTAAAGGGCTAAAATCTTTAAAATTATGAATAAGTAGACCTTATAAAATGCGAAATGTAAAATGTTAATTAGCTGTATTACACAATCTTAAAATACAAATAAGATTACACGTAAGTATGGAAATGTGTAATTATGTAGATAAAATGTTATAGTAAGTGTAAGTCATTTTAAGTGTAAAAGTCATTTTAAGCCCTTGGCCTTGTTGAGGAGACCAACAGCGGATGGGAAAAAACTGTTTTTATGACGTGTGGTTTTGGTCTTGATGGACCGCAGCCTTCTGCCGGAGGGGAGTAGCTGGAACAGAGAGTATCCAGGGTGCAAGGAATCGTCCGCAATCTTCCTCGCTCGCCTCAGGGTCCTCAAAGTGTGCAGGTCCTCAAGGGTTGGTAGATTACAGCCAATCACCTCAGCAGTGCGGATGATACGCTGCAGTCTGCTCTTGTCCTTGGCAGTGGCAGCAGCGTACCAGACGGTGATGGAGGAGGTGAGGATGGACTCAATGATGGCTGTATAGAAGCACACCATCATTGTCTTTGGCAGATTAAATTTCTTCAGCTGCCGTAGGAAGTACATTCTCTGTTGAGCTCTCTTGATAAGGGAGCTGATGTTTAGTTCCCATTTGAGGTCCTGGGAAAGAATAGTGGCCAGGAAGCGGAAGGACTCAACATTGGTGACTGGGGAGTCGCACAGGGTGATGGGGGTGAGTGGGGCTGTATTCTTCCTGAAGTCCACAACCATCTCCACGGTCTTAAGAGCATTAAGCTCCAGGTTGTTCTGGCTACACCAGGTCACCAGGTTGTCAGCTTCCCTCCTATAGTCAGACTCATCCCCATCAGAGATTAGCCCAATGAGGGTGGTGTCGTCCGCAAACTTCAAGAGTTTGACGGACTGGTGACTGGAGGTGCAGCTGTTGGTGTACAGGGTGAATAGCAGAGGGGAAAGGACGCAGCCCTGAGGAGATCCGGTGCTGATTGACCTGGAGGCAGAAACTTGTGATCCAAGTTTGACACACTGCTTCCTGTCAGACAGGAAGTCTGTGATCAATCTGCAGGTGGAGTCTGGCACGTTCAACAGGGAGAGCTTGTCCTGAAGCAGGCTAGGAATGATGGTGTTAAAAGCTGAGCTAAAGTCCACAAACAGGATCCTGGCGTAGGATCCTGTGGAGTCCAGATGCTGTAGGGTGAAGTGGAGGGCCATGTTAACTGCATCATCCACAGACCTGTTGGCTCTGTAGGCAAACTGAAGGGGGTCCAGTAGAGGGTATGTGATGGCTTTGAGGTGTGCCAGGACCAGGCGCTCAAAATACTTCATTACCACGGAGGTAAGGGCGATGGGTCTGTAATCATTTAATCCTGTTGGCCTTGGCTTTTTGGGCACTGGAATGATGATGGAGGACTTGAGACAGGCTGGTACATGACATGTCTCCATGGAGGTGGTAAAAATGTTGGTGAACACTGGAGACAGCTGGTCCGCGCAGTGCCTGAGGGTGGCTGGAGAGACAGAGTTCGGCCCAGCTGCTTTGTGTGGGTTCTGCCTCTTGAAAAGTTTTTTTAACTTCTCCCTCCTGAATGGAGATAGTTGTCTCTGTAGTGTGGGGTGTGATAGGGGTCTCTTGGGTGGGAAGGGGTAGTTCAGGACAGTCCAATTGTCTTTCAAATCTGCAGTAGAACTCGTTCAGGTCGTTGGCTAGGCGGGAGTCGTTAGTGGTGTGGGGGGCTCTGGGCTTGTAGTTGGTGATCTGCCTGAGCCCTCTCCAGACAGAAGCAGAGTCGTTAGCAGAGAACTGGTGTTTTAGTCTCTCTGAGTAGAATCGTTTAGCCTCTCTCACCGCCTTGCTAAACATGTTCTTCAACTCCTTGAATCTGTCTCTATCCCCACTCCTAAACGCTTCCTCCTCCAACCTCAACCTTCTGAGCTTTGCTGAGAACCAGGGCTTGTTGTTGTTGAAGTTCACCCTGGTGCGTGTTGGAATACAGCAGTCCTCACAGAAGCTGATGTACGACGTCACAGCCTCTGTGAGTTCATCCAGACTATTGGTAGCAGTCGTGAACATATCCCAGTCAGTACAGTCCAAGCACGCCCGCAATTCCTCTATAGCCTCACTAGTCCACTGTTTAAATGTCCTCACAGCAGGTTTACAGAGCTTTAGTTTCTGCCTGTATGCAGGAATTAGGTGGACCATGACATGGTCAGAGTGTCCCAGTGCTGCTCTGGGGACGGCGTGGTAGGCTCTACTGACTGTAGTGTAACAGTGATCCAGTGTCCCCTTCTCTGGTAGGGCATTTAATGAATTGTCTGTATTTGGGGAGTTCGTGGCTG